TTTCGAAATTTTTTAACTCTCTTGCAAGCGAAAATGCAAGGTATTATAAGAAATCCCCGATTTATCACAAAAAAATAATCCAGCGTTAATGAATTCTATTGCTACTGCATCAATGAAATAGTTGCTGGGATTAGATCAAATATTTACAAATTGAAGAACGATACAACCACAAACTTCGAAATTCATAAAACAAAAGACTGCAAGCTTCTTTAACTAGAAGCTCAAAGGAGGTTTTAGCTTAGATGTCTACAAAAGGGAAAAGAATGATTCGCATCACGTGGCCCCAGAATTGAAGACAACCTTTCTCTAGATTCGAAGAGAACTACAATTAAGTATTGTTAAATTGAGAAAAACATCAAAATTAAGTTCTTTCAACTTTTGGAAACCTTTTCCTAGTTAGGATTATAGTATTGCAGTCCTATCCAGCAATAGATGAAATCAGATCATATGCTGATAAAATGATCAACTGCTACACTATTATTCTGTTCTTCAAATCGAAATCTTTTGTAATTCTGACAAATTTTGAAAGCTTTCTGATCGAATTTAGCATCTAAATGCTCTCTGACATTCTCTAATTTCCCTCCTACGAAAAGATCTCGAAAAATCTTTCTCCTACTTCCAAATTAGATGATTTCACCAATTTATTCTCATTAGGAATTCGATAAATTTAACAGACTTTTTTCCCGTTTTGCTTCTAAGACTGGCTGGTAAGATTGTACATTCACGACAGTACTTCTTCAACAAACATTAGTTTATGTTATTTTGTTCCCGTTTTATTTCTCGTTTCTTAGTTCAACTATTTAGAGATGTACTTGCTTTTATCTATTCGTCATAAGCATGGAGACCAGTATTTCAATGTTTTCTACTGTTTTTATCAGTTTTAAGGCATACCATTTTCACTGGTTGATTCGTCTGATTTAGAATATCTAATTTTAAAACGGTGCCTATCCATAGATTGTGAACGAGGAAAGGAAAAAACACCGAAACTATATTAAGAGTAAAGAGCACTTCGAAAACATGTTGAATTGGAGAAAAGTAAAGAAATTGCAAAAAGACAATTGTTTATATTCTGTATTACATAATTTGTTTTTGACTGATAATATCATAATCAATTAAACATTCAACACAATCGTATTGTTTAAATCAACTATTTTCATCTCAATAAATTTCTTTGTCTAATAGTATATTCAAAAGCAGTGGCATAATTATGTTGAAACTAGTGAAACTGTTATAACCTAGATATTTTTCTCGATACAATTAAGGAAAAAACGTTTTCTATTGAGACAACCAATATTCAATGTAAAGAGAATTGTCAGTTATCCAATATGTTATAGCTATTAACGGAGAGAGTTTGTCTTATATTAGTTTCTATATTTGAAGAATTAAATATAATAGTCAGCACATTTTTATAGATATAAAACGAAACTGATAAAGAAATTGAATGACACTATCTATGAAAATTAGTTTCATATTTGCAAGAAAACAGTGATGAGGTCGAATCATCTCTCGCCATCTTCCATCATTCAGATTACGAAAAACAAAAAAGTACTTCGATAAAAATACATTCTAAAGACTTTTTCGAAATCATTTGTCCACTAGTACACTTACTGTACCGAAGGAACAAATCACAGCGCGTTTGTTGAATTCTTACTTCTGAAAGAGAAAATAACGTGATGATAAAAAGACAAATTACAGTGTATATTATGTGTTTGCGGATGCAAAATTAACAAGTTCATTTTGATCGCTTAATATTAGATACGTTCTAACTTGCAAATATCAGTCTTATATAATTTTCACAAAAGAAAAAATAGATAGAGTTCATCACTTGAAACTCCGATTGAATGGCTTTTTAATGGGTAGTGGCTATGTGTACTCGAGTGTACATAGCCCTATGACTATATGCACTCGACTAGGAATAAGCAATTAATTCATAAATCTTAAGTTATATTAATGTGTTGTTTATACTTCATGGATAATATCAGAGAAATATTTTCAATTATTAGAAGTTTATTAATTTTTATTTCATGAAAATAAATTAGAAATCAAGTACTTCAAGTAAAGAAGTGTACAAAAAACAAGTATAAAAAAAAGAATAATCAATTCAAATAAATATCAACAATTGTAGAAATGTTTCTATTGCTGCCTCTCTTGGACTTTGAAGGAAATGCTTCAAATTTATTATTCTCAATGCATTTTACATAATGCTCACGGGATAGTGTTTGATTATAAAATAACGTTGATGGAGAAATACCATGACAAAGAGAAGTTGCGAAGGCTAATGCAAATAAACCGCAATCATTGCCACCTATTTGTTGTTGGACTTTTTCAAAAGAAACGGACACTTTGTTTTCATCAGGTAAGATTATTTTGAAAAAAAATCAATAATTGATTCTTTTGGATAACTTGAAGAATCATATACTTTCCAAACATTATCAGAATTTTAATTTGAAATTGTCAACCAGTGATTGCTGTTCGCATTAAAAATAAAGATTGAATCATTGATGGAACCCGTATAAAGTTTTATTTGTGCAGGGCCACACAAACCATTAACATCTGTAAAATGTTCATGCAGTAACTCAAAAAATAAATATATGTGAAAATCCATCAACCATGTAGACTGTTCGATAATGTCTCGAATAGACTCGACTTTTTTTATACGCTTATAATTATAGGTTTTAAGATCTGGTGAAAGTTGTTTATAAGTTCGTTTTTTATTAATTTTATCATCATTGGCTTTCTTGCATTTTTGCTTGTAAGATACCAAAGAAACTTTACTACGAGGTCTGCCTGGGGGATTAACTACTGGTGAATAGTTAAATATCGTGCTTTATTTCGATAAAACACAGCTAGGTGCTTTGTTTGTTTCAGATTGTAATTGTGGTTCTAATTCGTGTTCTTTTATAACTGGTTCTTTTTCGTGTTCTTCTAAACAAAATATTTCATAATCTTTTCGCAATTTTTCTTGGTGAAGAAATTCCATATGAGATTCTTCTTCAACTTCTTTTTTTAAATCCAATTTAACATTTTCTGCTGTTGATTCATATTGTATATCATTAAGTAAATCTACAAATAATTCTTGTTTTATTTCACGACTTGGTTGCTGAGAACAGTTGTATGTTAGAGAATTTGCATAATTATACAAATCATTATGTTTATTTGTATTAACTAAATCTAAAACAACATTAAGGAAATTTAAATGCTCATTGAATTCCCTAGTTCCACATTGAATAATACGAGCAGTTAATAAATCTAAACATGGCCTTACCATGTTGTATTTATCATTACTACTTAAAATTTTATGTTTTCCAGCAATAATTTGGGTTATCATCAGTTGTGAACCGCGACTTCGTAAAAAATCGGGTTCTACCGTTTCATGTAAATAAGAATCAACTGGATTTTTTAACCAACGTTTGTTAATCGATATAATTTCTTGAATTTCAGTTTCATCCTCATATATCTCATCGTTAAGTCTATCAAATAATACTAGTATATGACGACATGGTAATTGGTTTTGTAAAACAAACTGGCAGTCACAACATAATAAATCAATGGATGAACTTCGATTAATTATACTTGAAGTAATAAAAGTATTCTTTTCTTCATCTTTTTGACCAACTTTCCACTTGTTTTCTTCAATCTCTTCAACAGAATAAGATTTATGTTTTAATTCTTCGTTTTGTTTACGTAACAATTCAATAGCTTTGTTTGTAATCTGATTACCAAATCTCTTCAGGAACATCGAGTCATCAGAATTATAAATCTGTCGTTTTAAATTAATATTAATACGAATTTCCTCCGCTTTAGCATCTTCAGCTGCTAAAATTAATTTTTTCACGCATTCAGATATATGCAAATTAGATGATATGCGATCCTTAAGTGTTCGGTTGAATCGTTCAATATGATTGTTCGTATCTGTATTAAAACTAAAAAGATTTTTACGGAACTTCGTTTGCCACATTTCAGAACACGCAAGCCAATTCATTTCAAAATAATTGTAAAAATATGTTTCTTCTGAATTAATTTTGATTTCTTTTAAATATATCGCTGACATATTATTATTATCGTAAAGCAATTTGCGAATATTTTTCATAATGTTCATTCGATTGGTTAATGAAATTCTAAGTTCATGCACTCGAATTTTGAGATACTTTAGAACATGAAAAATGCATAATAATATTCGAGCTGTAGGAAAATGTTCTTTTAAAACATCTAGATTAGTTAAATCTTTGTCAATCATAATAACTTCCGTTTGTGTTAAATCATTATCTTCACTAATGGATGAATAAAAAAACTGGAGATTATCTTTATTTCCGGTTGTCATTAAGCAATAAGCAACCGGTACTCCTTTTAGACTCGCGTTTTGAACTAAGCAAATGTATAGTTGATAGTTTTCTATGTTCACTTTGAATGTTGAATCTAAGTGTAAAATATTCGAATATTTATTAAACCATGCTTTCATTTGCATGGTCTGAATATATAAACATTCTAAAGTACCATTTTCATTAGTTTTTATTTTTATTGAATTATTTGAATCTTCACTTAAAATATTATCGATCCATGTATGTAACCATTCCGGATCACTTTGATTTCCAAATAAGTTAAAGTTTATCTTTTTTTTAATATTATTTATATCTTTTCGTGTTAAATTAATATTAAATTTTTCATTTATTAACTTACGATTATTATATGTAGACGTATTAGCAGTAATAAGCATTTTACATAAATCATATGCTTCCTCATTTTCTTTTAATTCTTTGTTTCTTATAAAGGTATAGTTCTTGTAAATTAATTTTCCTATCGGATGGTTATGATTTAAAATTTTTTTCTTCATAAAAACAATTTTATTTAGTTCCGTATCATGTTTTATTCTAAAATAGAATTGACAATCAATCCGACCAGATTCTTGATTCGGTCGTGATCCATCCTTTGTATTTCTTTTAACAGGACCGCTATGATGGCATACATATTTGACATTTGAATACCGAAAACGATCAAACAAGTCTTTCATTATTTTTTCATTATATTTAATTGAGTGACGTTTAATGTTTACTGGTTGATAGTAATCATTGCACCAACTTTTAAATTCTGTTTCGAAATCCGCCCAATTCTCAAATTGTTTGGTGAAGAAAACATCTTGATCGTGATCCATTTAACAACTGAAAAGTAATAGTGAGCTAACTAATAGTTGAAGAATATGAAAACAAGGATAAACTCTGACAGACTTGTGTGAGCAAATACTTGATCGAATTAATTATTCTGGCTACAATATAATGACGAATTTTTGAAATAGAGTGTAAGAATGAATGCAATCTATCTTTCTTACCGGTATCATTATATTTATTGATTAATACAAAAACGATTACATATACGTTGTTTTCAATTTCAAGGAGTCCATGTATAGTGATAGAGAAGCATTCAGTGTAAATTAATTAGCGTATGTCAATTTAGAGTGTCACTCCATATTACAAGATAATTGATGTTTAGTCTTTTTCAATTTTCCATTTTATAATCCAATAAATTAGGAACACACAAACATAATCTTCTGCTCCTTCTCATATAAATTATCGACAAAAAAAATTAACTCATAGACAAAAGAAAAGTTGCTTAACATTTTCCTCATTCAATGCAATGAGAACAATAAAATTGAAGCATTTCCTTCAAAGCCCAAGAGAGGCAGCAATAGAAACATTTCTACAATTGTTGATATTTATTTGAATTGATTATTCTTTTTTTATACTTGTTTTTTGTGCACTTCTTTGCTTGAAGTACTTGATTTCTAATTTATTTTCATGAAATAAAAATTAATAAACTTCTAATAATTGAAAATATTTCTCTGATATTGTCCATGAAGTATAAACAACACATTAATATAACTTAAGATTTATGAATTAATTGCTTATTCCTAGTCGAGTGCATATAGTCATAGGGCTATGTATACTCGAGTGCATATAATCATAGGGCTATGTACACTCGAGTACACATAGCCACTACCTATCTTTTATGTGACGTCGCTTATGATGTTTAGGAAATTGTAAAGAACATTCCGATAGATCATGTTCATTTTATCTTTCAATATCTTGCAATACTGAAAGTTTACCAGCTCGTCGGAGAAATTGTCCGACAGTAAAATTCACATTTGATGAGAATGTCCCAGGCATTGATCTTGTTAGTCTGAATACATTTTCGCATGTCTGCGAATTAAAACTTGATATACATAGAGCAGATTCAGGCAGATCATGCTGGCAAACAAGAATAACAACTGATAGTAATGTGTGTGCATTGATTTCAATAGAATGATAAGCAGCTTTTGTGATAAAGAAAAAAGCTTTATTTTTGTCCTGATGTTCCGTGGAAATTTTTTCCTCATCCGTTAACTGCAACCCAGTCCACCAAAGGCGGCAAATGAATACTGTCATCCAACTATGATATATTCGATCAATAATTGATGCACTTTTTTCAATATAAGCTATTATAATACTACGCAGCAGACGTAAGTAAACTTGTGTAGCATAAGAATCAGAAACATTATTGAGAGGAAATAAAACATCATCAGTTGAAATTTTAGCACAAGAACCAAAGTTTTGTCGGTCTTTTGGATAAACATCCGTTTTACTAATCCATGCATTAGTTTCGATTGATTGCTAATTAAATCAAAGGGTACATCGACTGATATTTTTTCGTTTCCAATACACATTGAAGCAGATTGAGAAAGAAGACGATTACGAATCTTGGTGCAGATGTGTACTGGATCCTGAAAACAAAAAAATAGCTGGCATATTCGCATGAAGAACCATGAAGATCAGTTCTTTGGTAACTTCACTTCTAGCACATCGTTGCGCTCACTTATAGGTATGTTAGGTAGTTTAGCAAAAAAACCTGTAATGAGACGCATAGCACGTAAATATTTCGGATCACAGTCCGCTGAAAAAGCAAGAATTCGAATATTCGAAATTCGAGACCGTTCAAAGATCCACAGCCAACGACGAAGAACATCAATGGAGTTAAATTTGCTTGTAATTCTGTAAGCTCCTAAAAGAAATGAAGTCGACGAAGATTTAGATATTGTAAGAAGTTCTAACATATGAACGTTTAAAAGATTTGACTTCTCTTCATTCTCAAACCACTCTTTCAATTGGTCATACGAATCAGTTTGAAAAAATTGTGTAACGGATACTCCATGATCGAGAGGAGTTGAGAATCCGATGAATATATTAGTAGATGCATCATACATCACCTTCGGGGTCACACTTGTACAATTCTCGGAACAGACAGCTAGTTGATAATTGTTTGAAGTTTGGAGATCCCTAAGAGCATCATATCGAAATTCACCTTCAACGATCTTTCCATCAGCTTTTGTAATAGAACCATCAATCGAAGTAATCTATGGTACTGCACCTGGAAGATTTAGACGAATATATTTGTTTGTGTTGCGTCCGCCCATAATATATAATGCTTGAGCAAATTTTTGCACTTTTGTATTATATCGATAATTGTTTTTCGACTTTTTGCTGTTACTCGTAATGTTATTGATCAAAGTTTTAAGAAAAGAATTTTTATTCTCTTCCAACGTATCAGAAGTTATTAGTGTATTAGATTGAGGAGAATTAAAAATGTTAATAGTTAAAAATAAGACCATAGTTTGATTTCATTTTATTATTATGCAAACAAGATTGCATAAGTTTTTAAAAGAGAAAAATAAGGAAAAAGAAACAAGAGAGTATGAAGATTCACTACTTGCAAACTGCACAAAATTTACGATGTTGAAGGGCAGAAATTATTCGATTTAATAGTTAATTACTGAAGTAAACAAATAGAATCTGTGACAATCTCACTAACATTCTACTATCATACTTAAATAATCCAGAATCAGCATGAACACTTGCTGATACAGACAGTCCTCATTATTTCTACAAAACAACATCTAAAGTTAGCATTATTGAAAATTATTTGTTCCAAAATTGCCGTGACTAAAAGTAGAACCTCCTCTGTTACTCATGGCTCCTAGTACTTATTTCTTATAATAAATCTTGTATTATCCGTCCTTCATTAAAATGTTACATAGATATGTCTGAATTCAAGTCTTATAGGTGTACAGCTGCGCTAAAATAAAATCTCATAGATTATATATCTAAAAAATATGTGCGGAATCATATATTTTATACATAGTGAAAAATATTACAGATCACAATAGCATATATGACAGTTGTTCTAACACACAAGATTCATTATAAGAATAACATAAAGTAAAAATCAAGACTGTACCCAATACTCTCTTAAAATATTCTAAAAACAAAGTAACTCTTCAAAATATATGTAACTAAAATTGGATAAATTATGGTACCAAATATTTGCATATACCAACCTTTTGTTCCTGTTGCCATAGTTGGTGATAACGGTGAAGAGATAGGTAGAACTTGTGCTGATGATTGAGATACCAATGTAATATTATTACTAATTATTATTATCATCGTTTGACGTTTGCTTTGATTTAATTCCAAGTGCAATTGTTTTCAAGTGCTCTTGATTTTTAACATTGAGCAATTGAGTGAAATAACGTAAATTACTTTTACAGCCAGGCTTGATGATGTATCGATTATCAACCAATAGAAGGCAAGCACTTTTTTTAATTTGATCTAATGCTTTTCATTCATGCTTCAATATATCAAATATGTCCTCAGTATGAATCAATGAATGAGCACTACGAATTCCTTGTAGTTCAAGTAAGTCAGCTTCTATGGGACCAGCTATTTTACGAACTAATTAATAGAAAGATTCATCATGTAGTGATAATACGTCTGGAGGAAGGACTGTAATGTCCATGTTCAATGTTGTTGGTGGCATGGTCGAAAAAAATAGAAATAAGATGTTACAATAATTTGATAGGATGATATGTAACGAAAAAATTGTTCATGAGAAAGATAGATAGAAATTGTTATTTTTCTCGTTCTCTAACATTCAACTCGTCCGTCTGTATGAATAATGTTAGCGTCCATGATGAATCACTTGGACCCTAAACGATGATTTAGATGCGTTTTCTAGTATAACGGTAGTACATCTGCCCGGATAGCAGAAGATATGGGTTCGATTCCCATGGAAGGTCATCTTTTTCGTCGTTCTGTCGCATAACATCAGTGACACTGCTTGTCTCTTTCCTTCTATACATATTAGAGCCTAACAAATACATATAATTGAACTTTAGAATATAAAGAATGAAACATCACACTATTTAAATAGCTTTAGTTTTTTAAAAATTTAAATCGATTACAGAGCATCTGACAGTGTCTTTAACAAAAGACTGCGTAAAGAAATTCTTTAAAAATGTTGACATTGATATAAAATCATTCCTAGAGCTAAGCCAATATTCATTTCTATCGATAAATGATGTGAATTTCGTATTTTCTTCATTAAATCAAGTTTTATCTGCATATTGTTGTACATATCCTCTGAATTCCAAACCGTATCCTTCGGATTGTCGTTGTATCACCACCGTATCCTCTGGATCGTGATGGTATCCTCTGTATCCTCTGTATCTCCATTGTATCCTCTGTATCCTGTGTATCCCGAACGGGCGGGATCCGCTTTTCCCCCTTGGTCGGAACAGAGATTAATAGATACACAATACCAAGCATCGTTGTTGTGATGATGGGAGAAAATGAGGCTGATCCACCGATAGGCAGCACTCTTTCTACTAAGCGAAAGCACCATCATCTGGATCCCTTCTCACGGGCGTCCATGTAGGATTTGGGGGTAATACGAAGAAACGCGAGTCGATCGAGAATGGATGCAAATAATGATGAGAAAAAAATGACGCTGTTCGATCGATGCACAACGCTTTTCTACGAAGCACAAACACTATCACGTCGTCAATGTATGGGTGTGAGTGTGGGTGCATTTGTACCTGTTTCTCTTATGAACACCCACACCCACGAATTTCAAACGGTTGCTGTATTGGTTCGTATACGACACGGCGATATACGGCGCATACTAAAACGTTAAAATACGGTGTGGGGTGTGAAATCTGCATATGGATGTTCGTTTATCCAACTGCCACAACTATACCGACACCCACATCCACATCCGAAAATCATACAAATACGATATTACATGTTTGTCTTTTTAAGTCAATCATTTGCTTTGAAGTTGCTAGGGACTAATTGAATATAGTCGAAAGTCTAAACCAATGTATGCTTCACTTCGTCATAAATATATTGAGTCAGATATTCTATAGAAAAAGTTGTGAATTTCGTTTTGCTTAGCCGTTTTTCATCCTACTTCGAAAAGTAGGTATTTTTTAAAGGATTGTTTTAATTATTTATTTCCAATCACTAGATGACGACATGATGTGATGATAGAATAAAAACAGCGACGCACTAAATTTTCTCAGAAAGACATGTGAAAAAATATGTGAAAAAATATTTTGTGATTTTTGAGTTGTCAGCTGGTTTATTTCGATGCCATCATACTATATAAAAATTTGTTTCATGTGTCTTCATCGGAATGATATCGCACTTATTATGTGTCGCATCTCCGCTACGTCAATTAATAATAGGAGTCTCAGTACTGGAGCCAATATCAGTGAAGATGCGGGTGTAACTCTGGGGGCGACCATACCTTAGGATGTCAACTCATTATAGATGATTCCCGAAACAATTTGAATATATTTTCACTCCGTAGTAGACTGGTATCTTTATTTCCGACATGTTTTGCTCTCAATTACATTTACACCCACATTCAGATTCCCACCCAAAAACATGGTTCTCAGGCGATATTTCGTCCGAAACACCCAGTTTTTGCTCGACGACCCCATTCAAAACACTATATCATTCGATAGAGAATAAAATTATGCATCTAGCAAAGCCAAGAAGTAAATCAATACAGATCTATAAGCGAATTCGGACAAGAAATATTGTTTTTACAAAATATTTACATAGAATTAAAGTCAGTATTTTTGGCAAAGATCCCCCTTGTTACTTGACGTTTCTACAGGTGAATCCGGACAGGAAATACTCGAATCTGATGATAAATTACTTACGTGGGAAATTCACAGTTTTTCTGTTAGAGCCGACCCGAATATCTTAACCAGGATCTGACCGTGGTGAGCAGCTCGTCCAATCTAAAACCATTTCGTTGCGCTCTGAAGCCAGCTGACGCAGTGTAACCGGTGAGTTCTCCGTTTCTGTATGATACATTCTAAATATGACACATTTCTTGTTATTGAGCCTGCGACATTATATCTTGCGAAAAAATTTTCTTTAGTATGTATCACATGCATCGTCTTCTTTTTGTATCATGTTATTATATCTGCTGTTGTTCTTTTTTAATTTTTATCAGCTTTAGTGAAATACTTGCATTTAAAAGGATGAATCGGTGAATATAGCTTGGGGCCCGTAATGGTAATAAGGTCCATTAATAGAAAACAAAAAAACGTGCATATATACCAGACGGTTTATACAACTTCGTGTAATTGTCTAATAAATTTTAACAACATAATACTTTTGTTTCAGACTTATTATAAAGAGCATACAGTGAACCTTTATTAAAACAATCATTATACACCGATTCAGTTCAACTTACAAGTTACAAATCAAGTAGCGTATACATTTGAATTTTCCTAATTTAGTGAAAACTAACTGCTCCAATATTGTATATTTTCTCAAAAACGTCACTGCTGCACTAGCGATGAGCATATTCTGTTTTCGTGAATAAGCAGTTATTCACTGAAATATGAGCAGACTATGCTTTGCTGTTGATTTCTGTATTGATTGGATCCAATTTGTGTATGCAATGTATAAGCCATATGAAGTACGAAAAACACAAATGTTGACTACAAAGCAACGTTGACGAATGAGAATTTTCTCAAATGAAAAAAGATAAGAGAGAATGCCATGCATAATGCGTGTATCAATTACAGTAGGATAGAAAAGAATAGTTTAGTAAGACGCAGAGACTATATTGGTTACTTAAGTCATTATCTGCTGAACAAATTCATTTCGTTATTTCATCAAAAGACAGAATGAATGAGAATAGTTCTAAAATTGTAGGAAGATTGTTTTTCAAAGAGACAACATATGCAAAGAAGTAGAACCCAGATTACTGGTTTTCTCCTCAATATCGATTCGAGATCGAGTTTCATAAGAGATCTGTATCACTGCATAGAACTGTACTTATTCGAATGAAAATATTTACATCACACGAAAATATTCATAAAATCTAGCGGATTTTGATGCGCGTTATTCAAAATAAAGTATTGGTATTTCATCATAGCTATCATCACATGTTCCACACAGTGTTAGTTTCAGTATGCTTTTCACAGGTGCCTATGTTCTCACTTGTAACGATAAATGCGGAGAGGGTCTAAATTCCACGTTGGAGTGTAACGCTCCCGTTCGAGTGTGATCTGTGCATGGTATTTGGCCTTATGGTGCCAATTCTTTTCATCACATATATTGCCTTTATCTTTCTGTCCTTGATATTTGTCTTTATCTCTCATTCTCCTTCGTTCTCTCAAATGGTTGAGTATTTAAGCGTGTGCTTTATATGTAATCAATGCGATTTTATGATTTGAAGAGTGAAATAAAGTGTAATACCATCAGCACAGATATCTCTTCTATCAGAAATCATTACATCACTCAGTGAATGTAGCATTGGCACGCATCATATTTCGGCGACTACATGCGCAAGTGTTAAAAATACGAGGGTAGCACTGGCATAGAAGATTTCAGAAGTAGAGAATCATTATCACCCATGCCTTTCTCCTTTTCACATCCATACACACTCATATGCCATACTTTGCTCATGAGAAGCCAATGAGAAGCGTTAGAGTGCCTAAGAACCAATCAAAATAAAATCTTCAAAAGTAGCCATTTCTGTTGTTCGTCGAATACTGCGACTAATTTATTTAATTTGATTAAGTCCAGCAAAATCAATGGTTGACATTGCATCTATATCAACGAAAGAAATACAAACTTTGAAACACTTTGCATTTGTTTGGCTCGATTCAAATGCTAAACAAAGTGATCGGATTCAAACAGTTATACAAAACTTAGAGCAAAATCATATCGATATTACTTCGATCATTGATTGCGTTCAATTTCAACAGTGGTTCGAATCGTACAAGTCACAGAAACAGATTATTCTTATTCTGTCTAATAAGTTTCGAAATAAAATTATACCAAAATTTCACGAATCACAATCCATCATTGTCAGTTCTGACAAAAACGAGCTCATAAAACAAATATCGAGAAATTTGACGGATTCGGCAATGATGGGCAGACCGAAATCTGATAAGGTGGCTATAAAACGATCACATGATTGTACTTACATATCTGAAATAGAGAATCCGTGGAGGAAGCGTACACAAATTGAGCCAGGTTTGTGTTTGTATGTTAAATAAACAACATGAAACATTATGATTTCTGGTTTAGCTTGTCTCACTACTTTTCAATTTGTTCTTATCGACTTGTTGACACGTTTCAATAAACGAGCCTCGGCCATGTTAGATTGTTTGTGTTTATTGATGAAAGATTCAATAATCATTAAAGCCCATGCTTCAATTCTCGATTTAAAGCATCTGCCTAATAAGACCACGATATTCTTTGTAAGTAGTGAGTGTGCTGCTGAAATGGCAGGCGAACTAGAACATGGTGAACCAATTTTCATATTAGAAAATGATAAAAACAAAGTCGATTATCGAAAACGATTCGATAATGATGAAGATCTCATCTTCCAATTGGCAGATGAAATATATCGATGTTGTAAAAAAGAATCAATGGAATTGTTAGAATCTGACCAATCATCATTAGCGGAAGAAAAGAATGCAGTAGCTAATCAAATCCATGTCGAATTGAAAAAAGCATACAAATCAGTGTCTACAAATGAAACCGTACCATTTAATGGCACAACAATACTCGTCTCAGTCATATCAAAATTAGCCTGATTGTCATGCCAAAACAGTGCAAAACAACTAAAAATACATTGATAAACTTCTTTAAACTTTTTTAATATTTATTCTTACATCAAAAGAAATTCAATATGCATATTCTTGCTTAATTTGTACACATAACCAGATTTTTATCCATGATTCATTTTAGATGCAAAGTATTCACACTATTAGATTTAACAATAACGTTTACCACAATGGTAGCCATTTCACTCTTCTACTTTACGAACACAATGGAGTAGCTGTGGCTATTCCATTACCTAACTCTGATTTGATGTCTTTTGTTCGAGTTTTCAACAATATAATAGAATGTCGAAATCATATAGAGACAAATCTTCAAAAACTGGTTACACTATTTGGTTATGACGATAACATCAGACACTGGTTGTCTAGTGTTGATAATATACCACCTAATCTTGCAGAAATAAAAATTTTTTGTCCTGCTGAAGATCGTTTATTTGCAACTAGTTGGACAAGACGTTATAGGAAAAGATTTGAAAATATTACTTTTGATATAATCAATTTTGAGGAACTGAACTACAGATTATTATTATTTGGCATCGATCATCTAAAACAACTACATTCAGATTTTCAACCTGATTCACCAGAATTGCAACAATTGGTTTTGGATTACAAAAGAGTTTGTCATGCTTTAGCGAATTATTTTTGGTGGGAAGCTAATAGATAAAAATATTTAAAACAGCAGACATAAACAAAATATAGAAATAGAAATTTATTTTTTTTGTTGTTTTATGCTCTTCTGAAATTAACTATCCATCATTATCGGTTGAAATAGAAGACTTGTGAGGTACCATTATAATAAAAATTTTGAATTCAAGCCAAGAGAATCAGACGTTCGTCGATAATGTGACCTGATATAACAAGATTACCAAGGCGTGGCAATTAGTTCCCCCTTTAATGGCCTAGTGCTGCAAAGCTTGAGATTGCAGCTTCTGATGAAGCTAGAAATGCCCACAGCTTCCGTCTAGTCTAGTCTGAAACGTCTTGCATACCCGTCTGGTCTAGTCAGCTTAATTAGGGATGTCTTACAAACACGTCTGTACTAGTCTGAAATGTCCTTGAGCCCAGTCATGTCTAGTCCGTGTTGTCTGTTGATCCAGTCCAGACTAGTAAGAAGATTAAAAAAGAGGTTACACAGTGGATTTGAATATCCAGTCTGACAATGTTCGAGATATGACGGACATCCTGACGACAGACTAGGATACTGAGATGAGGGTGTGGGTGTAGCTGGGCAGGATCATTGGAATGCCCACACTCACACCCTGAAGAAGGATGCTACAAGACTTAAGACTGACAGTGTGTTTCATATTTCCAACAAGGCTTCTTGGTCTGCTTTCAAAAGGGTTCATAAAGTTTCGTGCAAAATTCAATTCTGTTTCGAACGACATGCGCAAGTCGATGGATTCCTGGTCCTAATCTTCTATACTGAAAAGTAAGAGTTGAGAGAAGCAGATTAATTTGCCTGCTTCGTCAAGAGATATATCGATCTGTTTCTGAATTGATTATTCTAGCCAATCACCGATCAATATGAGTACTGTTGGGTGGATTAACTGTGACAGTTAAATAAACCAAACGATTTACAGTAGATACACATACACTTTGATTAATCAATTAGCTTTTAATTTTTCGAAAGATTTATTCCTTTGAGATATTAAACATACGTAATTTAGTACAAAGACATGTTAAAGCACCCCGTGAGATCTTTGAGCAAGATCAAAACGTGTTGTGATAGCTAAAAACAATTCTTCAAAAAATGTCTTTTTCACTGATATTTTTCAAAATAAGAGCGAGAAGAACAGCAACAATGAATGTCATTACTTCCTATTGTCTCGACTTATTTGAATTGTTTTGAGAAATTGCATCGCATCATTGAGCTCTTTGCTACCTTTTGTAGCGTGAAGTTGTAATTGATCGATGTATTTTTGGGCGAATTTAATTGCCTCATCGAATTGTCGACGTTTTCCATATGTTGTGGCAATGTTTTTATATGTTTCAGCAAATGTTTTGTGCTCTTTTGGTAGTGCTTTTGATTCGATTTCCAAACATTTGAGTTGATTTTCCAAAGCTAGATCATATTTTTTAATTTTATAATACATCGCACCAATATTATTATAGAGAAATGCTAAAAAAGGATGCTGTTTCGGCAAATGCTCGTGCTGCTGTTGGAGCGCTTTTAAAAATGATTCTAGTGCCTCTTGATACTTCTCTTGACGATGAAAAATATTACCAATACAAATGTAAGTAACAGCGATGGACGAGGGATCCGATAAGCCAGAAGACTCAATAGATAGCAGTTGTAGCTTTAATGCTTCGTTATATTGTTCAAAAGCTTCATTCCAATTTTTTTTTCCACAATAAATATGACCGATGGTATGCAATGTATGAATTAATGACGGATCATTGGGCTCACACAAACGACGACGAATATTTAAAGCTTCTTTGTATAAATTTAAAGCTGTATCATCGTGTCTCAATGACATATGTGTCTTGGCAACATTGCTGATATATGCCGCCTTTGTCAATGGATCGGGTGATTCTAAGTTGTTGAAAGCCTCCAAAGCTTTTTCATAGAAAATTAAGCTATCCTCGTATTCGCCTTGTTTGTAATGCATACTTGCCACATTAGCATTACTGCCGGGAATTTGCCCGTCATACTTAGCTTTACCCTCGCGTTGAGCATGAAGGACACCTTCGAAAAATTCTAATAGAGTGCTTTGTATTTGTTGCGTTTCCTTTTGCAATTGTTCGTCTTTTTCACTGACAGTACTTAAGCGAACTATCCAAATACCATCAATTGTTTTTTCCTTTGCTACATCATCGATTCGAAAAACAGTTCCGATTGAGAAAAGAACTTCACGTTCATGTTTAAAGTTACTCCAACGAGATATATCCGCGAATGGACGTTCCGTTTGATCAGCATCGATTTCCATATGAAAAACAACCGACTCATTTTTAGAATCCTGTTTATCCAAAGCAAATTCTTTGGCTACATTTTCGTCTAAACTAGTCGAAAGAAAACTATCAAATGCAATTAAATTCTTGATTTCGCCCCGTATTGTTTTCTCGAAATCTTCCGAAGGCATATTTAATCCACGATAAACAGTAAAAACACGCGATTCCAACGATGGTTTGTATAAACTATGCATTTGTTCCAGTTGCATATGCAAATCTTTGATAAAAAAATGAAACTTGTATAAGATTGATATATCTTGAGTCAAAAGAGCTGTGTTGAGCATTTTGAATAGAAATGTTTGTCGAGTGTACCTAAAAGACAAAGAATCTTTGCCTATCTATTTCCGGTAGTTCAATATAGCTCAACTCTGCCATTTATTATGAAACTGAATTATTAAGATTCAAACAGATCAATACCCATCGTGTGTGGCCGCTTCTAACCATTGCTGTGCTTAACTTCTATTTGATACGTCCTAATAAGCGGAAGCTGCGAGTATTTTTATGTGATCAGATTTCGCCTCTAAGTGTTGACCTTTCACAAAATGGATGTTGGGGTTAAAATAAGGAAATACACAGTTCATCAATGAGGTCTTATCATGAATAGTATTTGATGAAAGCATTCAAAAGTTTATCTTACCACCAGATTGCTTTGCCAGCATGATATTCAGTTTTCAATTCCTGGATGCATTTGAGTTGAGCCGGACTCAATTTGTATACGCTGGAGCAAAAGTCAGCGAGTTCCAATCTTGCATTATTACTATACTCCATAGTGAAAAGTAGATCACGATGAAGTTGTGAACAGAGAAATTTCACTTGATTTTTTTCGTCCGCTGAAGTTCCTGATGTAGTAGACATAGGTAGAAGATTTTTCAACGCTTGTTCTGTATCTTCTTTCAAACGAGCACACAATGGATCGATTTCAACGAAGATGGCACGTACTTTATTGGAGAGTTGAAGTAATTCTATGTTTTCGTTTTGATCACCACAAAAGATATAGATAGAATTCAATTTAGAAGAGTCGACGATTTGATTCATTGAAAGAATTTGCTTTCCAAGTTTGCCAGATACGATCAAATAAATTTGCTGATCCTGAACTTGTTCGATCAAATCCATGGCTTCATTAATTGTATGGCAAGTAACTAGTGAATTGACAATAGCACGAAGTTTTTGTTCAGAATCAACAGTATCTTTGTTCTTCTTGATAGTTTGATCCAGCCATATTAGAACGAAACTTTCTGCCTTACTCTCGATGACCGACATTGACGTTGAGTCTGTACATTGGATTTTAGCTTTCGTCTCTCTATTGAGCTCTACAGATGAGAAGAAACTCGTCAATGTGATTTTCAATGAGAACTTCTGTGAGAAAAAAGGAGTATTTCAGAACGTTTCCGCGAGCTCTGTAGTTAGGTAAAACACAGAACCCTCACAACGAATCTACCCGTATGAGAGCTCAGATTGGTATTTGTACGGTATTTAGTGCGCGTTCGTAATAATATCGTTAGGTCTTGCATAGAACATAAATCTAACAGGGTCATTTTACTGGTGGTCTTCTGTCCTACAAAATGATATAAGCCAATCCTTTCAATTTGTTGAGGGGTGTGGGTATGGGTATCGGTTGATATGGCAATAGCAACCAAAATGTACTCACCCAAACAGCCACACCCACACTCACACCCAACAATCTTTTTTTCTGCTCTCAGTACCGTAGGATTGAGCACCTTTTTTATAGTTCAGTATTATTGTATAGAACCTCGTTGATTCAGCATTACTCCTTTTTTCTCATAGTTGCACAATCATCTCTTTTCAATCGATTGATAGCAAGAATACAAACCTGCCGGGTTGGAATAAGTGAACGATTCAGTCGTATTGTTTGGGTCTGAATTATTTGTCGATGATTTCATTGTATCCTTTTCCGCAGTTCCATTCGACTTCGTCTGTGAAAGTAACAATTTTAAATAGCTGGTTAGTAATTGCTCCATTCTACGACTGGCTGCTGGTGAAATATTTGCTAAAATAAAACAAACGAACGTATCTTTGATCAATCGATATTAAAAATTCCTCTGGAAAGAGATGCTTGCTTTTTCTGTCTTCATTCATAATTTTGCTAACAATTTGATCGGATTCCTTCGAGTTTGTTGCTGCGTCCTTAGATGCCTAGTTGAAGAGACTCTGCATATGACAAACAAAATCAAGAATTACAAATTGACTATACTTCCATTTTGCCAATCGATTGATTATCCTAGAAACAATCGACCAGTTAACACGTTTTATTCATCAAATTACGTTTTTCACTTGTTGATGAACTTCTTTGTTGACATTTTTCTGTCCTTGATTGTCTGTCAATGTCTAAATTAAGTAAATGATGATGACCATCTGGTATTATTCAATGTTGGTGTGATTACTTCAGTGTTGCTTGAGTCTTTGATCGGATTGTATTTAGCGGAAGTAGTATCTGGTAATGGCGTCTGTTCGATATTATCTTTCGTTTTAACTTTAACTGGTTTAGACTTTGTTAATGGGCTGGAAGCTAACTTGGCAGGCGTTAGCTCTTCTGCCGTATCTTTGATGGATATCGTAGATGACTTGAATGAACCAGCTATTATTGATTAAAATTTCTCTTTGAAACTCACCGATCGAGAAACTGATTGAGCACTGGTAAGTCTGATATGATTGGCATCATTCTGTTCCAGTTCATTTGGGAAAAACTTTATCAATTCATGCGATTGACAACTAATGTAAATGCATAAGTATTAGCGAAAAAAAATTGAGTCGATCGATAATGTCTTACGTCTCACATGGTATTCCTCCGGTAATCGATAGAAGTTGGCATGAACTTCTTCTTGTCTGAAAATGAGATTGGTTAACGAAGCCTTTTTCACAGCAAACAAAAATGTGCTGGTCAATGATTCCATTGATATAGATAGTAATAGCAAGATGACGAGCAATCAAACGATATGATTTGAAGGTGAATTCATCTAGAAAATGGTTGATAATCATCGCTAACGAATATCGATAAATGCGTTTCTACCATTGGGCTTTAGACATCCTTTGAAAATCGACTTAGTGCCAGTCATAGTGTGAGCTTGTAAGATTAAAATTTCATCAGCATGAATTTTAAACTTATAAGGACCATTGGATTTTATCATTTGTGGTCCAAGATACATCATTGTTACCGCACAAGAATTATCAGGAATACTTACAGATGTATTCTAGAGCAGTCAGCGATCTATGACGAGAAAATGTTTGCATTTATTTTATCTTACGTCGCTCGATGCTGTCCGTTGTTTCGACTTGTTCATAGAAGATTTTTTTGCAGATCGGTCAACCGCTAAAATTCTAGAAAAATGTTTTGCTAAGATAAACCTTTGTTTGCCGCATCTTTTACACTTACTGTCTATTATCTATCGTAGTCATCAGTTCGTGATTTATCTAAAATAATATGAATGGTAGAAAAAGAAAAGAATATGCGAAGAGTCTTGAAAATCAATTTCAGTCAATCAATCGACATGTATTCAATCCTATGTCGAGAGAACTTGTTTGAGCCATTGCTTTTGACGAACAATCTCTAATTGCGCTTGATTTTCTTTCAATTCTGGATGATTCTCTGAGATCATCCGCAAATATTCGACTGATTTTTCTGCACATACCACAGCTTCATCGTAGTCACCGATACGTGCATAAGCAGTTGAAAGATTATAATAAGTGACAGACAATGGATGTGGCAATGGATTTATTAATTTAAGTTGAATATCCAATGTTTTCTTATAGTATTCCAATGCTTTCTTGGGTTCGTCTGTGCGCCAAAAGCAGCTGGAAATTTTCTGAAAAATGGAAATCAAACGTGTTGGATTGTCTTTCGTTGACATCTTCTCTAGGATCATCGCTGCTCGTTCTAGATGTTTCGTTGCTGCAGCATAGCTCTTTTGATCTACATAAACTGCACCAATATTTCCCGAATATGTTGCTACAGCATCCATGTCAGGACTTGATGCTTTTAATTGGCATTCAAGAGCCATTTCATGAAATTTAATTGCACATTCATGATGATCATCTTGATAGAACATACTACCGATATTGTTATAACTAGATGATAGCAGTGAATGATTGTACGGTAAAAATAATTGAAATGCGCGTAACGATTTAAAGAACTGATAACGTGCTGCTTCAAAATCTCTTTTGGCATCATCGACATTGCCTAGAAGATGATGTGCAGCCGCTAAACCAGCCAACAATGTTCCATCGCCCTCAAAAGATTTATCTTGATAAATTGATTCGGTAAGATAATCACCTTCCCAATAATGATCCGTCTGTACAAGAAGTTTTGCTAATTGTAAAATGACCACTGATGTTTTTATTTGTTTTCGTAAGGATTCAGTTAGCTGTTGAAAATGAGAATCATTGAGCGAAACAGACTCTAAGTTTACTGTATGAACTTCATTCTCGCCTTCATCAATGGAAACTACACGAAAAACAGTATCGATATTGATCAGAACGTCGATTTTGCAATCAGAGCTGCGCAACTGTTCAATATTAGCTGCACAATCGGGTCCAAGTCGAATTGAAAAGATTAGATATCGTTGTGCGTCTTTATTTTGATATTCCGTCGATGTGGGTCGTGCGAATGTTGCGGGAAGAAATGAACGAAATAAAACTAATCCGTTAATATTTCCTAGAAACTTTTGCATGATTTCTTGTTCGACATCTAAAATAGCATAAGCAGTGATCGGTTCTTTGATAGCAATTGATTGAATTTGTTTATGAAGACATTGAATAAAATAACGCATTTTAAATAAAAGATCAATTTCTTGCGTGCGAAATGCGCGCGATAATATTTTTGTCAAGAAACAATGGCGTGTATACCATTGAATACTATGCGTGTCGATAAAGGATTTTTCATATTCATTGATCACATGTACTTCGTCTTGATTATGGGTATAATGAGTACGACAAAATGTCAGCATATCTTTTCTTAAATCACTTTCATCATCGTGACAAAGAATTGTTTCTTTCAAAAGTTGACAGTAAGTAAATGGCAAATCAGAAACACTATCTTTCGATGTGATTTCCATTGGGATTACTCGAGCAGGAATATGACGCAATGCTTTGATTAAATGATCACAAACTGATTCAATATTTCGATAAATCTCAATGGCATTACCATAACCATTAATCGATTCAGGTGGGTGCGACTGTTTGGATAATAAATAAATTGATTGGATACATTTGTACTGTTGAAGTTCGGAAAGCACTACTTCGGCTTGATTAATTGACATCACAACAATGAACTTTTCGTCTGTGCATGCTGATAGCAATGTTCCTAATGTGCTTGAATCACTAATTGTACGTATAGAATTTACTGTAGAATGAAGAAGACTGAGATCTTTGTCTTCATCGTGATTGATGTATAGAATGGTAAAATCCTCAACATTGCCAATACGTCGCGGTGAAATTGTTTGTCTAAGTTTAGGTTTGGATAAAGCTGCAATAATGAAATTGATATCATAGAGAAATCATTCGTAATCGCTATATAAGTATACCTTGTTGCATAACATCGCTGACGTATTTAAACAGAGTAGATTCATTAATGGCTGGTTCGACTTGTATTTTGGAAAAAGAGACTGGTGGGTCTATCACAATAGATGAATATCTTTGGTGTCCACTATTTTCTTAGATCAAAAAATTGCCAAAGAAACAAGATGATAGTTACCTTGTTGGGTAGTGGATTTATGAACAGTCGATAGCGATGGTGGCGGAGGAGAAGGAACAGCTACAACTTGAGGTTGATGGGAAATAGGCGGCTGAAGCAGGGGTGATTGAATTGTCGGAGCTATGGCAGGCGTGTCAGGAACTTTTTTCGCGTCTATAAGGAGAAGTTATCGACTAGTGTTATTATCATTACGAATTACCTGTGGATGAGGATGATGATGGGAGATCCATTGAGGGCTAAAATTTATCGAAATAAACTTCAAATTCTAATTTTTCAGGGATTCTTATTACCTTTGACGGCAATGTATATTTCACTTCGGACGGCTTACTCTTTTCAGTCGACTTTTCCGATGCTTCAATAGAAGACAGCAAACATTTGTTGTTCAGTCATTCCCTCGGATTCGATTACTTACCTACAGATTGATCCTCGTCTGCTTCACTTTCTTCACTAGTTGCACTCTGAATAAATAATATTTCTAGTCGTTAACAATTTGCGGTATTCCACCTTTTATTCTAGTCCATCTAATAGATTTTCAACTGTAGTTCGAACTGCGAAACTGGGTCAAAATCTAGCGTCTCATAAAAAATCTTTACCTAGTTTAGAATTATGAGTAGTGAACAGTGTTGGTTTACTCGACATCTCGGATGGCTAAGACAGTAGAGCCTACTCTGTTGACTCGCGTTTTCTTGAGAATCTTACCGTAGTAGGGATCATTTTCTCATCATCAGGTGCTTGTGGCAAATCAATGCTATCTTTACATCTGAAATTTTATATGAATATTCTTTTGATACTTGTTTTTTTCCACCTACTTCGCACATGGCGTATATTGCTCAACAGTTTCTATCCAAAATGAACTATCGCCATCGTCAATTCGACCGCCATTCCGATAGAGACGTTCACAACACGCTGAAATCGTCGTATCAAGATTACCATTAATTTCAAGTTTCAAACAAAAACGATCATCTATTGAGCGTTGGGATTTAAAGGTGAAGGAATCTAAAAGAAGAAAATGAATGTTCAGAAGAAAATGAAACAAACAACAAATTTACCATGCATTTTAACAAAACCTTTAAACACAATCCAAGTAGAACCATTACCAGCTACTTGAAGAATCGTCACTTCATCACGTCTTGAATTATGCGCCATAGAACGTAAAGTTGGATCCGATCGATATCTCATAGTTATGAGACAAGAACATTGTCTATCTAAAGTTCTTGGTCCGATAAAAATACTCTATATACAGTTACAGCTCATGCTTTCGAAGAAGCCTTTCAATATTGATAAGAATTCTTTCTTACTTCTGGGTAGGTCGGTTCAATTCTGTGTTGATTCTGGTTTGACCAAGAAACCTAAAGTAAAACGAGAAAACAAAATGTAAACAAATGTTCAATAGTATTGTTTCGAAGGTAATAACTTACACGAGACGGAACTACAGATGAAATTCGATAGCGGTTAGGAACCCATATCTTTCTAGAACAGCTAAAAATATCCATTGGCCGATTACAAATTCCGAAACAATCTTATCAATTAAAGCAAGGTTATGGATACAAAGGGGTAAATGAAAAGATGTTTCTGTCGTTCGAAATAATTTACTTGATGTTTTCTATTGAAGGTTGCAATTGTGAAATGGATAGAGCTGTTACAGATGATTCGGGTGAATGAGTCTTCTTCTTTGCCGATTTTGGTAGCCGATGGTGCCTAGATATTAACATTAAATCAACAAGATAAGAAATATATACAAACCAATCAGGCAAGTTCGGATACCGAGTCTTGTTTTCAATGGGACGGCGTTCTTCATGGATCGGTAATGCTTGTTCGAATTGATTGAACTAGAAATCATTTTATTCGTCTTGTTCATAGATACGAAAAATAAGTTTACTATTGTTCCGCTATCGAGAATAATAGATGATCGAAGATTCGCTGGTTCTCGTCGTCTAGATAATCGAACTGAAGTCATTCTCAATTGAAATCGAAAACGAAGCAATTGATCTAAAATCAGGAGTAAATATTCTTCAAAAAATCTCAATGAAATATTTATCAAAATGAATCGATGAATGAAAATCGCACAGATACGGAAAATATTTCTGATAACTATTTCTAGTTTTTGTCGGTTTCGGTTGTGGCAAATAAACTTTTCATCCAGATTTTTTTTTCTAAACGTTCAAGATATTTTGTTTGCATCTGTAAGTCTTCATCGTCTGGCTGCTTAGTTAAAAGTAAACGCGCAATGGCTTTTTGCACCGCTTCCTTTGCTTCTTGCAATTGTCCGAGTTGTTCCAATGTTGTTGCCATGTTATAATAGGTTAATGCAACCGTTGGATTTTCATCTGAATGACATTTGAGTTCAATATCAAGACATTTCTGATAATTTTCTAATGCTTCTGAATATTGATGCAGCCGAAACTGAGCCGCAGCAAGATTATGATATTTTGCAGCTACATCAGCATGATCATTATCCGGATGAAATTTTTGTTTAATTTTTAAATCAAGTTCAAGATAGGTAGCGGCGTCCTTGTGTCTACCAAGTTTTATAAAAACCGAGCCAATGTTACCTACATATGCAGCGACTGATTCCATATCAGGATTGGGCGAGTTCTTTTGAATTTCATAGGCCTTCAGATGATATTCTAATGCTTGTTCATTCAAACCTTGTTTATTATAGACACTTCCAATATTGTTATAAGTTGGTGTTAATCTCACATCGTCATCCGGTAAAACACGTAAATAAACTTTTAAAGCATTTTGTAGATGATTTAACGCTTCTCGATATTGCTTTCTTTCATAATAATAACTTCCCATAGAATGAAGTAATCCTCCAAGAGTCAAATTTGTTGCGTCATCTTTCACAGTTTCTGGATCGTCGATCAACATCGAACAGAAATATTCCATATAACCCGTTAATTCTTTTTGCTTCATCAATTTCACCATGCGTACTAATGGAAAAGAAGCATGCACAGCATCACGTAAACTTTTTGTTACAAGGTGGCCACTTTTAAGAATTTCATCATTGGTCGTTAATTCAACAGTAAATGTTCCGTCATCAATCGGTTCAATTTTATCAACACGGAATATTGTTCCAACTGTCAAAATAACTTCATTGAGTTTTGTTGCAACATCATGTCGAGAAGCACCGGTTCCTAAACCAATCTGAAAACGAACCAATTTCGAGTCTATGTTCGTGGAAGAAGGTTCGATTGCTGATTGGGTTTTATTAGCCAAAAGAAATTCATTAAATGATAACAATCCACCCTGATGTCTTTTCATCTTATCGAGAAGATCTTTTCGAATTCGAAGTGTTCGATGGACAGTCAATGCACTTGTATCAATCGACGATTTCAATTGGCAGTGAAGATGTTGAATAAAATATCGAATTTTAAATAAAATATCCGGATCCAAGACGCGAAATGCTCGTGTCATCATTTTGTATAAAAAGGCGTCGTGTCGTAAATACCAATGAATGGCATCATCTGGTTTAAAATCATTTTCAAATTCTTCGATCAATTTTAACTGAATAATATTATCAGCGTATTCTTCACGGCAGAAATCAATCATTTCTTTTTTCAGGTTTCTCTTCTCATTGGTTTCTAAGAGAATATCTATTAATGCTTGAACATAATTCAGCGTACTCATTCCAGCATAATCTGCAGGGATCGAGCTGATGCTTGTTAAGTCATAAGTCAATAATTGAAGATCGTTTTCTAGTTTTTTACACAAGCTGGTAATATTGGAGAAAGATCCTCGATAAAATTTCGAATCAAATGAATTTTCCTCCGATGAATCAATGACATAAATCGCAGAAAGTAGAGGTTCGTCTTGGATAGGTTTCGATAAATTTTCCATACTGGTTTTCGAGAGTATTAAAATAAGTCTTTCTTTCAGAATTTTCTTAAGAAACTCAATGGATTTCTTCGAATTAATATCATCAAAAATAAAACCGAAATTAATTAGACCACGCAACGTTTGCTGTTCTTCATTTGAAATCGGAACATGATTTTCCATAATATAGCAGAAATTCTCCACACTCTTCGGATGACGTGGCATTCTCGATGATTGAGTTTGTTGAGTCGATGTTTTCATATCTAAATCATAAGCATATAACACAGTGGTTATTGAGAATAAGATTCATATACAGCATACTTTGTTTGAAATAAGCTGTGAGCTTTTGCATAAGTTGCCCAAGATCTATTCCGTCACTGGCAGTAGTGGCTGTCTCGGTTTCATTTGGAACTTGTGGGTTATCTTCACACTTTTCTGTCAATGTTTGATCTAAAAAACATGTTTTATAGAACTTTACGTTCAAGAATTTATTATTCCTACCTGTTGCTTGAATGGTTGGAACAACCACGGTTTCTTTCGTATCGATTAAACTCGATTGGATTGTTGTACTTTCTGCTGATTTATCTGGCTCCAGGAGATTAGGATTAGCTGTTACCATTGTCTCTAAATATTTATATAACTATGAGAAGTTTTCCAGAATGATTTCTGATTATTTCGAAAAACCTGCATAATGGACGTTAGACGTGTCAGCCGCTTTTGGGCTTTTGTACTTCGAAGTCTGTGCATTGAGGAAGAAATATTAGCATGATTCTTATGAAATCACGATTCATTTACTTTCTTCTTCTGTGCATGTTTGCTGCCTTCGATATGAGCATCTATCAAATCAAGTAGACAAAACATTGGTTTAGCTACAACCAATCACATTAGGTTTACCTGTCGATGATGGCTTCCCAATGTTGTTGGATTCATGATGATTTTTAGAGGATTTCTTGTTTCTCTAGAATAATAAAATGTGATCTGCTGAATATATTCGATATAGAATGGCAACTCACATGAACTACTAAAGTATTTTTATTACTATTCATCAGTAGTTGATCAGCATAATCTTTTCGGCATCTGAAACAAATACTAAAATTTCTTTTGAGCACATACAAATCAACTAATGTACCTTTCACATGGATTCGCTTTTTGAATGTCTTTGAAAAGAAACTGTTTCTGATCATTGTCATTTGAATTCCTTTGAACACATTTGAATTCACAACATTCGCTTGTTACACTATCGATCAATCCTTGCACATAGAAAGCTAACGACAGACCGGATGTCGGCCGGCGTTGGGATTTGAATGAAAATGTTTCTAGAGAAGATGATGGTTTTTGCGATTTATCTTACTGCTTAACATCTATGTGATTACCGCCTTTGGTTAAATATCCTCGATACACCAACGAAGTTTCACCAGTGCTATGCCGTTGCATCACAATAATTTCTTCGCGACTGGATATTTCTGCAGGGACTGTCGTTGTCGACGCGTAAGACACTGTTATCTCACAGGCCAGACGTTCTTCAATAGATACATTTGACTGATTCGACTAGAATTAAAATATACTCATAACTATGAGTAGCGATTCCAAAATCTTACGCTTTCAATTCGAGTGTCTTGTTCATCAGAATCCGATAGATTTTGATTCATTTTCGAAGGTTTCTGATATGCCGAAGTAACACGTGCTGGTCGTTCACGATTAATTTGTACTCTCTAAAAATCGATCTTCGATTATGAGTCAGTTGAAGACATTTCGATATTATACCGGCAAAATATTCGTAGCACTTTGTTCATGAATTCGAATCCTACCATGTGCTTGTGCCATGTAGCGTCGCTTAACAATCTTCATCAAATACGATCAAAAGACATTGTTATGCTGTATTTCATTTACCTCATAATTTTGAATGAGAGAACGTGCTGAGGTATTTCTCAATGGCTGACTGTGATTACGTGAGTAATTTTGATCAAGACTGATCAGTCTAAAGTTTTCAATCAAGAGATAAAAAAAAACATTTCTGAAAGAAAATCAACCTTGAAGACATATCGTGTTTCGTCACTGTCCGTGCTCTCTGTTGAAGTTCACCTGTCGGTGGAACCAGAGGATTAGTCTAGATAGAAATCAATCGTAACATTGATTTTCTGAAGATGATGAGAATCTGTATCTTCATGAAGAACAGATCATGCTTTTACCCAAGCGGCAAGTTGCAAATAAGATTGTGCATAGGGAGTGTTGAACAACGTCGGAAGATAAGGATCTGATCTATTTTTCAACGGTCTGAAAGAGATTTTTTCAATTCGAATCAAAATTTCTTCTTTCGTATAGAACGTACTTCGTTTGAGATCGATCGGCCATAATGAAATGAAATCAACACACACACTACGTCTTTCTTGCTTTATTTATTTGATTTGGAGAATATTTTAGTGACAAGAAAGCAACATTCTTTTTCTTTTAGTTAAGATAAGAGAAGAAAAGAAAATAAAGAAAATGTCCAGGCAACCATATCATAAGTACCTTTCTTGTTGTTTTCTTCGAGCAAGCTTGTTCCAAGAAAAGAAAGCGAAAGAAACGGTTACAATTTCTTGAATCAACAGACGGTATGGATGAGAGCGAGGGACGATTCAGGAGAAGGTGAGGGTGTGTGAGTGTAAGTGTGTTAAAAGTCTCAAATTAAATTCATAGATTCAAAGCAGAATGTGACGCGGTTCGGCTTTTGCTCCAGTAGTCTTCATCAGGCATCTTTAGAATCTAAATTTCCCCATAGATCAAATATTTGAAAAAAATATGAACTCCATAGAATTCGAAAGAAGTAAACATTTTCGGGTGAGAGTGTGTTTCGACGATATATATATGATTAGACACCAAACCATCGTATGATACATTTCGAACGGGTCTTAGATTCACTCATTATCAGGTATATTCGGTTCTATCACTACATCTCAATGAAAACTATTCAAATAAAATCGAAACGTTTAAATAGAATTGCAACAAATTATTGACATCGAACAATATGCAGTACGGACGCTATAGTTGTCTCTATTTCAGTATACTTTTCATTTTACCATGTTGTAGTTTCGTCCCATGTTAGTTGTCTTTGATGAATTTCAGTTGAATATGCTCTGCGCATTTTTAATATTTACTTATTTGCGTTCAATCTGTATTGATCCTCTCGGAAGTGTGATTTATAATCCTGGTCGAACAATACGGCCGGGAAGCGTTAAACACGGCCCGTAATTCAGATCTGTGTTTTACGACCGTATTTCTGTCGTATAAAATATACTTACGGCACGCATGCGGCAAAATCACAGTAAAAATCCAGTCGTAAAGTACCGATCTGGTTGAAAGATATTTTTTACGTTTTTCTCAAAACAGCTTCCAACGAAGAAGAAGTTAGTGTTGATTATATTTGATTTTTTTCACTAATATGATCATTTTATGCCTGCCGTACAAATTCACATGACGATTGCATGTTGACCTTATCGCTTTCATCAATTTGAATCAAAATAAATTACTTCAGAGTATCTTTATTTATTTATCATGATAAATTGAGGCACAATAGTAATGATCTTGACAATCAAGAAGTTGAGATTACTTTTGATAAAGCGATAATGCTATTGGACTATTTGCAAGACAAAGATATTTTTACACAACGCTGCCAATACCACTTAACTCATCGTCTTCTAGGGAATAAGCTGATAGCGGATACTTTGGAACGCAGCATGGTATCACGATTGAAAACGAAATGTGGATCTCAATTTTCTTGTCAATTAGAAGGCATGTTCAAAGATATATTGATACCAAGCACACTAGTGGATGACTTTCGACATTATGTTGCACAGAATTCATTTCAATGGTCTAGCATTGATCTTTCTGTGCGAGTTTTAATGACAGGCCATTGACCTCTCCAAAGTACGACTCATCAGTGTAGTTTGCCACAGCTGGTGCATGACGCTTATCAATGCTTTCAAAGTTTCTATTTAAAGATGCAAAGTGGCCACCGCTTAATATTACAGTCGATCTTGGGTATAGCGGATTCGGTTGTACGATTCAATGAGGAATCGAAGAATAATGATACTGATGGTAAGAGATCATCATCGACAACAGTACAAATGAACAAAGAACGACACCATACGCTACAAGTTTCAACCCAACAAAATAATTATTTTAATGCTATTTAATACAAAAGAAGAGTGGCCATTTCAGGTTAGTCAATACTAGAGAATGACAACGAATCTCACTTAATTTGTGAAAAGCCTTGTCTAATGGAATCTAGTAGAACTTAAAGACAATATTTTCTGCTATAAAAGATACCGTAGGGTAAGCTCAACCCTTTTACTTTTCTACCATTTTTTCCGCAGAATTACTGTTTTACATGGATTTGTGAACTCCGTTTAGATTTTTATTGGTACTATTTTAAATAAAAACATAGTCGAGCAATCTTCAACTGTTCTATACCCATTATCAATGCTTATAGTTATCTCACTGTGATAAAAAAAAAATTTTTTATACGTGTCGTATTATATCATAGGAGCAATAATGCCTATAAACATTTTTCTCTAAAACTTACCAATTGATGTTAAACGTGTTCGATTTATCGCTTTCATATCAGAGAACAAACTCCTTCAGAATTAGCAAGAATCGTTTTTTTTCTTTTAAATTTGTTTTTATTTAATTTGGCCTAGGTCTGTTACCTTGAGGATGTGGCTGTGGATATTCTCATTGTTCACATCCACACCCAAAACTTCATTTAATGGAGAACAGCATAAATTAACCTTAGAAGGATTTTAATTTCATTATTTATTACAGGAAATTCATGAACAGACGGTCATTGTTGAGAAATATCTTGAATGTGCTTTACTACCATTAGCTATGGGCAATATGACGCCAAGAATTCTTTTTAAAGAGCCTGAAAACAGTAATATTCAATTGAGCAACTTCCATGTTAACGATTCGTTTGCATCAAAATCTCATACAGCAAATTTGGAAAAATCTGAAAATAGCTTGAAAAAGAAACAGATTCGAAAAATAGTCGAAAGTGACCATGCACATGAAATTGATGCAGCGATCATACGAATTATGAAGACGAGCAATACAGTGAGGCATCTTGAACTGATTGCTGAAGTGAGTTTCACTTGTGCATCTGAATAGAATTTCTCTTGCCATCTTTATCGTTGCTTTTCTAGTTCGCAGGTCATAAATCAACTAAAAGTACGCTTAAAGTTTGTCTGCGAGCAACTAAGAGCCGTATTGAGCATTTGATCGAATCTGACTTTTTATCACGATCTAAAGACGATATCTATGTTGTCAAAATCAATGATTTGTTTTAATTTTCTTGTTTTTCTTTGTGTTCCTAGGGCAATATACAATTATGTGGCATAAGAGCAGATTGAACTGGAATTTCGCCATTCATATTTTACTCTTCGAAATTCCTCACTGTTATTCTGAACATATGTTCTTTGCCAGCGTGCTTATATTAAGTCTTTCGTTCACGTTTTAAAGCTGAGGATATGAGTGTGAGTCTATCCTTCCTCTTCATCCGCACCCTCAATAAATATGAAAAATTAATGACAATATATTTATCTTATCCTTTCAAACCTATTTCCATGTGATTTTATTGATATTTCTAGATTTGACTTAGATTCAACTTTCATATTAAATACATGTTTAATACATCGAATTGATAGAAGGAGGAGGAGAAGACAATATTAAACACTCATCAATACTAATCGTAAAATCATCATCGTGAGGGTGTGGGTGTATACGACTTTTTCAAGTTAACACTCGCACACCCACACTCTTAGTTATCAGTTTATTCATACCACAATAATCGCTTTGATCAGTCTGAAACTGTAATCAACTTATTAGATCGTCCGAGGAAGTTTTAAATGGTCTGCTATCTTTTGTTGTTGGCGATGAATTTTATGATAGATAGTTTTTATACGATCTATACATTATGTTTAACATATTTATTACTAAAGCTGCCTAATGACTCGCTTGATCAAGATGAAATTCAGATGGCGATTTTCTCGATGCATCCACATCCTCATGAAAATTTGAGGAGCTTTATTCTTGAATATAATTTATTGAAACCTTGGAAAAATGACAAAACTTTGTTTAAAAAAACATTTTTGCCACATTATGCTCGTACAACATGCATGTTACCCACTAATGAATTCTTCACAGTTTATACCACGATATTGTGAACCACAAGAGCAAAAATACGAATCTCCATTGTTGTAGCATGGACGATTATTTCTACATGGATTCTGATCACATCTTACGCCAGCTAAAATCAAAATTGAATTATTTTATTTCTACATTAAAATACTTTTTCAATTAAAAATTGCATGTATAAAGTCTTTCATCAGTTTTCTAATAGTTTTTAGTGAACATGAGAATAAATTATTAAACGGATATCTTCACTTTGTTCTAGAAAATACTCATGAATAATTATTCTATGAAATCAAATATGACTATAAACCGAGGTGAGTATTATTCTAATCATAAGAAAAATGATGATCCATATGTGAAGTCTTTTCTAATGACGTCGAGAAAACAAATTATTGCTATAATTAAAATCTTTTTTAAAGAAAACATATTTTGAATTGAATCTAATTAATTCGCACAAATAAATTATGTTGAGAGATATACGTATGTGCGCATATTAGTTCATTACAATGGAAAACAGTAGTTGTGTACGGTGGCTATTTACAAAAAACCATAAACCATCAAAATAGAAATTTTTTCTGAATGGCTAGCGGAAAAGTAGAACAGTTGCACAAAGTGTTTGTTGTACATAGATACTCAGTGTAGGGACAATATGCGGTACAATTGTTTCAAAACAATCCTTTCTTGCTCTGTAGAAGTCCTTTATAAGATAGAGAAAAGTTACTTCATATTGCAAATTTAATCATATTTTGCAGTCTGCCTAGTCGAAAATGATTTATTTCTCAACTAGTCCATTCATTAGATAAGTCTAAACTGCAAGAATCTAGTAAAAAGTCATGCTAAGGAACATTGATGATATTTTTTTCTTGCAAATTCTGTGGTTAATTTCAGCTATGGTGACACTTTGATGATTACAATAGAACAAAGTAGAAGATTTGAGTAAAATGCAAAAAATTGTGTGATGGCATAATATGTGTCACGCTCGTTTGCTCTCATAGTAAAAGTCACTTACAGACAATTGCTTTATTTGGCTTCCATGAAAATCAACTGTGTACGTTTTTTCGCAGATTCAACTAAACATGATATCGAATATCTGATATCCATGATCGAGATTAGATCAAATCAAATATGCTAAGCTATTTTAGTAAGGATTCATTTTTTAGGTGATTTCAGTCAGAAAAAGAAGATTTGAAACAGAAAAGCTTTTAAAATTTTCATAGAAATAGTTGATATTACCTAGCAGTACATGATACAGGTGCGTGTCAGATTAGACAGAAATCCTGATCTAGATAAATCTATCTGTAACTGAGGGAATGGTAGTCGAACATCGAAGAAACATTTTACTAGCAATCGTTTAGTACCTATGCTTCTTTCTCATGGTATTAGTGCATACATACTACATCATTGATGATGTTCACTCTTTAAAGGTTAACATCATTATACACTTCAGTTTATTTTTACTCTGACTGAGGCCCAAGTAAATTAAAATAGAAGCTTTTCAAGCTATCAAGTACACATGCAAACTATTATATATTTTTTTTTGAGCAGTCGAATGGCTTAGGAAGCTCACGTAAAAGATATCTTTAATGGTAAGAATTTCTAGTCGCCTTTTGTCCACTTCTTGAAAGTCATAGTAAGTGATCGCAATTTATACATGGGAAATATTGTTCATGGTAGCATCCTTCGTCAGTTGCGTTATTCAAACACTAACTCTCAGATTTATTTTTGACAAACACAATTTAGAAAACCTTAGTCTTAAAACTTTTTCTACAATAAAAACTCCACCATACATAGTCTACGTGTTTGAACATTCAAGACAACCAGAGCACACAGGTGACTCACTCCTTTCTCACGCAGTCATTTAACACGTTCTACTGATAGTAACACCAGGTAGGGACGTTTTAAACCTGGAAAAGTAGAGATTTTCCCCTAAAAGTTCATTATGCAGTTTTCTTCATCCATACTCAGGTAGAGGTTTAAGGAGTCCATATACGATCGTCAAGGGTCGTATACGATTTTATTTGACCGTAATACATGGTTCAGTATTAAGATCGTATATCGTCGTGTCGTACACAGAGAAATACAACCATATACGGTCAAATACGGAGCAAAACGGAGATTGTATACGGGCGCAATGTACAGGAATCGTAAACGAACGTGTTTATTCGATCTGGGTACACCTGTTAGTTTGTACGTGACTGAATGCAACATTGATTGTTTTAAAAAGAACTTCGCAATTTTTGTCTTTGAATATGATAATATTCATGGAAATAAATAAATCTTAATAAAAACTCCCCTCACAAATTGCCTTTTGAAGCGTAGAATGTGTTTCTCGACAGTTTCAATCCTTAAAAAGCGCCAGCTTTACTTGAGTGATTATAAAAAAAACATGGTTGCTAGGATTAGTAGTACAGATTTTGCAGAAAAAAGTATTCTTTTGTCATTGTAGTTCACCTAGCATTCTAGAACTATTTACATTACGATAAACGTCAGTTTCTGATCGTTTACAGTGGTTGTAATCGTAGAACTAGGCGATTATGCATTGGTTCATTGTTGAAGTCAACAACCGAAGCCAAATAAAAAATGTTCTCTAACTTGAGAGGTTATTACTGTAAATTTGAAAACTCATTTATATCGGAAAAATGCCTTCTATAAATATATTTCTCATGCAGAACCTGTTTTTAACCAAAGAAAACTTTTTAGGTTACTTTTAAATTACTTAGTGTGATTTAAAATAGAATTGTTAACGGTGACTTTTAAAAATTTACTTCTGTTTTTAACTTGCTGAAAAATAAGGAGGAATATATGCAATAAGAGATAAAAATGAAAATACCTGGAGGTAGATTTGTTGGCCTTGTTGCAGGCGCTGCAGTTGATTGTCCTGGTACAGGCGCTGCAGTTGATTGCCCTGGTACAGGCGCTGCAGTTGATTGCCCTGGTACAGGCGCTGCAGTTGATTGCCCTGGTACAGGCGCTGCAGTGGATTGTCCTGGCACGACAGGCGGCCCTTCTAAATAAAGCAATTCTTTCTGATTGGAATCATTGAAAAAAATTTCAGGCAACAAATCGATTGTTTATTTACGAAATGAATGCTTACTTAGAGAGAAATTTGAAAGATGAATGATTTGGTCCATGATATTTACTTTTTAAAATGAAATAATCATATGCTCGTTAATCGAATTCTTTGACTCTCTAATATTTATGCTTGCTGAACTGACCAACTTCACGTACATTAGCTCTAATACATCAATCATTCTGCTTAGTGGCGTACAGATGTGTGTTTCGATCTGGTGAATTTCTGATGTAAAATTCTTGAAAATCTGATTTGTTTTTACTCGGTAATTTATAAAATTTAAAAGAAACTTGAAATAATACATTTTCGAAAAGTTCTTTTGAGGGTTTCCACAAATTGTAAAGATTTGAGGCTGTGGGTGAAGGTTCTAGCTCTGGATGTCTTCTTATTATTTCGAGACTTTTACTTGTTCTCATGACTCAAATTTGATCGAATAGATATGTTTTCAAAATTTCGCGCAAAGAATTTGCATTTTCTTATCAGTGTAACATACGTGATGGCGTTGCACCCAATGGCGTTTTGCATTGGGCACCTGTATGCGTGGGTGGACATCGGCATGCCGGTTTTGTTCCACTGGGTTCACAAGTTCCTCCATTTGCGCAGAAGTTTGGGAAAAGCTTACACGCTACTGACTCGGTGGTTGTTTGAGAAGTTGTACTCGTGGTAGTTGGTACTGGATTCTGGCAAGCGAAGCCGGAGAACCCTGGCGCACACATACATATCGGTGGTTTGTTAGGATCAGCATCAGGAATGCAGGTACTGCCATTACCGCAATAATTCGCTTTAGTTGTACGAATCTTGCAAGCTGCATTGATACACGATGGAAAAGAAAAGTTGAAGTCAGACATGTAATGCATTTGAAATATGATCGGAGGTCCTCTTTATTATATAGTGCTTTACGATTTGCCTTAATTTTTGTACGGTATAACAATTTCTAAGGGAGATCATTTACTACAAAAAAATGTTTTTCAAAATATGATACATAAAAGAAGTGCTGAAGTAGATAGGGTAATAGTAGTACATTCCTCCATCCAATCCGTGGCCAACGCTCTCTAAAAAGCAGTTTTATTTTATTTCACATTTTAATCCAAAAGGGATTGTGCTAACAGCTTTTTATTCTATGTGCTCTGTCAAGCATGTGATAACTTTGTTAAGGCATTTTTGTGATTTTGTAAGGTGATGCGAGACTCCGTCTGAGATGTATGGAGAAAGTTTAAAATCATATATAGTTTCAAAACTAACTATAGCTATCATATTAAAACTACGAATTTAAAATCGGAAATGTTCACGCTACAAATGTTAAAAGAGAAGTTCCTGACTAGGGGTGTGAAATTTAAATTTAAAAAAAATTATTAAATCATAAAATAAATTTAAATAAATTTGAATTAACTTGTTTGAAATTCTACGTAGTTAAATTTTGAAAATTAGTAGATATACACGGTTTTCGATTTGATTGCTATTATTTGAAGTCAAATTTTAATGTTTTTTGTTTACTATATCTCAAACTAGTCATTCTTCTACGAATTGTGCTGATAAATATATTTTTATGAGTATTCCAGTATTTTGAAGAAGAAAGAACACAGATCCTGCATAATCTACAGAGAAATTTTGACTGGTATGGACAGATATCGACCTAAAATAGTAGGTTCTCTTCTCATTTAGTACTTGCTATACTGTTAAAGTCACGTATTTTCCTCATAGCGATGATGAATATCCATCCAAAAAATTTAGTAAATTTAAAATTTATAGTCTAAAAAAATTAAATTTAACCCTTTGGAGTCGGTGGGACAACCCTTGTCCCACCTATTTTCCAGTAAGGTAAATGCTTGTTTCTCATAACACTGTTATCATCTGTAAAGTGATAGGTCGTTCCAGCTACCATCGCATGTATATTTTTCCTCTCTTTCTTCTTGTCATATAGATGCTTATCAGATCTTCTCTTTTCTTTCTACTCTATATACGGACGCCATGATCACTTTCTTTCTTATCTTGATGTATTGTCATAAAGCTTCTATGTAATCATTTTGATCCACATACAATAAATTGACGAAAGAGCCATTTTTCAATTGAAAAATAATTCCGTCCCCAAAGGGTTAAATTTTCTCGAATTTAAATTTAAGTTAAATAAACTGTAAATTGGCACCCCCTATTCCTGACCCAAATTGCTTTCCTTTCGCAGCCTGTCTATGAAGAGATTTCGAGCTATTGGACTGAAAACAAATTCACTGATTCAAGGTCGTAACAACATACGTGACTGTATTTCACATAAATCGCCTGTATAATCTTCCGGGCATCCACACACCAACTCATTGCCGTTGGATACGAGGCAAGTTCCGCCATTTTCACATGGATTTCCCACTGCTGCTGGACAAGCTACAAGGGCCCGTGAATTTAGTGACCTCTCTTCAGAATAGATTTCTTGATTTGGAACGGACTTTCCAACATCACTGCAACGTGTTCCCTTCCATCCAGGTAAACAATAGCACATGGGACCACTTTCAGTCAACGTACAGATGCCATTAGTCGCACAGTAGTTCCGACACTTTCTTTCTTCAAGAGTTGATTCATCCGATGTAGGAGAAGCATTGATCAATGATACGATGGTTAAAAGGAAGAAAATATTAAGACAGAAATAGCGTAGCATACTCAATTTGCTTTGTCACTTCAACTTTTTTTCTGAAAGATTAACTATGCATACTGCCGGATATGCATATATAGATGTTACATTATTTGCTTATGGATTGATGTATGAACACAGCAGAAGTCTTATTTATATATTTATTCAAGTTAAGTTGGAGATTTACTTTTATCAACTTGAAATAGAATTTGATGCTATGCATAATCCTAAACAGGAGCAGATATATAGGAATATCTGAAAAATATGTTTTTATCACATAATGAAAGTTTTTATGTTAGAAAAAAGTGCCAAGCCTAAGTCCAATAAACAACAAAAATCAATCCCGAATAAACTAATATTAGATAGGAATTTAAGTATTGGATTGTATGTATGATTGCATATCAAGCTACATGTTGATTACGCTTATTTGATCTTATCACTTGCTGGTGATTGAAAGGATTACTTCGTAAAATTTGTTTTCATATTTTCGAAATCATAATTAAAGCATGTTTGGATCTTTTCCTATTGGTGACTTTAGAAAGAGCGCATGATGATTGTGTACGTGTACGTTGTAAATGAGGGTGTGGGTGTGGGTGATATTGCACAGGATACTCACCCACATACCCTTTAAGATGTTTTTAAATATTTCTGCTTCGCATATTATTTTTACAATGAGTCAAGAGACTTTTATGATTAGTACTTGAAGATGAATGGATTCTGTCAAAAATTAAACATCTTTAAAGAAATCATAAGAGAATATCGAGATCTTGAATTAGGGTATATTTATTATCTTTGTAATTGATTTGAATAAGCTGTTAACATGTTCTATCTATGAGACAGTAAAAGTTGTCACCAAAATCTAATGGCAAAAGTAAATCAATTGGAACTATTTTGGTACTAAAAAAACAGTGAACTTATTTTATGTATTAATTACACATGTCTTTGATAAAGAGCGTTCTTAAAAAGATATCACTAAGACTTAACAAACACTGTTACTCTGCTAAATGTTTCATTATCTCACTTCTTTCTATGATAAATATATTACTTTTTTCTTGTTAGAGCGTTGCTATTATTTAGCGTTGTTTAAAATGGACTTTTGGCTATAACAAGATATCTATCAAAGGAATATTTTTGATTGTTCATGATAAGTTGAGAAGAGTTTCTTTTGATTTGATTTGATTTTCATGTATTCATCTACTAATTTCAGACTGTTTTTTACATGATTTTTGCTTCAAAATCGTAAAATCTGAATGATCTTGAGGATGTGGGTCGATCAAGAGTTATATACACAACCACACCCACACCCACACCCTCAAGATTTAGTTGTAATTAGGAAAAGATCAGTTGTTGAAAAACAACAGTTGAGAACAAAGAATTGATTTGTATCTCATTTTTACAAGTCAATTTGTTTTCAATTGTGTCTCACTTACGCTCTCTTATCAATCTTCAAATTTCATCATTCTCTTTTTAAAAAGCGAACGAGTAGCGTGTGCGGCAGTCTATAATGAAGGCCATGAGAATTATCACAGGCGGCCATCTACTTTTAAAAAAAATCATCATACGAGCTATCAAAAGTAAAATCTCCTTCATAGAGTGCGTGCTGGAGTCGACGATTATCGAACGACACAACGAAAACGTTGCACATGCAAGTCACCATCAATGTTATTATTGTCTGTATGGCCATTGAACAGGCGTTGTGCAATATTGTTCCGGCATCCACGAAAAGTAAGTAGTAGTGATTCCGATATATTATTTATGATATGTTCGCTCCAACTGATACATATTATTATCGAAAGGATAGGAAAATATGCAGGTTGTATTAACTGAACCATTGTTATTGTTTTAACTTGGTATTACAATTGTGAAGAAATCATTCTTTCGCTATTCTGTTAATTATAGGGTGTACACATATTTAAATATAAGCTTGACAAATTACTTCTAGCTAGATGTAAGTCGAAGCTTCTCAAACATAGCTAAGTCTAGATTATTTAATCAGAACGGCAACCATCAAATATGGGTAATTAGGAAAATATCATAAGCAAATAATGCAGTCGGGGTGTGGGTGTTTGGTTGATGCCCACCCACACCCAGCTTTTTTATGCAACAAACTTAAAATCGTGTCGTAGTCTACAGAACGTAAAAGAACTTTGTTCAAAATGCCACAAACATTTTTCATTTGATACTCTATGAAAGCGTTCAGTCTACGAACAGACAATCTTTAATGTTCGTTGACATAGTTGTTTTCAACTTGAATACTACCCAGGTCGAGCAATCATATTGTAAGCTCTGATAAGATCTTGTGTCAGATTTTTCGGTCTGGGTAGACTTAAATTCTTCTTTTTAGAATGGCTTAATACTGGAAGTATGAAATACGGACGAAAAGTGCACACTAAATCCGTATTAGCGGATGGAAAAGTGTTAGTTACTGGTGGATGTTGTTCTGCCGCTGGCAACAGTACTGAGTTATATGATCCTTCCACAGGTAGATGGACAACTATTGGCAACTTAAATTATGTACGACAGTTTCACACAGCGTCCCTATTACCGAATGGAAAAGTGCTAGTTACTGGTGGAACCAATAATGTTGTTGTTTTAAATAGTGCTGAATTATATGATCCATCAACGAGAAGCTGGACAACTACTGGTAACATAGATAATGCACGAAAGCTTCACACAACATCTGTATTAACCAATGGAAAAGTGTTAGTTGCTGGTGGAGAGAATGAAACTGCGCTTTTAAAAAGTGCACAGTTATATGATCCATCAACGGGTAAATGGACTACTACTGGCAATATGAAATATGCACGAGCGTTCCACACTGAATCCGTATTATTCGATGGAAACGTGTTAGTTACTGGTGGAGCGCCATTTCAGGTTGAATGTCTAAATAATGCTGACGTACATGATCCGTCAACAAGTAGATGGACAACTACTGAAAACTTAAATAATGCACGACTGCTCCACATAACATCCCTATTAACGGATGGGAAAATATCAGTTACTGATGGAGAGAAGTCTCATGTGGGACCTCTAAAGACTGTTGAGTTATACGATCCTTCAACAGGTAGATGGACAACTACTGGCAACTTAAATTCTGCACGACAGCTTCACACAGCATCCCTATTACCGGATGGAAAAGTATTAGTTACTGGTGGAACCAATAATGTTGTTGTTTTAAATACCGCTGAGTTATATGATCCATCAACGAGAAACTGGACAACTACTGGCAATATGAAGTATGCACGACTGCTCCATACAGCATCCGTATTATCCGATGGAAAAGTGTTAGTCACTGGTGGGAACGGCAATACTGTCATTTTAAATAGTGCTGAATTATATGATCCATCAACGAGAAGCTGGACAACTACTGGCAATATGAACTATGCACGACTGTTCCACACAGCATCCGTATTATTCGATGGAACAGTGTTAGTTACTGGCGGAAACAACAGTACTGAAATTCTGAATAGCGCTGAGTTATATGATCCGTCAATAGGTAACTGGATAACTGCCGGCAACCCAAATAATGCACGAATGTCTCACGCAACATGAAGATGAGAGTGCGCGCAAGAGTATAATAATAAAAGTTGAGGAGTAAAAAGTAAACAATCGGTCACTTATTCACGGAAATTCACGTGAACCTAAATAAATATATCCACATGAATCTGTCTCGTAACGGGCAGGCTTCGAAGTAATTTACGGGTCAGTGTGTATTCTGTTTGATAATACTACGGTGTGCCGTAGAAAGACTGAAAGGAAAAATATCGAAAATATTGACTAAGACGTTTTTATTTTTGAAATCATGATAGCATCATAGTACAGATCATAGATAAATAAGATTTATAAAAAAAAATAAGTTTAAAATGAAATTTTTTCCGTTTAGCAATTGTAAGCGAAAAACCATTTAAAGGTGCGGGTGTGAATTGAATGAAATAAAGGACTCATACTCACACTCAGACCCACAGCAACACCCATACCCTCGCAAAATTGGGCTACTTTACCGTTGATGATTGATTCCTTAGCTGGCTATATTGTCGATGAAAACAATGAACCAATTTCAGGTGTGACTATGTACCGTAAGAATCATCCAAATGTGGGTGTGGGTCACGTGTTAATCTACCCACACCCTCACGATTGTATACGAATTGGAAATGTCGTGAAAAAACTCGGATGTATCAAAAACATTACAATAATCAATAAAAGAAAACGCTATTGCTTCTGATAACAACAGCAAACATTGTGATTTAATATAAAAAGATACATCAATCATGTAAGTTGCCTAAAACGAGGGTTTTGAGTGCAAATCTAAGTCTTCTCTATGCCCATACAATATGTTTTTAAAAAATGACGTGGAATATGCAAATCAATATCAAACTAGTTCGAAGTACGAACTATTTTTGCTTTCAAGATTGTTTCAATGCAATGACAAATGATAATGCGAAATATGTTCTTGTTGTTGTCGTTTTTAGTTGATAAGCACTATTTGCATATGCCTAGATGTAGCAATAAATAGCCGCGTTTTATTTAGTATTTATGATAAAGAACAGAGCACGAATATCAAATGGGGACAACAAATAATCTCAGGTGATACGATTTTAAAATGCACCGAAGTTTGAAAAATCTCTCCGAGTTTAGTTGGATTTGTTTTTGAACGGGATTTAACGATATCTAGTTAAACAATAAATTGTGTCGTCTAATCAGCAGAGCTCATCAAAGACTGAGAAAAAACAAAAGTGCATATTATAGCTGTTAAATTGCTAAGTTGTTGTAGCAAGTTCAAAAACTGAATTACTAATTTTTTTTTTGTTAAATCAAACTAATTCAATCCGATTGCATCACTCATGGTTGTCATACTGGCCTATGAATTCCTATAGATCGATCTCTAAGAAAAAAACGTTTCTTTATTGAATATATAAATAGTTAAAATAAGGAGAAAAACAATCAACTCCGAAACGTTTCGTTACAAATTTGATTTTTAAAATCATAAAAAAAATATTCTTTCTTTATTTTTGCTCTGTTTGTTTTCTTCCCGTGTACATAAAAACAGACCAATAAACAATGACTAGCGAACAAATAAAGCGCATCAATTTCAATGTTCAGTTTCATGATTATCGCTCATATGCCTTGAAGAACGGTTTCCAAGCGCTCCTATTGACTTTGTTCTATCATTGTCAAGATAGACTTCTTGCCAAATATCAGCAAGACATACACTTGAATGGAAACGGTAAAATATTGATAATGGTGATGTGAACGCTTGAATAATAGCCCATGTGCCAGCATCATAATATTGAACTTGTATTGGATTTAATCGAACTTTTTTTGCTGATAATGAATCATGCAACCAAATTGCTACAAAAAAAAATCAAAATCTAATTAACAATAGAAAAAAGAAAAACTCATTTACAGAGATTGATTAGTAGCAAAGCTGTGACTGCTTCTCGTCCTGGTTTATTTCTAATTTCTTCTTTTGTTCTCGTTCGTCGATGTAATGTATCCAAAATAAAACCTGATTGAAAAAATGTTTGTAGTATGGCAAGAAGTCCAATTGATATTTCAACGGCAAGCGGTAATTTACTTGCTGATTGTTCACCGAATATCGATGCGAACAATCCAAAAAATGAATATGCAAAATCTCCAACTGTCGTTATTAAAATGAGCACTCGATCGAATGCATCAACATGCGCATGTGGATCGTGATAGAGTTTAGTCGTTTGTAGGAACGATATGCCAACAAAAAATAGGGAAACAAAAAGTAGCACAAGTTCAGTAATATGTGTCACTGATATTGCGTCTTCGCCAAGTAGATATGTTGGAATGAGCGTTAGAATTGTTACCAGAAGTATGATACCGCCGCCGAGTAAACCACGTGAAGCACGTGAACAATTGACTGTGAATATATGACGATCGCTGAAACGTAGAAGGGATGGTTCTCTAGTTTTACCAACGTTTTTCCACATAAGGAAGAATACAGTTAATGATATAAGACTATATTCGATTAAACATGGATATAAATAAACATTCATTGTTGATTCAATTCGAGTGAAGAGTTCATATGTACTTGTGCCTTTACTGCTATTAGTTGAAGCAGCAGAAGAAATTGCTTTGATAAAGCTCACGACGATAACCGTAGAGTTATCACCATCGTTCGTTGTTTCATCTTAATATTTAAAAAAATGAATGTCTCATAGATTCCGAATCTGTGTGGAATTTCTTTAAGTCTATTTAAATTACTCGGAAAATATCTATTGAAGGATTCTTTTTAAATCTCTTAGTTTTTTTACTCGATATGCTAAATGTTGACAGTCAAATTATTTCCCGGTAGAGTAGAGAACTTCTTAAATACGAGACAATTGTCGAAGAAAAAACATGTTTTACTTGAACTTGTGAATAGTGTCGTAGTGGATAAAGTTGCCATGATTGATGTAGTGGATGCTAGCGTTATATTTGGCAGATAATTTGATATGGGAGCAGTCGTTGTACTTTTGTGCAGTTGTTCCAAAGTTTCAAATACAATAGCTAAAATGATAAAGTATTCGATTTTCTTCTTCTGAACTTTGAATTTGAACTCTGGTTGCTTTACCTTCAAACCATGTACAAAAATTAGCAATAACTAGATGACTAAGACCAATTTTTGCAATTGAATGGTAACGATTAATAACAATCTATGTAAAAAATAAATTTTTTGTTTTTTATTTTAAAATTAAAATACTTACATTACCATATCGAAAAATAAATGTAAATTGTACACAATGGAAAATAAATCGAAGTACATATGTAATCGATTTTGTTGCCACGACTGATAGGGAATAAGAGTGGACTGGTGAAGCTCGATGGATTATATTAGGTCTTGGTGTTGTTATTGTTTTTGCTAATTCAATAATAGTCAGTATTAGACCGCCCATACAAAGTACTAAATACAAACATACTCATCACATCATCTATGTCTTATATTTTTCTTTTGTTACACCTACACCCAGCGCCTACTCGCATAAACAATCCGCCAGTATTATGAATATCAGGAAAATAAAACATTTTATGTGGATGACGTTCAGCTATATCCATATATTCTTCGTGATTGCCAGCGGGCGCTGTTAATTTCATCCATTGTCGACGAAACTTAATTATATCAACTGTACACCATACCATCCATATAATAGAAACAAGATAGACATAAGAATAAACAAGCTAAACACAAACAACAAAAATGTAATAAAACAATACATAGAAAACAGTTCGTCTACCTGCATGGTAGTTCGAAGCTTTGTTTCATCTTCTCGTATGGCCAAAACGAGTACCATACAAAGAATAAAAACAGCGAGTAATGCACCGATTCCCAGTAGAAAATTCGACGACGGAAAATGCCGCTCTGGAATGTATCTGGAAAAATAAATCAAATATAAATGCTATCAATAAAAACAAAGAACTTGACGAACACGTGTGTTTCTCCCTCGGCAAAGCGTTGCTGTTGTCCTCGACGAAACGGTGAAAGCGGCGCAGATAGAGGTGGCAATGGTGGAGGCGGAGGTGGACGATACATAGCAATCGTTGATCTATCTTCGTATTGTTTGTCAATTTGATTTTGATTCTGTTCATAATTTATAGTATCAAATGGTGCACGTTGTACATTACTACGGTGATCATATATAAGTTCATTGTGAGATACGGTATGCTTTCGACTTGTCTTAGTCGGTTCAGGTATTTCTAATCCAATACTATCCATATCAATATTTTTAGATTGACTCTATTGATAGATATTGCAAGTTTAGATGTTTTATTTTTTTGGACAAGTATTTTTTTAAAATTCTTACTGATAATTTTTGTACTGATCTTTCATCTTTCTGTCGATAGCCATTGGTTATGATCTTTGATCGACCGTTATCATGAGTTTGTGTTGATAATAGAATAGGAGGTTCTCGAGAAACGAATGCTGGTTTTGCAACGGCTGTAAATGTTCCGGAATCATCCATATCGCTTTCATCCTGTAGTTCATATAAATCATTTACTTGGACTTCGTCAAATTCACCGCCATGATTTATATAGATGGCATCATTCGTTCTATCTAAACAAAAAAACGTGAACTATATAGAATGAAAATCTCGCTGAAAAGATACCTCTTCTAAATGTTCGCTGATCTTGACTGTTTGTCGGAATTGGTGGTGGAGTTCTTCGACGGCTATAAATCGGTTTCGATTGTTTTGCTGTTTGATTGTCGATTTTTGGTGCCGATCTAATTGGTTTTGTGAGAAGATTACTATTTTCGACTATTGGATTCTTAGTCGACACATTATTTACTCGTGATTCTGTTTGTCGTAATCGATCACTATTAGCCGAACCAACTGAAGATGGCGGAGTTTCACTATCGTAATCAGTATGATTGTTTCTCGCGGAAATCGGCACAAAGGAACGCGATGGTAGCGGGGGTGGATATTGATGTGGATGCGCTGAAGTAGAACTAGTAGGTTTCTGTGGCATATCAAATTTACTAACTGCTGCACGAACTGAAGAATAGTTTTGCTGTAGTATTAAAGAATCGTCGTTATGACTAGTCAGACTTCTTGATGGTTGTTGTCTTGTATAAGGTGTTGAATATTGAGTCATTTGAGAACAAATTTTCAAAATATAACCCGCTGATAATATTTTTTTAATAATAAAACGTGCGCGATTACGGTCTTGAGATGCAACAACTTGATGGGCGAAAAAGAAAAAAAATGAAAAAAGTGCAAGAACGGACAGTAATTATCTGTTCTTATAGCTGCTGATTGATATCATATCTTTTTCCTTTGGCGTGCTCCATGTATGCAGCAGCATCACTTCAACCTATTCACGTCTTTCTTTTCTTATTTGTAATATTCCTCGGGTTAGATAAGTATACTTGTATGCAATAACTATTACTTTCCCATGAACTATTTCCTTGGAAACCATGCTGTTGTTGATGATGATGATTGAAAACGACGTAACTGTGAAAGGACTCTCTGAATAATAAACATTTAAGACGATTGTTTTCTGCACTTTTTCGATTATGTGATAATATTAGAATGTTTCTTTTTTATCTTAACCGGTCGCTATGGAGGATGTGCGTGTCATATTTTGTTGGCCTACAAACAGATAAAACAATTTTCGAAGGCGTTTATTTCAGCAGTAGATTTCTGCATGATACTCCCGCGAACGTCGTAATCAGTTGATACCGTGATAGAATAATATTAAAATAGAATCAACATCAGTAGTTTTTTCAACTCCTGTATATTCTGATGAAATATGTTCTAATATCCATATGTTAGTAAAAAAAATATTCTTCAGCAAAGCATAAAACGAAGTTGCATATTAAAAACAAAACCTATTTAGTTTTAGTTCTAGTATCAATAAAAATCTTCATATTAAACTAATCTTGAATTTGTTGTTTTCCTTTATTCGTTTGCTAATTTGTTTTTTTCAAACGATGATTTCTTGTGACTACCACCATATGTACATTTTTTGATCTAAATATTCCAACAAATAATCTTCTAGTAATCCCTCTTGATCAATTCGCCGTTGCAGTTTTTGTGCCATCAAATAATTAATATCTCGAAAGCATATGGACGATAGACGATGATTGCATGGCGATTGTAGAGAAGTAAAACTTCTTGTTTTCATACAATGGATACAAGCGGAATATTCTTGTTGCCAAAAAATAATGTTTTTCATCGACGAAGACGCTGGTGGCCGATGTCGATGATTTCGATTGACACTCGTTCGTAAGAGAAAACGTAAAATTACTTCTAAGTTTTCATGGTCAGCTTCGACTTCGAGACTATTTAAATACAGACAAAATCGATTGAGTATTTGAATGTCTTCTAAAGTCGACCGATTGAGAAGATTGATTTTGCGTATATTATTTTTATTGAACGTCAAACGATTGTTTTCCGATAGTGGAGAATTTAGCGAGAGTATAGTTGTTGGAATTGTTAATGATTGTATATTTGGAAAAGAATTTAATAATAAAAGTAAATGTTCTAACCGAAGAGTTTTATCCTGAATAGATAATTCAGTAAGTTTTGCAGGAGAAAATCCACGAGTAAGATCGAGCATATCCGAAGGATTTTCAATCATATTTTCTCCTGATAGAATCAGTCGATTTGTTCGTGGGAAATCAATAGAATTTTGAATAATTGCTGAATAGTTATGAAGATCGACTTCATTAGCTAAATTAAAACCAGTTTCGTAATATTGACACGAAGCATCGTAGAAATCATAATGATTCCATCTATGTAAACAAAAACAAAACAAAATGCGTTATCTATGCTTCTATTTCTACCTGTATGGCTGAGTCGAATAAAATACAATCCAGGAGATAAAATCTTTCGATCTATAATGTTGATGTGTAAACGCCCATTGTCGATCAGTCCAAAACGAAGATTTAAATCTATCGAGCAACACATGATATCTGCAGCAGTCATCCATTCGACCGCCTGTGATTATCTTATGGCGAAAATCAAATCTACGTAAATATGGCATTTTCCTTGATATTAACTTTTGCCATCGATCAGCATTTAAAAATTCAATGTCACGTTGAGTAGAAATACGCAACAATTGAAGTTGTTCGGAACAACATGAGATAAACCATTCGAACTCATCGAAAGATGTATCTTCTAATTTAAGACTAAGATTGATTAATTTTGTTGATATAATAGACATATTAATTTGTGTACTATTTAATGTTGATATTTGACACGATAGATAATTTAGATTAGGTGTATAAACTAGAATATCATTCAATTGATCAAGATTACATTTCGAATTAATAATAAGATGTTCTATGGGACTGCATTCGTCGTTCGTCAACGGCAAGTTAATATGTCGATTCCATAAGCCAATGGATAATTTACAATATTTTAAAACCGGCAAACGAATAATTAGACAATAGACATAACTTGGAGATTCAAAATTTTCAATGCCAGTAATAGTGAGAGAATAGAGACATGGCAGTAAGGCAAGACTAGTTAGAATAGGAAAAAGATTCTCACATTTAGCATTGTATAAATTCAAAGTTTCGAGACGCGTGAAAGACGAGTCTAAAGTGAATAGTTTGAAGAAATTATGAATAATAAGATGATTTGAAAATTGAAGAGATATAATGCGATGAACATTCGGCGTTAATATACTATTGCATCGATGCTGAAAAACTGTCTTGGATAGATTCGAAAAATTAAGTTTGATTGGTAACGATGAATGAATAATAAGAGAATAAAAACGACTATTAAGATTAGAAAATACTTCATAAATATCATAACTGTCGAAAAATTGAAATATTTCATAGAACAATTCATTGGGGAGATCTTCGAGCTGTGTAGCCACCGATCGTTTCGATTTCGTTCTTTTAATTTTGTGTTCTCAAAACAAAAACACACAAATATTAATTAATGTGATAAAAACAAAATTTATCTTTACCTTTTCGTTTTTTCGCTTCTGAACTATTAAATTGTTTCATGACTGTATCCATCTAAACAATCGATGAATTGAATTATAAAAGAAATCGAAAGCAAAGTAAAATGAGACATGCGTTTGTCATGGAGTACAATTTTGTTCTCCTTTCATTACTTCCGAACAAAAGGCGAGTAAAAACAACAGAATCATGTCTTGCGCACATGGTTTACTGCGCAGCATTTTCTTTTACATAGCGATGCACAAAAGGTAACTTTCTCGAGAGTTTTTTGCCTAATAAAAACTATTTACCAGAACTGGCAAAATTTTTGAATTTAAAGAAATCCATTTATATATAACGGGTGGCCCATAAAGAATTGCGCTGTTAGTATTTTTGAATTTTCTCGTCTTCCTTCAACACGATCGGGATGTCTTTTTTTCCAAACGATTCTCCGCTCAATTCTCGACAAAAAATGTACTGGCTGTTTTACTTCAAAATCCAAAGGTACGAAATGTGATAGGTAATTGTGAGAAGTACCAAAATGTACGAAAACAATAAACGTGGATAAATTGAACAGCAGATTTTCGGGTATTATCCACTCAAAGTTTGTAAGAAAGAAAAGTTATAGTAGCCATCGTGTACGCCTTAAAAAGATCTACTGTTTACCAACGATTAAAAACAATTGCAGTTAGAATTGAGGACGCAAGAATTTTATTACTTTTTATCAATTTTTTCATCAATAATGTAAGTCTGTCAATAAAACAAATGAAGTTTAGTCAAAGTGGATTCATTCGAGCATATTTTTAATGCGATGCGAAGCATGAAGCATTTCTGTAGTCCGTCGCGAGTTTCTTTTTTTCTTTTTCACTTGAGATCGTAAGCATCACATCTCGTCGTTTTGTGAAGCGATGATCTCGAGAACCAAAATCATAGAAAAGTGGTTAAAACGTGAGATCGAAGTATCAAGATCGAACTTAGAACATCTGTTTTCTAATCTGAAGTTCTGTTCACTCATAAATGTGGTTCCAAAATGACGAAAATGAAAGAAATTTGTTGCGAGATAATTGTAGTGACGCCATGAACATATGTTAGCCACTGCAGTATATTTATTTACAGCTGATCTAATATAATGAATCATGGAGATAATTAATAGCTCAATCGAAAAATCGAACCTTAAGAATGTATCGCTAAGTAAGACTAGAGTTTCATCATGTCGACATAAAAAGAATTCAAGATTTCTCTGAATTGAAAATTTTTCGTGAAGATCCGATGCGAGCTTCGCATCGCATTCGTATTCGAGTGAAACTCGAATACCATCTTGTTTTAATTTATATTGAAAACCAATGTCCTATCGTTATTTTTGGATATCTGAGGTTTGAAAAAAATATCGTTTTGTTCAGGCACGCAAAAACAGACACAAATTGTTGTTAGTTTTCACTTGATTGCAATTGAAGCTAGTGTTTGTGACAGATATTTAGATTTAAATGGCTTTTGCTCTATATGACGACATAGAGCGCATTTGAAACTAGATAAAATATACTGAAACCGTTTTCTGATGCTTGTGAAAGCATTCGAAAAAATATAGCTCGATGTGAGAAAATATCTGAAAAATAAAATAATTTTTTCATGCATTTTGAAGTAAAACAGCCAATACATTTTTTGTAGAGAATTGAGCGGGAAATCGTTTGGTAAAAAAGATATCCCGATCGTGTTGAAGGAAGACGAGAAAATTCAAAAATACTAACAGGACAATTCTTTATAGGCCACCCGTTATATATCGATTATGAGACATCGTTTAGAAAGTTTCTTTTTTGTTTTTCGAACATGGATATTCATAGATACAGTTTAACGCCAAGGGTACATTTTGAGTACATTGAAAAACTACCAGTCACAAGAACGAAAATGTTTATCTTTACATATATAATATAGATAATGATACTTATCTTGAGGTTTATTTTGAAAATATTCTTTATAAGTATATCAGAACTGTAATCGTTGGAGAGTCTATTCATCAATTAATATCCATGACGAGTCCGAAAGACGATTAGTTTTTCTTTCAGCGCTTGGATTTTTTTAAGAATTTCTATTTTTGTAAATGATGAATATCGAAAGGACATTTACTCCTCAAACAATTCAAAAAAATTTCAAGCACTAGATCGTGAAAACATAAATTTAGCGTCACGAGTGAAGATATCATTTTTATCAACTGGCAAAAGCTAGTCCCGTCTCAAACTCCATCGCACATGCAAACAAATAAAAAAAAATTGCGGCAGCTCTGAATATTTATTTATTTAATTAGCAAGATCATTGTAAATTTATTTACAAAGTCGAAGTTCATCGTTTAGGATTTGCCATAAGGTGGTCGCTGCCGTCTATTATCATGTGGTGTAATTTTCTTTTCATCCCATTCGTCAATCGTTTGATCTATGGCACCCAGTAGAATTTTAACAATATACTTGAAAATATAAAAAAATAAAAACAAATATTAATCTATTAAATAAATCATTCTAACTTACATCACCGAAACTAAATGGAAAATCAGTACCTTGACATTTTAAAATTTGTCTTTTTTCACTTCGATAATCATCGGCAACATCAAGATTAGGAATGCTCGTATCCCATTCATTTAAATAGTCCATATCTTGTTCATCATCTAAAGTACATCGATCATTTATCGAAAATGTTTTCTAATCAATTCATTGTGTTACCTGTACAAGCAATAATGGATACCGGTATACGACTTGTTGGGTGCCGCTCATTTTTCAAAACATTTTCTAGAGATAAACTATCTTGGTAGCCTTCATCATTCGTTGGTGTTCCATCAGTTGCAATCAAGATGAGTAAATTACGTTCTTGAATTTCTTTTTGTTTACTCTGAAGAACTTGACGAAGAACACGTGTTATTGCCGTCCCACACAAAATAATTCAAATAGAAGAGAGAGAAGAAAAAAAACAGTTCCATATGAAATGAATGATTTCGTATAAAATACCTTCGGGCGGCACATTAAAAATGGGAATTAATTCTGATGAATGTCTCACATTAAAAATTGGATCACGATTAAGAAAATAAATATCAACACCATTCGGATCAAGCAAACAGGCTAGGTCTACAATTATGGAAACTGTTTGCTTGAGTTCAGCCCCTATGAAAGTCAAAACGAATGAAACACAGAGATAGAATATAGAAATATTAATTTTACAACGAGTAGCTGCATTTTTATAAGGACCATAAACATCACCTAAATATAGACTTAAGAATTAATACGAAGATGAACGACATAATTATTCTACCAAGTGGAGTATTCATTGAACCAGAATCATCACAAATAAATACAATTTCATAACCATCCAATGCGAGTAATTTTTTAGCAAATGTTGGATTAACTATAAGAGAACAAGAAAAATTCTATTTTAATTAATCTATAAGAAAAAAATATTTTACTTTCGTAACGACGAATAAATTGTTGAAAAGCAGGCATACGTTGTTCACTAGTAGTGAAATAATTCCGATTTTCATTTCTATTATTATTATAATTCGTATTTAATGACGGATATTTAGGATACATGATTCGAGTGTGACAAATCGACAAGCAATGAAAAGAAAAACTGTACCGATGCTTCTTTTTTTGCGGAAGTAAGAGAACGGACAATGCTATTTTTTCAAAAACACAACATTCGATTTTTATGCAATTTAGTACAGAACAGAGCAAAGTTTTTATTTATTCTGGATCATGGCTGTTTCAATTTTCTTATTCGTAAAAATCTCAGTTTTGCCTATCTCAAATTTTATTTTCTTCCGATGCCGGATGTCTAATCAGTAGAATTTAAAAGTCACGTACCAGTAAAAGCGTGCCTTTTGGTGACAATGATTCCAATATTTTTCAAAGAAGTACAGGGTGTTGTGTAGAAGAGCTCTACACTAGGTACAATGGCTACATGTACCGCACAGTTATTTGCCGATTAAATGAATGATTATTCATGAAAAACAGCGATAATCCGCTAGAGGTTATCCCTGAACACATTATTGTCGCTAAGTACAATGAAACTATTCAATCCATATGTGTACGGCATTGATAAATTCTTCTTTTTCGATTTGTTTATCGTTTATGCGTGCTACGGTTTGCACATGTTCTTTAATATATATCATCAATTATCAGTGATTTCCTTGCAGTGTATGAATGAGGTTTTTTTTTGTTCGAGTGTCATTATACTTTGTACTTTTTTTTGTGGTAGATGACAAAATTTTGTTTAAATATCATAATCATTTTTTTCAGTATATATTCTTTTGCTATGCCTCTTCAAACACTAATCCTGTTCCGTGCAGACTACGCCAGAGTGCGGGTGTGTGACTTCATTCACATCATAATAACTTGATTTGCTTCAAAGCTTAATATTCAAATAGGGTCTACTGCAATAAAGTAAAGTCATATAACGACACGACACTTCATCTTCAGATTGGTTTTTATTAAGAAATAGACTAAAGTATTCGATGTAAGATTCATTTTCTTATCTTCAGTTAGTATTTATGGATTAGAGAAAGTTGAGAGTGCCTATATTGTCGATTATATATCTGTAAATTGTCCAATTCTTTCTCTTACTGATAGTTACTATGACGATAACATAAAGGCTTAGTATTTAACTACATACAATTTCTTTTTTTCCTCCTTTTTCTAATCGACAATCATAAAAAAGAATTCAGTCTTCATAAATAGCTTGTCAAAGAGGTTTTAGCAGCAACAAAATTTCATCAGAACAATGACTACAACATACGACAATGATGAAAGTATTCAACAGCGATCAGCGCCACCAGAAAAAAGGCAATCTAGTGGGCCAGACGCTTTTGTCATAGGGCGACCACAAACAGAAAACGGCCGAATTAGTAATGCTCAACAGAGTCAACGGCATGCGAGCGCGGGCGTGTATAATCCAGCATCAGAAGAAGAACATAATAAAGCTTTACTTGAACATCTATCGTCTGATTTGGGTAATTTACTGAATCGAGTTGATATCAGTGATTGTTACCTCAATGTTCGAGGTATAAAGATTTCAAGATTTAAAAGGCATTTACGAAAATTTCCCATGTATTAGGTACTTATATGGCCGTTCACAAATGCATACTTGCGGCTCGTTCAAACGCTTTTGCAGGTAAAAAATTCGAAAAAAAACCGATGCTTTTCTATTTTAATTATTAAAGCGGTTATATCGGGTAATTTCAATCGACTTCCGAATGATGAAAGAGAACAACTCGAAACAATGACACATAAAGACAAATTAGTTATTAATATTAATAAAGCAGTTCCAGAAATAATGAAACAAGTTATTGTCTTCATGTACACGGGTCGATGTGAATTAGATGATAGCAATTGTAAGATTTTGTTCAACCATGAAAATAACAAAACAGAAAACAGGATTTTCTTCTCGTTTTAAGGTTATGCTCTTCTTGATGCTGCTGGTCGATACGATATTAAAGATCTGAAAGTTCATACTGGTCGTTGTAAGTCTTGTTTTGTCATTGTGATCGAAGAGTTTGAAGGATTGAGGGGTAGAGCTAAAGCTAGCAGCCCAGAGACTTTACCATTTACATCATAAGTCCTGTTATTCATCTGTTTTTTTTGTTTTGTTTAAATAATATAGTTCTTTCCAGTCGTATTAATACAACTAATGTATTAATGTTACTCAGAGCAGCCTACAAATACGACAATAAATTGATTAAACAATGTTGCATTCAATATTTTATTCGGAATGCTAAAGAGATTATGGATATACATGAATTATGGAAGAAATTTGCTGAAGAACAACGAGAAATAGTTGCTGAACTTCTTCATTGGCATGTTAACAGCGATTTATTTTATAAAGATAAACCTCATTGGGACGCAGTTTCACAGTGGTAATCGAACAAGAACATACAAACATGATTTTAACAAAATAAGCGAAAAATAAAAACTACACAGGCAGAATATTTTTACATAAAATATCTAATTTTTTCCCTTGCCTTTTTTTCCTTACATAAAATAAAAGTAATAGCAAACCACCGGATATTTGCATGATTAAATGGGCAAATGAACTTGACCATAGAAATCAATTTCATCATCGAAGATGCTATCTGGTTGTTCATCTCCATCAAGCTAAAGAGATAAAATTTTAGAGAAAAAAAACTAAAGATACAATTAAAATTTTTACCTCAGTGAGTTCTCGTTCAGTAAAAATGCATGGAAGACACCATTTGCGAAACGGCACAAGTAGAACAAGGATAAACGGAAATAAAAAAGCGAAATTAGTCACTTTTATTGTTATCAATAAACCGGCAGCGATGATTTGTATAAATGTGTACGCATAGCGTTTCATTTGACGGATCTAAAGTAAAAGAGATTTTGTTTTCTGCAAAATAAACGTCGACCACACAACAAAATGTGTACATACACGTCTTAAGTATCCAATATTGGGATGATATTTTGTCGGAATAAACATCATTTTAAGTCGACTGAATAATTGCGTACCAGATATTGATACAATACCAAAATATAAAAAAATACCAAACAAAGCGGCAACGGGAATTTTACAAATAATAGGAGCTGCGAATATCGTACAACCAATAAGTATATGTACGCCTATGTTTGTTACACGTTGATCTTTTATATCGATAAGACGAGGTTTTTCTCCGGGCGCATGAGTTTTACTATATTTTGATAAACTAGCTACATGAGCAATACTTCGGACAGGTGCTGCGCAAATCCACGGAAGACCGAAAAGCCCACTGACAGATATTAAAACGCCTAATACGAAGAAAAAACAACAGTATTCAATGAGAACGAAAAACTAAATAAATTTCCTTTACCTGCTATCAATATATCTAAATGATAACCAGTACCTTTAATAGATTTAGTTGTATTGACACATTTTAATTTTGATTGTATCATAATACTAGAAGAAAACGAAGTAAATCTTATTGAATTTTTCGTGCATTTAATTATTTCTGTTTACCTCGTTAATTCTACTTCGAAAAAAAGAACGACAGAAATAAGAATAGCAGGGAACGAAGATGCAAAATAAACCCAAACTGGTAACCGTTTACGTAATGGTGATATTAGCCAAACATTGCCACGCTCTCGATCACTGGGTCGAATTGAACTTGGTACAGTAATTTTCTATATGAATTAGCAGAATATATAGTTTATCATCATTTCTTTTTTTTTGTTTCACATATTTACTTGAGTTAAACTATGACCGCCAGCATTCTTAGTGATTAACATATCGAACAGTACCATACATATAAGAGCAATAGTCATGCCAAAATCACTCAAAGTCTGTCGTGACTAAAAAAAATTTTAATTATAATGCAATCATAAACAATTGGGTTGATAATAGAAGATTAAGATCATTGCGTATATTTCTAGGAACTTAGATTTATTAATCTATCATTAGCGTCAAACTGTAAGTGGCATTTTCGTTTTGAGCAAATTGTATTTCTACAATATTCTAATGATGTTATATATAATAAATGCAAAGAGAAAAATCTAGTCCGGGAACTGATGGAAAAGCCAAAAGCCTTATGAACACAAGAAAATACCCCCCGATGTATCCACACTCCGGAATAATCTGATGTTTTTCATTGATTGAATTCGAATAAATCGTGGTTGTTGTTTTTTTTCTTGCTTTACTACTTCAATACAGAATATTTCTTCTGAAGTTTTTTCTGATCCAAGAGAGCGAGTACTACTACTATGACTATCAGGTTTACTTAGACTTTTTCTTTTTATGCATTCAATTGATACAATGTTACATATAGTTGAGAATTAAAAAATGTGGAAACTTCGGATTACATCCGAGAGTTATGTGTACTGCAAAAAGTGCATGGGACATATGAGTCATTCTAGAATGTCTGAACATCAAAATTATCATGAGAAACTAGGCAATTTGATTTTTGGATGCAGCTTTTGTGCATTTTGAGACGCTTTTCAGGCGATGTTTCGTTAGAAAGCTACGATTTAGTTCAAAACTAATATCAGATTCGGAATCAGCGTTAAAAACTGAGTCGATTGATATATGTTGTGAATAATTCTGAGAAAGATTTATTTTTTGAAAAAAATTCCCTGTAATCCTCCTCAGGAATGGCCTGGTCAAAAAATGACAATTTTTTCGATAACTCAACCATTTCTTGAGGGATCCTTCTCATCTTCGAACTCGACCGAGATATTCATGAGATTGAAATGTGTGGAAAATTTCATCACGATCTGACTCTTTTTTCGAAAGTTATCGTGCCTACGGTCGGCCGGGCACACTGACCGATCTAGAGTGTACTCACTTTTTGAGTACACAAAAATGGCATTTCGGATTTTATCTTGCTTTTAGAATTTTTAGAAAATAAATTTCATTCAAGGGCTTGCATAGATAAACAAATCAATATTTTTTTTTGTCTAAAATTAACTTACACTCCGACCAAAAAAATTGCTTCGTCGAAAACGCTTAAGTGCAATTGCTATAAAGCACGTTCCAAGAAGTATAATTAATGAGAGTAATGCTTTATTTGGTAATTGAGTTTCATCGCTTGATATTGTTGTATAATTAGTTTGTAATAATGATGACGACACATAACGTTCGGTAGGTAGGCAATCATAGCACGAATATAATGATGAATATGAACCATTATTAGATGAGAGATTTGTATCTTCATTAGAAGATGATGTATTACACGAACAAGCTAATGGATAACTATAATTATATTTCCATAATACTGGATTTAATTGAAATATCTATTTTAGAAGAGAGATATTTAGGTTAAAATACGAATGTAGAGAAAAATAAATTCGATATTTTACTTTATAAATTTTCTTGAATGGTTCATAGAGATAAACAACAGCAATTATGAGAGCAAATATTTCTTCAGTAAATCGAGTTACATGACGAATCATAAAGCTACCTTCGAATGCCACTAGAATTATTATAAAAAACGTTGTCCAAAGGCTAACACACAATCGAACAGTCCAAAAATCGCATTGCAACGATTGACATAACTAAATTAGAATAATATATTTTTATTCTCTATGGAGTTTAATTAACATCTTATTCGTGCCGTCTCTTTCGGCTTTAGAAAAACATAGTTAAGATTAAGTGATGGAACACAATACAAATTCAATGTATATTTTTAGAAACTTTACAGATTATTAATTTCAATACAATGGATCGCTCTAATTTCTCTTGGACGAAAAGAACCTCGATTATTATGGAACAAATAAATCCAGTACATTCGTATACAAACAAAAAACGCTACATCTTTGTTTTCTTCGATAACCGTGCTTCTATTCAAGGCAACATGATTGTCATTTCACAATGTATACAATAGGAGATATTTTTATCCCAGTCGGTCTGTTCGATCTTCTTGCAAATTATTATCTTACGCCTCATTGATATTGAAAGACAAAAATAAACGATATTCATCGCTTACAGTAACCCAACATATTCTCTACAACGAATAGTAGTTATAATTCTGAATACAAGGCAAGCCTGATGCTCTCGTCATGCACAAGACCTAATCAACGAAAGCAACCTTCCATCAGAATCAATTTCGAGCAAATTAGTCTCTCAATTACGTTGAAATTGTTTTTCAATTATTGATTTACTTACATCATAGACCATTTCTTCAAAGACAAGAAAAGGTCCAGTTGGTCCAAGAATAAGCAATGGCTGTCCGCTGACAAAAGCAAATAGGAAACCATTAACAGATGCTGCAATCAGCATTTCATTGACACCCAATCTATTGTTCGTTTTATCAGCTAAGAAAAATAAAACAAAAAAAAGTTCTATGTTATTACTTTTCATATCGGATGTTTTTCATTTACCTATAATACCACCAAAAGTCAATGCAGGCGCCAGACATGCAATAAACATAAATATGAGACTAACAAGACAATTAAGACTAAACGCATCGAAAATATCTGATTTGTAATGCTCGTAACGTCGGCGCATTTCACGATAGACACCACCAAATACGAAGCCACTCCTTTGAAACGGATCTTCATCTTGTTTATCGTGCGATGAAGTAGACATTTGCGCTAGAATATGATTTCATGATCATTGAAAAAAGAACAATTCATTTCATTCGACTTACTTAATAAAATTTTTGAAACTAAAATATTTTCGAAAAAAGTTAAAGGAAAACCTATCGATTTATATAAATATTTACCTTGCGATGGTCTGCGGTCTTGATCATTGGTCCGATCAGAATTTTGAGATCGTGCTCGTGTTGAACGTCGTTTTGCATTCAATTTTTTTAATTTAGCTGTTTCAATTATAGGCAATAGAAGTTCTTTATCGAAATCTCCTGGCGGTAAAACAATCGAGTTCGTAAGAAAATCATTTACACCGTTTAATAAATCACGGCGATCCATCGCTTGATATGCCGTTTCTCGAAAGTCCTGTTAACCAATAAATTTACTAGACAACAATAAAAAAAAAGAGCAAGAACAACTATTTACCATTGTACTAAATAATGTGCTTAGTGCACGACCAATCTCTAAGTATTCATCCATAGCTGGACCAATAAGCAAAAAAATAAAGCGTACCGGCAATGGAACTTCAGTCATATTATCTTTAGAAGAAGCCGAACAAATTAACAATAGAATAAATAAAATAAAGTCTTACCTATTACTTGACCTTCTGAAAGACGAACAAATGCCATTATAGGCCTAGTTAAGTGTCGCATACTACCAATCAATACTTCAGCACATTCAGCATTTCCTGGAATACATCGCATTACGTCGGACTAAACAATAGAAGATTAGTTCAATACGTTTAATAAATAAATGAAAACTTGTTGGCACGAAAACGAAAGAAGTTTTTCTCCTTCTTTTCTAACCGGAAATAAAGATTATAGTTAAATATGCTATGACTTTAAACGGATTATCTTCTATAAACTAATCACCAGAACATGAACATAACGCAAACATGCATTCGCGGCGGCTAGATCAATGAAAAAACAAACGCTGAATGTTCAGCATTTGTTTGACTGACTTCGTCATACGCATTGATTTTTGCATAGTTTTCTCTGGTGACGAAGTGCAAATAGTTAGAACATTCAATCTTAAACATTCTTATCTAACAGGAGCAAAAATCTGTGCACTTATCCTCTCTATATGTTTAACAAAAGTCTGTCAGACTGGAATACTACTTTGAAACTCTTATTTGTAATGTAGAAGAAAAGAACGTCCTGGCTGATTCTCTCGGAAAAACAAATGATCTATTTATAGATCAATAATAAAAAAAGGTCCAGTTAAAATTTTCATTGATTCAATATCATTCGAACAGTGGATTCTTTGAGAATGACAAAAAATTTTGTTTTTCTGGTCTATTATTTATTACTTTAATTGGAATAGAATCGCGACGTTTCTTTTGTTGAATTTGTGAATTTCGACGAAACGAAAATGTTTGTGGTATAGATGGCCGCTGTGATTGATTAACATTTTCATTGCTATAATCATCGAAATTTTGTGGTAATTCTTCTGAGAAACTTGATTTTGTATGCAAATCAGTTATAACCGATTCAGCAATATTATCATACTAAACAAGATTGATTTTACATGCAAAACAAAAAAGAAAATATACAAAATACTAACTTGAACAATAAGAGTTTTGAAAGTTTTATTCAAATCCCCGTTGGGTTTTTGTTCTAAGAGACTCATACGTCGACTATTATTATTATCGGTACTAGTCGGGTCACTTCGTCGAAAAGCTAAACTTGACCGACGCGCTGCTAATTGCGGAAAATCAATCGTTGATGACCGACGTCGAGATGAACGAGCTTCAGGATGTCTTTGAAAAACAAAAAGTGAAAACAATCGTAGGCTACTAATTTTTCAATTAAAATAAATTCATTCATACTTGTGATTACTTATTAAAAGCCGAAGGAGTTCATCTTTCAGATCCTTATTCATTTGCCCAGTGGCAATAGCATCGTTAATAATGGCTTCATAAATACGTTCGAGTTTTTGCTCATCAAGATCAAGCAACACGATCCCTACAAGAAAAATGAACAATGATGAAAGATCAATATGAAAAAACAAAATTCTCGTCAACGTTTTCTAAATAAAAACAACATACGCACCATATTGTAAGCCCCGACGTAATTCAAGCAAACTATGGAAATTCAAACAGCCGACTCGTGGAGCTAGAAATAAAAACAAAAGCAAGATGTCTTCGGTGAAAAAAAAAGAATTCCTTTCAAACAAACCTTGCCATCGTTCTGATTCAAAGTCATAAGATTCCTCATAGCGAATCCATCTATTGATAGTTGAATGAGAAGAAAAACAAAAAGAATTGAAATCAGTGTTGTTTATTATTCTACTAAATTTACCTTGCACATTTATGCCATTTATATTCATTATTAGCATCTTGCTTTAAATCATGTAATTCAATAAATAATTCATATGGTGTATGATCGATAGACTGAAACAAAACAAATGAGATTAATCTCAGATCTCAATTTAAACACAGCATGGGAATTGGTTGATCTAATCCGAATTGCATTCTTATGAATATTCATTCTTTAATTATCATTCGAATAATATCGATTTCTATGACTTACTAATCTTCCTGTATGCGCACGTTTGTAACTAGCTCGATGAACACTACTTAAGCCAAGACCACGTCGTTTGCCGGCGCTCGTTAAACTATTATTACTTGCAACTAAATGAATTCCAGGAGGTGATAAAGTAGTTGTTGTTGATGCTGACGATAGAAGTTTATCGGGTAAAGTTGGTGAACCAGGACACGAAGATCGATCAAAATAATCTTTACCGTAAAAACAAAGAATTAACCTTTCAACGGAAATGTTTTCGCCTTGATTCATACCTTTTAAACTTATGTTATCCATGTTGATAGATGATGACCTTGTCGATGGTTCAATCGTTGATGATTGAGATTCGATGTTTGAACTAATTTTGTCATGTGTAACAAGAATAAATGGAGCGGCGGTTAGATTGATGCTAGGTGAACTTGTACTACGATTACTAAAACTAATGATAATGATAGTTTCGATAATAATAATAGTAATAAACGGAAAATAGTTTTGGTGTTTTAGTATCTACTAAAAAACGGCGTGTGCCAGGATGTGCTTTTCTTTTTTCTTCTTGTCTTCTTGTCTAATTCGATCATATCCTTGGTAGAGTCGACAGGGTGCGCGGATGAATCGGAAACCGATGATGACACATCATCGTTAAAAAGAGAAAGCAAAAGAAGAAAAAAATATAGGTGCCAATCGTCGATTAGGTCAATTTAGTTCGGCAAGTTGTCGCTTGTGTTTTGTCAAACAGTAGGACCATCCCGAAAAGCTTTTCTATATTTATCGTTTTACAGTTCAATACTCTTTTCGATGATACGACTGTTGAGCTGCTCTTATTTCTTTCGATCTATCGAACGACAAATCAGTGTAAGTGAACAAGATTTTTCAGATAACTTTGTTAGCCAACTACAAAAGTCTATAAACATATTGACAATAATGGAAGATAAAAATAAGTCTATTTCTATCGTTAGTTCTTTACGCTCTATGTCTCTATTCAATCGTGTTCGTGATTTGTCATGCAAATTGGAACAAAATTTATTACATCGATCATTTTCAGTTATGTGTATTAGAGCAAACTATGTAGCAGCTCTCTTCACTCGAGGACAGTGCTAAGAGTAGCGAGAGAGATAGAAAAAGAAAGAAAAAACGAGAATTTAGCGACAAAAAGCATCACTTCTTCGATGATGCCGACATATTTTTAAATTGACAATGATTTACTAAGATAAAAGACGATCTATCGATATATATATATATATATAAATATAATGGTAGACAGAAACAAAAAGTCATTATATATAGACGTACCATATCGGCAAGCATATTCTTCTCTGTTAATAATAAAACTTAATATGTGCGTGCTCGTTTTTTATTATTCTCTAGAATTGTCAATAGAAATAATGAAAGGAAAAAACGTAAAGCGAAGAATAATAAATCTAAATGAGATGAAATGATTTCCGTACAGTAGTAAAGCTTTCTAGCTTTCTCTATTCAATTGTTTTCCGCTAGAAAAACACACACATAAACATGCAATAAATAATTACAGTTGGGCTCATCTTTAAAATTCAGCATGATTGCTGATGTTGCTTCTTCTTCTTTAGTGTATTGTTTTTGTTCAACTCTAACCATAAAAAATGAGAATGAAGACATCTATTAAGGTAGACTTTCCGTTTCATCATTCATACCTTGACACAAGACAGCAGCAGCAACAACAACAAAAATAGGAATGCAATTAAATGTTAGATAAAAACGTTGCTTATATGTGTTCAAGTATTAACAAAAAAGAATAAGAAGAAAAAGGAAAAGGAAAAGAAGACTTTGCAATGATGCTGCTCAAGATGGCACTTACACGCAGGCCGAATAATGGCAGTTCATTCATTCTGAATTTCTCCCTATGAGTGCAGAGCAATTGACAATGTGTTTTTGTACTAATATGTATACGAGAACTTCAAGAAAATAAAAGGAGAAGGAAAAAAAGGAAAAGTAATTTTTAATTTTAATTTGAACATGATCTTCTTGTTAACTTACTCATTTGAATGATGTACAATTGTTGTAATTGTTTCTAGGGATTCGTCATCTTTAAGATCATTTTCAACGTCGGTACGATTTTGTAAACGTAATGATAAATCTAAACAACAGGAAATATCATCAAAGTAAATCGAATTAAAATTTCAATGTAAAATGCCAAACAAAAAAGAAACATTTTAATCCGTCGATAATTCATTAGATACGATCAACAAATAATAGTTGTCGATTATTAAGATGCAAAGAGAAACTTGTCGATAATATTTATCTTATTGTATTAGCATTGTCAAAGTCCATTGCTAATTTTGCTTCTTTTTTTTATCGACAGACATATATCCTGTCAATCGTTTCTAGATTATTTTCAAGCTTAGAAAAGTTTTTTTTTTATATCTATCTATCTACACTAATGATAATTTATCGTTCGCCATGATTCTCTTTAGGGTAGTTTCCACTTATTTGATGTTTGACAGACTTGTCTATCTCTCGTTACACATACAAACACGCACACACACACACATATATATACAAATATAAACAAGGAAGAAAACAAATCTTTATATGAATTTTGATGACATTGAAGTAGATAATCAAATAGATAAAACTGATTATATTATGCGATTTACAATCTTCGAATGTTTGTCATTTTGATTTTTTTAGTAAAAATTTCTTACCATTTTCATCTGTAATTTTATTAATCTCATGTTTCGTTGATTCATCATCGTCATTATTGTCATCAATCTCGCCAATATCTTCTTTGATTGTAGCTAAATCCAACATAATACTTGTTCGAGCCAAGTCATTATGTACATTACGATCCATCGATGTTTGATTATAAATGCTTTTGCATAGCATAAAAAGGAATATATATTTTTCAAATTGGCTTTTCTATATAGAAAACATCAACATTGGATACAAAAAAAGAATAAGATCATAAGAGAAAGAAAAGAGAGGAGAAGCAAAAAATGCAGATGTTAAAGCATGGCATACACGAAGCAATGATCACCAAGTAGAGAAGAAAATATGAAGTGCATATTAATGGACATAAATGAAAATAAAAGCTGACTTGTATCTGGCGGGATCAGCTCGTTCTCATCGTCAGTCTCATTAGTTGTGTCGCAGCTAGAAATATGTTCGCTTATCTGACGGATGCCTTCATCCAAACATACTTGGCACGTTACGTCTCATCATGATTGTATCCAATAAAAAGAACAGGCCATTTAACAGATTATCTTTTTTTGCTTCGCTCTTATATAAAAGCTGATTCCTTAAAGTAGAGTTTAAATTTAAATTTCTATTCGATGAAACAGTACAAGAACTTGCAAGGAAACTAAAAGACTAAATAGGGTCTGGTATCCTAAGTATTCTGGGAAAAAATGACTCGGAGAATTTCATTCACAAGGGAAGATATGTGAATCGTATAAACTTATATTTTGCTTTGCGAGGAAGAGCAAATGTTTCTCTATCAAGTGATATAACATTAGTTGAATAATATATTATTCAACTAATGTTATATCACTTGATAGAGAAACATTTGCTCTTCCTCGCAAAGCAAAATATAAGTTTATACGATTCACATATCTTCTCTTGTGAATGAAATTGTCAGAGTCATTTTTTTCCGGAATAATTAGGATACCAGACTCTATATTTATTCAAGAATCTAATTCACGTGGAAACAAAGAACATGATGATATTTGCGTTCTCTAAAAATACGATAAGTAGTGTAATGCATGTATTATTAATACAACAATGAATAAAAAACCGATGTTTTTTTGCAAACTGTTTGCCAGTTAATTTACCTATCTCTCTTGGCTCAAAAGTTCTATTTGTATAAGTTTTTTTCTTTGATCATCAATTATATGAATTTGAGAAAAAAATTCAAATGCTATTTCGTGCATTTCCTGTTCAAGTGTCATCTTCTTTTTTTTGCATAACTACAAATATTCTTTGTTTCTTGGTAAAACTACATTTTGCATTCAAGTAAGTGAACTATGTTTCTAATTGGATGTTGATTGATAGGCAAAAAAGAGAATATTTTTCTACTTTTTTTAAGTTCAAACTTTTATTTTATTTTGTATTCATTTTTGACAAATACATAGAATTCTTTTCTTAAAAGTCAATCAAACGTTTGCGATTGCGTCGCTGCATAAGCGAATAAATAAATGGTGAGCTTTCATCAAAACCTGACGGCATATCATCATTATAATTATTTGCTAATTCATGATGTTGTAAATACGCAATATCGCGTTTTAATCGTTGATGCATCGGATGATTATTGTTTGTACCTTTTGATATTGCCGATGGATGAGCTTTGATAAATTGACTGGTCACTAATAAAATGACGAGCAATGGTACTGGATATACAAACATTGTTGAATGTGCGTGTATTTCTTTGACGATAGGAATTGCAAATGTATGATAAATGAGTAGAGATAAAGAAGGTCTCTTTATTTCTTTTTTCTTCTTCTTATTTTTTTTATTAACAAAATTTATTTACGGTTATCTGTTTAATTAAGAAATTTGAGTATGATTGAACAGAGAAAAAGTCCTCAAATAACTTATTAAATGTGTCGAGATTTAACATAAAAAAAAAACGAAACTTTTCAGTTTATTCGTTATCGGCACTTGCGCCGGACTTTTTCGATCGGCTATCAAGAATGATTGTTACTGGACCATCGTTCTCTAAAATTTAAAATTAGAAATTTTAATCGAAAAATATTTTATTAATTAGAGTACAATATTTTCTTCCTTATAAAACAATAGTCAAGCCCAACTCGAATATCCCATGAATAAAAATCATGCGTAAACGTTCAACAATTAAGTATCATTTGATTCGGCGAATTAATTAAAAAATGCGATTGGATACATTCCTATTGACAAGGTCGGAATTTCCTCAACCGAACATATGCGCAACTCTTGTTTCTGAGGATAATCGTTCTAGAGCTTTCATACAAGCACTAAAAACGTCTCTGTGAAAAACTTCTCTCAATCATCGGAAGTTACATTACACATAGAATAAACTATTTGTTCAACTCAAATATAAGCAGATGCTGCCGGTGCATTTTAGTGACAATATTCTATTTGCGATTTTTGCATCCTACGCAAATCTAAATTGATGATTACAATTCTATGTAAATAGTACTTGTTTTCCTATTCACATTAAATGCCAAAATAATGCAACTAAAACACGTTGATTATTTATGAAATGTCTTCATGAGAATTGTTCTTTTGTCGTTATCGTAAAATTCAAGAAATTTTATTATTACTCGAAAAACTAAAGTTGTACTATACACCACGATAATTACTATGTAGACATACCGATATTCACGGCCATCATCGCGCCGAATTGTCCGTCAAAAATTTTATCTGTTTTATAACTTTGTTTCAATTGATTTAATAATTTTTCATATAATATTTTCGATTGTTCACCTGACATAGATAGATGATAATCGGGCTTTGTACCTTTCAATGTTGCATGCAACGTAAATTGACTAATGCACAACAGACTTGAGTCTAAATCAACAACGTTACGATTCCAATTTTTAGTTCCATCCATCGATGGCCATAAGCGAATCGTGAGCAGTTTTCTTACAATATAATCAATATCAGTTTGATCATCATCATTGGCAATACCGATTAATACACATAAACCACGATCGATAGAGCTAATTAATTCATCGCTGACACGAACACTCGCTCGAAGAACACGTTGAATAACAGCACGCATATTAGTTTTTTTTATTCTATCTGAATATTAGAATAATTAATCTTTTTTTTTTCGATTTACAAAAAAGCCAAAAAACACATTGATAAATATTTACTCAAATACAAAAAGAATTCTCGGTTAATAGATGATCAAAAAAAAACGAAAGCAGCAAAATCTGACATATTATACATAATCACGCAGTGTATAAGGACGTTGCTGTTGTTTCATTTGAAAAGAAGACGGCTGATTTTCTGCAGAACTATCCCACTGAAATAAAAAAAATAACATTGGATGTTCCTTTCCTTAGAACAGAAAAAACAAAGTACGAACATACCACACGATTGTTATAAATGGCACTGTCATCCGGATGATATCGTATTGTATCATGTTGACTATTGTTCATTCCAATTGCTGTCATTGGTATATTATTCTCCTGTTTTACTATAGCACGTAGATTAAGAAAGCTCGGCGGTAATGGCCCACATAAGGCAGAAAAACAGTTTAACAATGAATGTCCTCGAGAAAATGGATTTGATAAAGTTTCACCGCGACGTGTAGATCTCCACGTATCTTTGATCTATTAGAAATAAATGAAGCTTATTTTTCATTAACGAAATTCAAGTACATACATCTTCATTTGTTGTTACACTTCGACAAATTAAATATGTATGATAACCCCATAGACCAATCACCGACCATATTGAAATAAAACATACTAATGCTTCGACTATAGTTGCCGGTGTATCACGAATTGCATCAGCGACTGTTGATGCGTCTTGTGCTCCTATTCAAAATTTAGGGCTTTTAATTAAACAATGGTCCTGGTAAGCTCCATAGAGGAAATATTATTAATAATACTCTCACGGATATTTCCACGATTCATCACAGGAAAGGAAAAAGAAATTTTCATTATTTTCTATTTTATATATAGAACATGAAAAGAACTCTCGACGTTTGAATACTTACGTAAAGCAATATTGATAATATTAAAAACGAATATGTAAATACAAAGAAGCGACAATGAAAATAAGAATAAATAAAAATATCGATAATTTCGTAAACCAACACAATTTCCAACCCATGGACTAAAGCATAAATCATTATGTTAATTAAATATGAATCTAAAAATGACATACCAATGATGATCGAAATTCGCTAAAAAATAAAAATATGATTCTTCGTTGTTGGTTTTTTTAATCATTTAATTCGTCTTACCAATACATGCATCACACAGTGAACAATGTGACACTCGTGGTGGTCTGAAAATTTTACATGTTTGACAAAATTTAAGTTGCATGACATGTCCACCACGCATTTGAACTTCGATGACTCGTCCAGTTAATGAAACATTTTGTAGATTATCTATAGAAAAGACAATATTAAAATTTCTACATGAATTCTTAAGTTTGAACCTGATTTTTCAAGATAACGAATTTCTTCTGGCGTTGCTCGAGGAAGTATGCCAGGATCAGTGAATGCTGTACGTAAAATACAACAAATAACCATAAAAAATAAAAGAGCAGCAAATATCGGTATGGCTGGACTCAGTCTCTTGGTTAGATAAGGACAACTAAAATTTTAAGATATTAAGTCTAGAATTTATTTATTATTGCATCGAAATCTTACTCGAAACCAAAGAAAAGTCCAGATATGACACTAATTAGCAATACAGCAAATATGAATATTCCTATGTTATGACCGGTAATACAACGACCATTGCAAAACACTCGGTTTTTACTTTTCAGAGACTAGATTATAAAAGAAAAAGATAATAAAAAATTCTAACAAGTTAAAAATTTATTGCAAAAAACCAACCTGCCAATTTCTGGCCATAATTTTGTTTCGGCTAAAAAATTCTCATAGTCGACCGAAAGAAAATTTCTGCACGATAGACATAATTTAATGACAAGAAAAAAATATGATTTAATCAGTTAAAATCAAATAATCATGCACGCTCTAAACAAATGCTAGATAATGCAAAGAACGCTACTATCAATTTCATTTTACACGTGACAAGTAACGCTTATCAATAACGACCTCTTCTTTCTTGTTCAGGATTTGCTGTTTATTGAATTGGAAAAAAAACAGAAACAGGTGAGATAAGCTACATGCAATTCGTAAATACACGAGTGCTATCAACAGCATGAATTACGTTGACATTGCTGCCAGTGTATGTAGAAATTACATGTAGCTTGTCTCGAGCACAGAAACATTCGTTTCGTTTCCTTGATTTGCTTCATTAAAAGCAAATCAGAATTCTGAATTAAATCTTGAAAAAATAAATCAAACGTTGCTATAAGCTAATTTTCTTCACCAGCATATCTCATTAATATTAGGAGTTTATCTATCCAAGGTCATATCAAATGTCGATGCACATTCTTTTCATCATATCTCATGTTCTTTTATTCTTTTTGCATATATTATCATTATCGCTTGACATGAGTTGGCTTTACGTATTAAGCAGATTCTTCATTATTTTTTATAGAACAATTACTGCTAAACGTTTAGATATTTTTTTTGTTTAGTTGGCAACTTTCGGGCGAAGAAAAGCTCAATATTTCATATTTTTGCGCAACAATCAAGTGAAAATTCTTTTAATATTCATCCTACCAATATCGAATTTTAGTCTTAGTAGCTAAGAATCTGTATTATTTTTGTATTGTTTCTGAAAGTTTGAAATGCACGTCGTAGTAGTCTATTTAAATTCATTGGAAAATCTTATTTAAAGAAAAAATGAATTGTATGAAACAGATTAATAGAAGTCTTCAAAAAAAAAACAGTTTGTCAAAAAAGTCATATTTTTATTACATTAATTATTGAGTTCGAACAGGGGCTATCTCGTACTTTGAAGTCCGTACAGAGAATTGAACTTCACTTCACATCAACTTGAAGTTTTCACCGGTTCTTCTGCGCCTATGTGCGATCGATCTATCGGTAGTGTGGATGTGAACTCAATTTTTAATCATAGTCCAAATAATGATGACATCAAGATCAAACGAAGTTCACATTTTGGCATTAAGTATTCAAAAGGGCTGTGTAGAAAATCCAAAACGCTGATCGTGGAATCGAAACACTATTTTTACCCTTTTGAAACTGCCTGACATGCTAACAGATGGCAACAGAAGATGTTTAATTCTTGCGAAACAACGGGAAAGTGACATTTCGTACTAATTTTTCATTACGATTTCCCGACATATAAAAACATACATGCTCTTCGGAATGACAAAAATGTAAAACAGTCAGGGTGTTCGGAATGAAAGTTGTCCAATAGATCGTAACGGACAGCAGTATTTTTGAAAAACAAAAAACTGCAATTTGCGTGGCGTTCGGCGTGAAAATGACCGGAAGATCGTAATGAAAAGAAGGCAGGATGTTCGTAACTATGTTCATGTGTACACGTTTTGAGAGATTTCAAATGACTCAGTAGCTCGTATTTAAAGATAATAAGCAGAACAACGTTCAAATGAGCACTCTCTAAGTCTTATGGTATACTTACAATCTCCAGGTAAAATGAGTTTACAGACGACCGGCCATTTTCGTCCCGAAAAAACAGAACTTTGATAGAATAATGTGTTTGCTAACTCTTGCTTTCTACTCTTATATCTTATCTCATCTGGTGATGTACACGCCGCAAAACATCCAACGATGAATAGCCAACGTGTTGTAGTAACTGGTGTGTCAGGCAGTATTGGTGCTGTTATAGCACGTTTGTTCCCTACTCACGGTGCTAATGTTTCATTACATTATTATCGTAATGTAGAAGCTTGACGCTCATTGTTAAACGAATATCCTGACCCATGTCAAGCATTTTCAGTCAATGCTACGGACGAACAAGCTGTCAAAAAAGACTTTGAAGATAGTTGTAATCATTTTGAACTTGTCAATGTTTGCATTGTTAATCGTGATGTGTTCAAAGAAGATGATATTCCTATTTTGGACATGTTCCTTGATCAATGGCAAAATACAATCAATGTCGATTTGACGTCCTACTTTCTGTATGCACGCGAATGGTGTCGACCGTTAAAATATCTCCAACCAGCGAATCATGATAATATCAATGCGACCCTTATCGCTATTGGTTCAGTGGCAGGCAACTTTGGTCGAGTCAATCATATTGATTATGCAACAGCAAAAGGTGCTTTACAATCTTGTTTCATTAAATCATTAAAAAAATGAAAGCGTTCATATTGTTCCACAAGCTCGATGCAATGTAGTCACGCTCAGTTCTATACAAACACCGATGAGCGAAAGCTTAATTCAACAAGGAAAACATTTTCAAACACTTCGCACAACATCCTTGCGAAAATTAGGTAGCGCAGACGCGATATCGCTCAAGCTTGTCTATTTTTAGCCTCGAACAAAACAGCTCGACATTTAACAGGAGAAGTAATGGTGGTTCATGGTGGAATGGAAGGGCATGCCTTATGGTGATAGAATGTATTGCAGTGTGACATGTAAAAAAATTTAAACAGATAATTTATCACACGATTTTTCTTCAAAAAGTTTTGATCCCTATACATTTTTATTTCAAATAAAATATTTCCTTCAAAATACAAATTTTGAAACAGTTATTTCTTTTATTTCTCTTACAGCAAATGAATCAAATGTGCAGTAGACATCCGAAGGGCTTCAGAAGTAGTTTTATATTACATTTCATATGCCATGATTTGTCTATTGTTTTTGCATCAAGTTATTGTAAGATTTGAATAGAACTCCCAACACGACATGCTTTGGACAGGCGAAAATCACTGACACTCATAATCACACTCTTTCAACAAGAAAAGCACGATAGGAAAGAAAGAAAGATGTGTGTGCCATTTGTATTTTGGATAAAAATGATTGCGTAGGGTATGAGACTGTTATTCATCGACAGCTATATTTGGATAGTCATATTTCATTGGCATAAACAATATGATAAAGACTATTTTATCGCGCAGAGCGACTGGAGATTCCAATTTTCAGCCAAGTAATTAAACGAAAACATGAGATTAAGAAATATTCAATATGTGTACGCAACACATAGTATTGAACGTAGTGTTATTAACTCATTGGCGTGATTTTGATACATATGGGACTTGAAGAGCATCGCATTATAATATTGAAAAAATTCAGATAAAAAGCATTCGTATTTTTATGAGCCTGACTAATATTTCTCTTTTTCGCTAAACATGCAGAGCTATATGGCATCATTCAGTATAACTGTTGCTTGAAGGTATACTTGTTTCTACGCTTCTGTATATAGAGATTCACGAAGAGATGAAGCAAAAAATGTATTTTTTTTTCGTTCTTGTGCGTTGACACATAAAATATGCGTTTCATACAAATACAGAAAAAACGAATAGAGACAAGAAAAGTCAAAGAACTGACGATTATTCAATGAGGAATATGTCGTATCCGATACACAAAAAAAAATTACATTAAGTAGTACTTCTGGCATTGAAGAAGTGACGATGAAAGGCTACCAATGAATATGAAGTTTACTTTGAAAGATTCAAATATAGTAGAACAGCGCCAACATTGAACCAGAGCGTATTTTAGCCAGCTCTCTTTTCTTTGCATTGCACCAAAGAAGTCAAAGGTCACTGCTGGCAATTGTTAAAAACGATATTAAACATCAGTATGATAATAGTTTATTTAGCAATCGACAAAGTTCTATGTAATTACTGTGTTACATGAAACGATTTGTTTATTGTCGCTAGTAAAGATTGCCGATTTTGTTTTGCTGTAGAGATTAATTTGTCTACGAGTGTTATTTATTATTCTATGCAGTGATGCGTGTTGAACAACATAATTCTACTACAATTTTAAGGCTGTCTGACAACGCTATTGACAATTGCATTTTCACTTTCACTGTTTATTTTTAATCGTAAAAAACAGCATTGTAATTAACTACTCAAAAAAGCGCATGAATCATCGAATGTCGATAGAATTTCTCTACGTAAGTAATAATGGTTATTTAAATATGCCATGCGCAATTGTACCTCAATCGATATAAACAACAAACAAGAGAAAGGAGCTAACGCATCAGACCTTTTCCGTTCGATCTCTTGAAGTTTCTTTCAAATAATTCATCTTACTATTCGGCTTATTATGGATGCAAAATGTTGCATTCTATCGGTTATTACCATCTAGAGATCGAATTATTACACAGAAGAGTGACTTGAGCGCGTTTGTGATGTACGAGTTGCATATCGGAAGCATATTTTTAATGACACTTAAGACTCATCAGTGTGCGTAGAATTTCATTGTCCATTTGCTTGGTAGGAGCTTTAGTGAAACGTCAAATACTAAAATGTTATTCAATAATATCAGCGCTTTCCGCTTACTCTCTTCAGGTCTTTCCTGTCTAAATGATTCGGTGAGATCGTATCATCGGCTGAATCGTATCTCCCAATATGAAAATTAATTATTTTTCACCGAGACTTCTTGATCTTGTCTCGTTCAAAAAGAGCAACTTACGAGGTTGAACAAGTTAACACCCCGTACTCATGTCATGCGTAGAATATTTTACTACAGGTCTGGTCTTCTCCTGTTTCTTTTCTATATAGCTGTTTAAGTAGCTCTGAATATGTACTGTTCTCATTGTTGCATGTTAACGTTTTAACAAACGAAATTATTAATAGAACAAGAAATGGTAGCACTGATTATGTGTAGATATGCATGACTTGCAGATATGAAAAGCAAAAGAAAAGGAATGAAATAGAGCTTAGTATTAAAACAGCATTTAATAGTCAGATGAAAACACGTATAAGAGAGAAAGAAAAACAACAATTACTGTTTTTACCTCTTTGTCACATAAGGCTTGTATGAATTTTGACTATGTTTCGTCTATTATATTCTAGAACTATTGGTGGCATCTAATCTTGAATGATAACTTTAATATGATCTTCTTGCAAAATTATCCAGCTATTTATTTTTTATTCTTCGTTACGAGCGTCACTTCGTTTTCTCCTGATAAATCGTCCTACGAAGCCTATGGCCTCAAAATCGCTGGTAACGATGTACTTCTCGTCGAATCGCTTCCTTCTCAAGCAGCTTTTTTGCTGCGCCTTGCCCCGTTCGACGCATCTCTCACATGCATCGTTAGTTACAACACATCCGATCAATATGTCTATTCAGCAGCAGTCGCTAGATCAATGCAAAATAACGATACGATTCGATTCGTATTCATCGGCATTGATACAGTAACTAATGCTCCATTCATTGGCTCATTGAATTATGCAGGGAAGGACGCAGGTGCATATGCAGCTGCAGTGAATTCGGCACAGCGAAATAATATTTCTTGTAGTGCATGGAACACAAAAAATTATGATATACATAGTTTCAATCAATTTTTACATGACGAAGACAATATAAATGGTAACCTTGACTTTTTTGTAGTCGACGTTGAGTAAGTAGTTCCATATTTTGTAGTCATATTTATTGACAAATACTATCAACAATGTTATATCATCAGAAAACTTTCCCTTTAACTCAATAGAATTATTTGCTTAATCTAAATTCTAAAAGAAAATCAAGATTCTTCTCCAAATAAGATTCAATTTACTATGATGCATCTCTGAAACAAGGTGTAGAATGTATAGATACGCTTCGCATGATGCTTGTATTCAGCCGTGGAGCCAATTGCTTACATTTATACTATCGAGCACATAGTTATACCCTTTACACATGGCTATGTGCTAAATTCTCGAGGGATGTTGTAATAATGGCTTCGATATCTGCCGGCCAATTTTACTATTGATAAATTTACTGATTGGATGATTTAAAGAATAAAATGAGCATGATATCCGATAAATCGTTTTTTTTTTAGAGAAGATATCATATTAAAAATAAATGCGGAAACATCGGATTTACATCCGATTGTTATGTGTACTTCAAAAAGCGAAAATGTACATCCATTTTTTTCTATAAGGCATAGATCTCATCAAGATACATCCCTTCTCACTAAATTACAAGAAGAAAATACAGGCATGCTAAGTTAGCATGGACCACACTGTATGCAACTCTATCCAGTGATCACTGACTCTGCTCTCAGCGTGATATAATATCTTTAGAGATCACAGAAATTGAGCTCAGATTCGTGTTCAGCTTCGAAAACTGGATAGGAACAGTTATTTTTGAATGGTTTTGTGTTTGTATCTAGCAGGATTACGATCGTAAGCAACCTCATGAATTTATAAGAGATATATGATAGATACAGGCATCAGTATTTTCATAATAAATCATCANTTCAGCTTCGAAAACTGGATAGGAACAGTTATTTTTGAATGGTTTTGTGTTTGTATCTAGCAGGATTACGATCGTAAGCAACCTCATGAATTTATAAGAAATATATGATAGATACAGGCATCAGTATTTTCAGAATAAATCATCAATAGTAATAGCTATCGAGTTCGGGTTTTTACCTTTCGGTAGTCTTTTTGACTAGCTACAAAACCAGGCATTTGAGAAACCCCCCAAACTGCTGGTCATCTGAAACATATCTAGGCAATTTGGTTTCTAGATGCAGCTTTTGTGTATTTTAAGACCTTTTTCAGTCAATGTTTCGTTCAAAAACTACGCTTTTTTTCAAAACTAATATCAGATTCAAAATCAGCGTTAAAATCTGAGTCGATTTATATATGTTGTGGATAATTCTGAGAAAAAAAAGTTTTTTTGAAAAATCCCTGTACTCCCCCCTCTCAGGGATGGTCTGGTCAATAATGACAATTTTTTCGATAACTCAACCATTTCTTGATGGGTCCTTCTCATCTTCGAACTCGACTGAGACATTGATGAGGCTGAACTGTGTAGAAAACTTCATCATGATCTAACTCTCCTTTCGAAAGTTATCGTGTAAACGGACGGCCGAACGGACACACTGACCGATTCTAGAGTGTACTCACTTTTTGAGTACACAAAAATAGTTCGATATGTTGTATGACAGGAATTTGCTTCTGATGACTTTAATCAGTCTTTCGTTTGCAATAAAATATGTATTGAATAGCATAGCTCTCTTTGTTGATTCTATGTATTTTCATGAATTCGTTTTTTAGGCCGTTGGGCCAGTATGCTTACGCATTTACCCAAAGCTTTATTCTGTTATACAATCTCGAAACAAAAAATGTTTCTATTCAACTCGGTAATCTAACCTGGCCCGACAGCTCATTTCTTCCACGTGCTGTTGATATTAATCACGATCTGTTCGTTGTGGTACTTGGCTACGTGGGTGATGAGAACATTGGATTTACTCCATGTGCTTATCTGATGAGTAGATCCGGTTCAAATTGGACTGTAACAGACACATGGATATACGTGCCACTGACAAGTACCTCTTGGCAAGCGAGTCTTACTAATTGGGATGCCAATAGCTACTCACCCAAATACGATCTGTCAGTGTGCTTCAACGATCAACAAAGCCAAGTTCTACTAGGAGTTCAAATAACGAACAGTTTCCTATTACTTAATATTGATAAAGCCTCTAAAAAGTTCGTCTTACCTTTTCAATTGTACTCGAATGGAAAAGCAATAGGAATGGGTAAAGCACTTGGTTGGCTCAATAGCGATATCGCTGTGATTCTGGTTAATACATACTCTCTAAATTATGTTTGGTCAGCTTCAAAAATTTTTACATACAATATGAGTCTTAACAATAGTCTTGTTATCAAATCAATTCTGCCAAACAGTCAACAAACGCTAGCACCAGAATTTGGTCCTATTTTAATATCGACGATCGTCACGAAAACGGGTACTGTCATAATGTTAGATTCAACCGGTAACTTTTACATTCTTCTTCCATCACCTCCTGGCTCATACTCTGATACTAACGCAAAATCAGTTTCGTCATTTCTACCATGCGTTGGAGGAAGTTTCAGCTCGAGTTATGATATTCAACCATGCTCGCTTTGCCCCCAAGGTTTCACTACATTTGGTCAGGCAGGGCAATTATCTTGTAAGCCATGCATAAATGGCGCTTTTTGTCCACTTGGTTCAGCCTTTGGTAACATCTCATCATCTTCTTCACTTCTCACAAGTCTCAACCCAGCACGTGCCTATCCGCTGTCACCTAAGTCAACCCGTTTTGATAACATTCTAATGGAAAACATGTTTGTTATTAATAGCTCTTCGGCAAAAAATTGTTTGACCATATCACCATTTTTCTGGTCATTGATTATTATCTCATTAGGTGCAATTATTGCAATTTTGATGATAGTTCTCAAGTACGCCGTTAGCAGTCCACGAGGAAAGAGAACACATGACAAACTCGAACGTTTCTTTAAGCAAACAGATATAATCGGTGAGGGTGAGCTTTGGATAGGTGGAATAGTAAGTTTTGCTATAGTTTTCCTGTGTACATGCGCTTACGTATTCGGCGGTACTTACTACCAACGTTATCCAATTGAAAATCTCCAGGGCAGTGTTGCATTTGATTGCAGTGGTACATTATCGAATGCTCAATTCACTTCGAGCTTGATGTCTATCATGGTTCCTCCGAATGAGGATGAATTACGCATCTTTGAACTTCTCGATGCCCAGATATTTACACTATATATGGACTTTGTCAATACGCTCTATACATGTACTGATGTGACTCTGACACAAATAAAAGACAAAAGTCTACCACTAGCATTTTTATCATGCAGTGATGGCAATGGTAGCTTATCACTTTCTGTTCTTCTGCCTTCGCATGGTATTAAGTTACAGATTCTTTTCGTTGGTGTCAACACAATTGGGGGCATACGTATATCCCTTGAAGGACCAAGTGCCGATGAAGAGAACGCAACCTTTGAGGCTCAGTACAATCTTGTTGAACTGAGTTTTGCTGAAGCTTTTACATTTCTTGGTTGTGTGCTCACACAGCAGCCATCGTTAACTATGCAACTTACCAAAGTGATTAATCGAACTTCTCCGCTTCATGAAGAGCATGATAAAATATTGAGCGCCTTCTGGCTACCTTATATTTCTGCCGATGTCAATCAAATATTTGCCGACGAAAGCGAATACTTATACGCAACGAGCTCGAACACAATTATTTCTCTTAGTATAAGTGAAACGCCATTTTATGTATTGAACACGCAAAAACCCATTGTTGACGACGCTGAGCTCGTCTTCACTGACTTGCTATTTACTATCACATGCATCGAGATCTTCGCTTTCGTTTTTCTAATATTCAAACTTTTAATTTTTCCCATTTTCAAGCGTATTCTCGTGTGTTTCGGGGGTCGACCTATTTTAGAAAAGTCACTCACAACATCCAACGAGGCACTAGAAATGTCTTTTAATCGATTTTGATATTTTCTGATGAATAATAAAGGTTTTTGATGATTTCAAATAAAATTAAGTAGTGAAATAACATCTTGAATATAATTTCAGAAACAAGAAAAAATAAGAACATAGAGGGCGCAAGCTTGCTGTCGAATCATAAGCGTTTCTTCACATAGACAAATAATCAACTCTGTGATAAGTTGCATTCGAAAAATCTAATAATTAAGAAAGACTAGGCTTTTAAAAAATGCTTCTTTAGCTGACCTATCAGAACGAAATAATGAATTATAAAATAAATAGTCCATTTAATGAAAACTGGATATATCAATGTGAATCACTCGCGTGCATAGAGAAAATTTACATTAAAATATAATATAAAAAAATGAATTTCAATAAAATCGGGAAAAAATTGACCCAGAAAAAATGTGTTAAAAATTAATCTAAATATATCACAGACAAAGCCGAATCTTTTTTTTTAAATATTAATTTAGAAATGAAATATAACAGATAAATTGCGTAACGTATCTATTCAAATTAGCAATAGTCGAATCGTTTACAAATAGAGTTTGTGATTGCAACACAATGCAATAATTAATGAAGCAAATAAACTATGAAAAATATCACACAGTGTAATGGTGAAATGAAAACAATACATACACACATGTTAGACATAAACATATATGTGAAGATTGTTTCTATAATTATAAAATCATATGTGTCTCCACCTATTCACTCTTTTTGTTGAGATGAAAACGAGTGCAAAGATTCACAAGAGAATATCATAACAAAATTCAAGCAGGAGATAATTATGAACGATACATCAAATTAAATTTCGGTTAGACAACAATAACAAAAAATACCAAACTCAATATCAATGTGCCTCTATGGCTTAGTGGTAAAGCGCCAGTCTAGTAAACTGGAGATCCGCAGTTCGATCCTGCGTGGAGGCATTCATTTTTTTTGTTCTTCTCTAACATTATCTCAACAGTGAGCTGTTTATCGCGATGGAGAATTTTTTCGTTCTGATATATTTTAGGTGAATGTAAAATTTTGATCAGAGAGGACTAAAATGTCTGCTAATTGTTAATGCAAAAGAGATGGTCAATCTGAATTTTTACAAGTAACAAGTGAGCCATATAAAATGATACTTTTGGTTTTTTTACGGTATTTTTCATTCGAACCTTTATGCAAACGTGAGCACCTAGTAAATCACATATTCATTTGGATATTTTTCACGATAGTGAAAAATACGGATTTTTAAAAACTCGTACTGCCAAGGTATGAGACAGGTCAAGGTGTCCCTCCCGAACATTCCAACATTTAATTGGCATTGAGAGCCTTATAATAATCAAACAATGATACAAAATGATCTTCAAAACAGACACTATTCAACTGTCTTAATCACAGAGTCAGTCACAGACTATTCGAACAAAAAATGCCTATCCGAAAATAAGAGTCTCAACTCGAAAACTGGCCAACGAACAAGAGAAAGATTTTCGCCAAAACGGAACGGGGGAAATTCTATTCTTGTGTGACAAAACTTTTCGACATTGGCGAAATCTATAGCCGACAAAATGACTAAGTATGTGTTGTGAGTCTATCCGAAGCTGAGAAAAATAGCACCGTCAACTAAATACGACAATTGTCTCAAAAGCGGACGGTTTGGTTGGTTGTCTATTTCAAGGGAGTATTGTCATTGATTAGTTTTAACGAAGGACCGATTGATCATGAACTCATAGTATAGAATTAGGATCATTTCGTCCTACTCTACTCAACGAAAAATTCACCGAATCGTATCTGCAAAAGGAATTGAGATAATACTCAATTAAAGATATTAAAGTAATTTTTCGATACACTAATAAATCCAAGTAAACTAGGGAATATTTCCAAGGAATAAGCATCATTCGGGCTCATATATCGCTCATAAGAGCAATCTAGTGAGATTAGAAGGAATCTAATTGTATGAAATCTTGTAAGCTTTCTCTATTCTCAATTGATCCAATTTATGAGCAAAATATAAGTCTGAATGATGTGTGTCACTTGGGAATATTGCCTCGTATACCCAAAAATAAAAAGGAATGCCTAGATTTATCAAAAACTTTGTCAAAAGAGATAAACTCTGAAAACTATTGTACAAGAGAAGTGTGCACATAGACAGTACTCTAATAATCGCATTTCCCCTAAGAGTCTCGTTTAAGAATCACCCCTCAGATCTGAGTTACCACTTAAAAAGGTTCGTTTGAGCTGAAATTTTCAGGGATGACTGGTCTTCATTAGAAAGAGTCGTGATAAAAATTTCAGTTCGATACATTGAACTGAGCCGACAATATGACTTATTTACATACGAATAATGGCTACCAGAAGAATCCCTAAGGCTCTGCCAATAGGAGAGCTATAGAAGTCGCACTTGTTTTAAATTAAACTCAGCGCCAATACGTAACCTTTGTCAGAACGGAATTTAAAAATTTGCTTTAGTTCGTGTTTTGCAAATATTTGACTGAAATAGGGATCACAATTTGACTAAGAATGGCCACCTGTTGGTATAAAATCCGACTTTTTTAAGTTCAGGAATCAAATATAAAATATCTGTTCGGACAAGATTTTACTTACACTTGAAGCTTCAAAATAAAATAAAAGAAAATGACCTTGATATCTTAAGTCGCCTGAAACCAGTTTCATTTTTTCTGACAAAAAAACCTTGTTTTGAGAAAAACGATAAATCAGTTTAAGAATCATTTTTTTCTTTAAACTCGAAAAAAAGATCTATATGTATGCTATATTTTTACACTCAACCTTTTCGATGATGTCATGAATGATATCAACTCGCTCCACCTATAAACGATCTTTGCTATTAGCTCTATTCTTTCAACTGGCGCGCCTATACTTATGAATATGAAATGAGACTTTTTAACTTAATAAACATAACTATCATTGCTTTTAACCCTTTCAATTGAATAGAATCGATAGAACTATCATTTCTGCACATATTCATTGTATTTTTTCTTTTCTGAACTGATTTCTTTAATTATAAGACAGCGATCTGTGAAACAAGGTAAAACAAATCGTCGTCGGGTCGGGAACTGCCACTTTTTTATTCGGACAACATGTTTACAGAAAGCAAACATCATGTTCGTGATCAGCATACTGAATAACCTATGTCTTGATCAAATTCCGAAAGAAAGAAAAAAACAAAATTTGGTTTTCAGGAGAGTGACCAAGGCAAAATGATTTTACAAAAAACAAAAAGTACACTATTTTGTTCAGAATGTTATACTGATTTCAACCATGTAACTATTTTTTTCAGAAAATAGTTCGGTCAAAAAATGACCTTACCGCCACTTGTCTTTTCTTGAAAAACAAGACAGTACGGCTTAGTATTTTTTCGATAAATCCCTTAAAATCGAACCTTTTTTTAAAAAACCTATATATATTTTGAAAGAAGAGATTTTGAGGCATCTACCCATAATAAAAGTTCAAACTTTTATTTTTTCGAAAAATCGACTTTTTTAAGGGGGGGGGCTTAAGACAGGATTAGTAAATCAGGAAATATTTGCTTCCCCTAAGTCTATTTTACCAGTAAAAATATTTAAAGAGAAGCGATCAGAACCAAAAGATTAAGCGTCTGACTGGAGTACTCACAGAAGCCCATGAAGTGAGTTGTATCGCAAATAATCTGATGTATAAGAAGTGAGTCAAACTTGATTCGTCTCATTTTATTTTATTTTTTCAAACAGCAATATGTTGTCAATGTTACTAAGAACCGTTTTGGTTTGCTGTATGATAGTGTCGTTCTCGGCTAAAGTTCATCACACCCGATCAGAAACAGGCATTGAAGTAGCTAAGCTGATTGGTGTTCATTCAGCCGTGAATTTGACCAACCAGCGTATTAACAATTATGCGTCCCTTAGGTTTCAATTCAATACTGCATCACATATAAACGGTTGGTGGTGTGTTCGCATGTATGAAAGTACTGCGTCATGGTAAGATAATTATTTGTGCACGAACTACGATATTGGTCTGTCGTGGAGATGGAAATCTGCTGATCGTTGCAGTTCAGATTTAAAATGTGTGGCTACAGTAGAGCCTGGTGACCCACAGAAGGACTGGTGGCAAGATAACGCCCTTTGCCTTCCTGTGAATTCAAATATTGAACTTATACGGTCATGGTGCGGCCCTCTGGCTCGCGTCTCGTGTGTCCAACTGTACGATAGCTCATCTCCTGCTGCATTTCATGACAATCATTTGTGTTGGAAAGTGAAACAGTAGAAGACTTAACTTGCTTCTGAGTTCTTGCAAAATTTAAATGAACCTTTAAAAAAAAAGAATGTGAAGTAGCTTTTTCGAAAACTACTTACAGTATAGAAATTATTGGGATTATAATGTTTTCTGAAGAATTCATGTTCTTCTCTTTGGTTGTGTTTGTGAATTTAAATTAATTGGGGCGGAGGGTGTATTGAAATATCATAAATAATCATCAAACATAAAGTGATGAATGCATCTCAGAAAAAGCAATGCTGGTATACCCTGTTATCCAGATGCATAACAATATTGTCTGAAGCGGTTCTGTGATTGTTTCGCCTTCGAAATTCAGTACTTTCGACTTGATCACGCGAAAATACAGCTCAATGTTCGTTATTGGCATAAACATTTTCCTGCTTCATATGCTTCACAGCAGTTGTGCTGAAACTTTTTATATTATTGGACTAAAAAAACTATTCTCGTAACTTTAGCGTAACCTTAAAGGCAATGAGAATTTCAACAATCAATATTATCATTTATTTTTGTCCTGGTCAGAAATGTTTTTAGTATCACAAAGCAGTTGCCTCAGATCTCAGACAGACTAACTCTGAGTCTCATTGATATGCATTGAGTACATCATTAAATCATACCATTAACAGATGAGCATAAAAAAAATATGCAAACCTTCGAAATGATAATTTTGTATTTTATTCGTTTTCAAAAACTGGAAAAATCTTGATTCTGTATTAAATAACGTACCAAACAGTTAATCTTTGCTCATCTTCAGGTATATATTCCATTGAGAAGAAGCGCACAATGTAAAGGTAAACCACTTTAACGGCGCTAATACGTTTTCGATCAATATTCCCTCACGGCCCGAGTTCAATCTGATTACAACTCAAGTTAATCACATAATGCTCAGATTAATAGAATCTCGTATTCTCTCCAAAACATTTCTACTGTTTTCATATTTATTTTTATAACAAAAAAACAACAGCTGGTGTAACATCAATTTGTTTCCATATCTTTAAATGTTTTCACACTGTCTTCATATTTTTCTAAAACAATCGAACAAATTTGTTTTAAATCCATTAGGCCTTGTCGAAATATGTCAAGGGCTGGTACTGCTGTTGAATCTGCACTTGTTTTCGATTGTATTCGAAAATTAATTTTCGATTCTGATGGATGTGGAATAGTATAACCACAAAAGTCAACAGCTGGATTTTTCATAATAACATATCGAAGTGAATTTCCTAATGTATGATCTTCATCACGAATAATAAATGAAAGATTCGATGCACCGACAGTTGTTTTCGTATTTGTGCCGTCATCAACTGGGCAAACCTGTAATTTTATATAATCATTCGATTGCATCTAAAAACAAGGAAAACGTTCCTTCTTTTCTTTCTCTACTCAACTACGGGCTTTTATTTAATAAAAAGAAAACGAACAAAACGTTTAGTTTAATTAAACGGTTAATTCAGCTGTTTTTGTTAAATTCAAGGGATTGACTGATGCAAAATTTTTCAATGCTGGTTCAACTTCACGTGAGATGAATTCATAAACCTACAAAAAACAGAATTAAAATGACAACAAACAAGAGAAACACAAAGTTTACTTGTTCAGGTGCTCTTCCAATAAATGTTTTTGCATCAAGGAGAACATCCAATTTACTGACTATTGGTGCAAAATAGGGATCATTTTTGACACGTTCAACAAGATCATTATCTAAACCATCGATTTTAACACGTTCAGCAGCTTTCTGTGATAATGTTCGAATTTTTTCATGACATTCTTGACGATTACCACCGGCAGAAACCTAATAAAAGTTTTACTTGAAAATAAATAATGAAGTCATGCAACGAGATTTTTACCATGGCCATGATTATATTTTCTGTTGCCATAAACGGTAATTCTTGTTTGATATGTTTTTCAATGACCTTGAACAAATGCATTGGTATTCTTTTTTTCAATTGATTTTTCTTACTTTTGGATAGACAACAAGACCTTCGGAAATATTTAATAAAGTAAAAAGAATAATGTCAGCCGTGAGAAAAGCTTCAGGAATACAGATGCGTCTATGAAAGAAAAATAAGTCAATTTGAAATCAATCTTGAACAACGTTTTACTTATTAGCACTATCATCCAATGTTCGTTCCATCCATTGAACTGAGTGTGTGCCAAGTGGATCGTTAATTAAAGTCATTAAATGGCGTGCAAGTGAACAACATCGTTCACATCTCATTGGATTACGTTTATAGGGCATTGCACTTGAACCTAATTTTAATTTAAAAAATTTCTCATTACTTTTTTCATCTAAATCTGTTCTTCATACCGATTTGTTCGATTTCAAATGGTTCTTCGATTTCTTTCAAACTGGCTAATAAACGAATATCAGTACACATCTAGAAGTCAAAGAATGAATAATTCTAGCAATCGAAATGCAATGATTAATAACCTTATGAATCGTACCACCAAAACTCGAAAGAACACTGACAACTTCAACATCGAGTTTACGTGTATATGTTTGAGCACAAATAATGAATGCTCTAAATAGAATGGAAAACGCTTAATTAAGAAATTTGAAAGGAACATTTAATATCTGAGGAAAATAAAATTTGTTGGGACATTCAAAATATCCCGAGGGAACAAACTGATTTCCAGGCATAGAAATCATCATACATTAAAGACGTGAATAAAGACTGAGTTGTTCGAAATTACAAGAAACAAATGTAGCTCACAGAAATTCTCGAACTATTATACAGTGAAAGAATATATTGGTTACGGATGATTTTTACTAATTTTCTTTCTTTCAGAATGTGCCATGTTTTCGGTGACCACGGTTGATTTCTCATCATTTCTGAACGTTTCCAATGGTTTCTGCTGGTTTTCAATGATCATATGAAAACTGATTTCCAGTCATAGAAATCAGTTTGTTCCTTCTTGAAATATCCGTACTACGAATATGGTCATTCTGCACTGATTAGTTGTGTTTCTGCTATATTACTTTGAAAAACCAGCCATTTCTGTAACCATTCGGTCTAAATCTTCGACCTATGACAACGGAAAAGTTAATTTACTAAAATGAATCTTGTACTCAAGATCTTACTTTTGAATGATCTCCATTAAATAATTGTAGAAACGATGCTTGCGTTCCCGTTGTGCCTTTAACTCCACGAAATTTTAATTGTCGTTTAACTCGTTCGAAATTCTTCAAATCCATTAATAGATCTTGTATCCAAACACAGGCTCGTTTGCCCACAGTTGTTAATTGTGCAGGTCTTTCAAAGGCAATCATTAACGATTATCACTTCAAAAACAAAATACATACTGCATATGAGTATAGCCAAGCGTTGGTAAACAAGCATATTCTTGTGCAAATGCGGTTAAACGTTGAATGCATCGAACGAGCTGAAGATGAAACATATAGAATCGCAGAAGAATTATTTTTTGCTTCGTTTACTTTATTAATAAGAATGTCAAATCCATCTCTCATAACAATCAAGTCCTACAAAAAAAAAGTTTTTTTTACTAATGATGAGAAAAATAAAGTAAAATAAAACGTACCGCATTATCACCAACAAAAGCAGATGTAGCACCAAGATGAATAATTGGTGAAGCTTTTGGACAACACCGGGCAAACGTATGCACATGCGCCATAACATCATGGCGTCGTCGACGTTCTTCAGCTTCGGCAACATCAAAATCGATATTAGTTAAATTTTTCTCCATTTCATCTAACTGCTCCTCGCTAATATCCAAGCCTAATTGCTATTAGAAAAACAAATCATAGGAACGTCGATGTGTTTTTTCGTTCGAAAATGAGGCTCAACTTACATGTTGACATTTCGCTAACCAAAACCAAAGACGTCTCCAAGTTGAGAATTTTTTTACATCACTAAAGTTGTAGCTCATTTCGGCTGATGCATAACGTGAAACTAGAGGTGATCGATATTTTGAACGATCATCTAGCGATATTGTCGATGGTAAAATTGCTTGTTCTTTTCCATTACTACCATTCGAGATACTACCGAGACGTGTAGTTGATTTAATTGATGGTTGGTCCTGTGTTGATAAAGATTCAGTTCGAGATCCTCGTTGACTATCATTTGTTGTCACCGTTGAATCAGACATCTGAAATAAAAAAAATGCCAATGTGATGTTACGCATAAATAGAAAGTAGGCGAATAATAAATTCTCTTGTCGTTCCGTACTGAAAAACGTTTTCGTAGGAAGAAAGTTGTCTCGGCTAACGTCAATAAAAATTAATATGTTGTTCACTATTCATTTCGCACACCTTCTTCGACTTGCAACAACATCGGAATCTATATAAATAGGCCGAATACACGTACATACATATTTGCACGTCGTATATGTAAAGTTGCTTTCATTGTTTTATTTTTTGCCCTTTCTCAGTTTTTTTCTTTTTCGTTCGATGACAAAAATAGCACAAGAAGAGCGAGTGTTTATCTGGATAGATTTAAAGTAGAGAAGAAAAAGAAACAATACATGATGAAATACATTCTTTTATTCTTTCTTTTTTTTTTTGTGCATAAAAAATACTATCAGTCTTTGCTTTCCAGTTCTTGAGAAAGTAACGTAACAATTGTTGGTTCATCATTGATTTTCGTGTGTGCATGAAACATAAAAGGAAGTTCGTCGCCATCGGCCCAAACAACTGCTAATGAACGAGATTTATTTCCATTATTTGATGAAGATAAATTTTGAATAGGATAATTAAATTTAGCGGCACGTAATGATGAATGACGATATGTTCGAATAGATAATTTATCGTGAAATTTTTCGATAAGATTCAGAATATCTTTCGATGGTTGCTTAGCTGAAAGATGAACAACTAACTCTTCGCGTATTGGTACCGAACATAGACATGTTGCTTTTTCATTTGAACCTTGATCTTGAATTTTTAGATAAAGAGCCAGTTGACTCTGTAAATAGTCGACTTTTTCAAGTAAACTATCTTGACGTTGCTCGATATCTTTTAATACTGATTCATTGGTTGATTGCTAAAAACAAAACATATTGTTGTATTGTTACATACGAGTGATATTCTTATTTTTCATATCAGAATGCCTTCATAAACGTTAAATTACCTTTTATCTTTTATGACATGAAATAAGTAGGTAACAGATTCGTACACTTACCATCAACATACAACTCTAGTATGTCGTATATGACGAAAATAGTGATCTTACACAACATTAATTACGTTAGAGTTACGATTCTCTTATTTTTCGATCGCAGTTTTTTTATGTCAAACACAATAAAAAATAGTTTATTTACTTTTATCGGCTGTATGACTTGTTGTACTCGGTACATTGTCGTAGGTAAATCAAACTCGATAGTTTCTGAAGTATGAGGACGTATTGAATACATCGTGATGTTTATTTTTCAATATCTAGAAACAATAAACAAAACAAAAATATTCACGGTTTCTCTTCAATTTGTTTTTTGAATTGCATAAAACAACAACTTTCTTGTCTTTTTCGTTTTCATTTTAATCAGAGGAGTTCGTCGATGCTTTCCTTTGAACATATTGTGCAAATGTTTGTGCAACAATTAATGGAAATATCAATGTAGCATCACCATGAACTTTAACTGGCTTGGCAGCCGAGCGAATTTTACCCCATGATACGGCTTCGTCTGGACTAGCACCGGAATCTGATCCATCATATTCCATACCTGTATTGATGTAAACTGAATAGTCAGCTCCATTACGCATCAGATTAGCATTGCCTAAATCGAATTAGATAGTTCATATCGAGCTTGTTGAAGAGAAACTATAAGAATAGCAGATATACTGCATAGATTTTTCTTAAAATTATAATCATGATTTTAGTCACCTTTAAGACACTTGAATGTCATGTTGACCTAATATTAGCTTTCCTTATGACATGTGTTTCAAAGGTACTGAAATCTTTCAGTTGAGATTGACCGAAATATGTTCTAAAGCTAAGTACACATTTCGACAAGAAAACGTATACGATATATGAAATATAGATATGTGATGATTGATAGAAAATAAGAAATATTCATAATCATTAGTCAACGGACGACGATTGTGACCTATATTTTTTAGGTATTTGAAAGAAATCATTTTTCGAAGATAAGGGATCTATTTCGTGATCATAAATGCTTAGTAGTAAATCTAGCTTAGTCTTTTGAGAATAACTTACAGATATGATGTTTGACGATTCCGCCACCTAAAATAAGCATACCAGTTGATTTAGCATGAACAGCTAAATTATTAATTTTTTTTAAATCCTCTAATATGTCGATTTTTAATCCTGGTTTACGATAGGAATGAAAATATAGCATATCACCTAAACTTCCATCGGTGATAGCTGGGCAAAAGACAGGAATGCTATTTTTTGAACACCAATAATAAATTGATTCTTCATTATTAATTTCTTGTCCAAGTATTTCAATAAGTTTCGATGGTGTCAATATACAATTATTTAAATTTTCATTAACAATACGATCGAGTATTGGCATAAGCCAATCTTCGAATTTACAATAATTATCATTGGGTACTAATAAATTTCCAATACGATTTATTCCATTAGCTCGTAATTGTTGTCCATTTAATGTAAATTCACCGACGTAAGTTGGTGCTAAACATTTAATAAAATCTTCTTCAACACCACCAGCTGTTGTAACAAGTGCATGAATAAGTTTATGTTGACACAAATAACGTATTATATCTCGACAACCACTTGATACCATATTTGATGTATAACCTAGAAATATGATTGAATCAGTTTCCAGCATTGTATCAACCTGTTGACAGGCTTGACCGAAATTTGTCGCTTGAAAACCCATCGTGGAATAAGAACGTAATAGATTAAAATAATCAATTGGTTGAGATTTATTAAAATCATAACCACGAACAATTAAATGCGATGAAAGATCAATTGATGATGATGTAGGCTTAAGCGCTGCTTCAAGGGCGATGGCTGGAGCATCATCTTTTCGTGTTGCTGACATGATGGAATTTTGCAAAGTGATCTTTCGAAATCCTCAACTGAAGCATCTTTCAGAAGAAACTGAAATAAACCTATGAATCATTCATTTGTGTCCCATTTTACTAGATTATGTATTTTTATGATCGCCGTGTGAAAATATGATTTCTTGTTTATTAAAAAAAAAAGATTTTAAACTTTATACTTCAATAGAGTGATAATATTTTTTTTTGGAAATTCCAATAGAACTATAGAGGTCGTAAGTGTCCATTAAGATATTTAATTTCTGCTCGCTTGAGAAAATTTCTTAGAGAAACTATTGAAAAATATATTTTTGCGATATCCGACTATTTTCTTAAAATATATTATCGGTAACTCACTATTTGAAAGAAGAAAAACGCACATGATTCTTCTACAGTGATTATGTGTATAAAACTATTCAAAAGAATCAAACAGAAAAAGAAGGTCATGAGGTAGCGATGGTGAAGTTAACTTAATACTCGTATACATTTGATGAACCATCACTTTCGGACCTCCACACGTTGTTAGAATAAAATAGTATGTTAAATCGAAATCTAATTGATATTGCGTAAGTCTATTTCGGAATAACAATCTTATCTTATGAACGATAATTTCCATGGTGATTTATGAAGTGTTCGTCAAGTAATTACTCAACAATATAGATTACATTTAGCCTATTGCTATGAAGATGAGATTTTGACAACGTTCGATTGTTATATAAATGCGTCATCAACTATACAGACCTTGAGCTCGGCTAAATGTGACGTTTTTGTAATAAAAATTTAATCAAACCCAAGATAGTTCATTATTCGAGGGTTTTTAACACGTATGACAGTTGGCGTTATTGGTAGAATACCTCGTGTTTGTTGTTTATTATGAAAATTAATTTCGTTCGGTATCGAGGTGTTGAAAACACCGATTTCTTTTTCGTATTGTTCAAGTGTTGACACCATCGATTTAATAATAAATTGATTGTATCGATCCAATGCTTTCTTAGCTGATTTCATATATAAGAAAAATACACCAACACTAATTAAAATAAATAACTAAAATATAATACAACATGGATTCAACAGACAGGTATCAGCTTGTTTCATTCTATCGAAAGAAAACATACAAGAAGAGTTCCCAGTACAATATGTCCTATAGAAGCTACTTGGATGGCTAAATCTACGAAAGATTTTGCTTGTGGTAAACACGATTGCTGTATGAAGGAAATAGAAGAATTATTAAAATGAGTAAATAAAATTTTCTTACATCGATAAATGAATTTGTTATAGTCGGGCTAGACGTGCATGAAGTTCCTAAAATTATTCAACGGGAGCGAACGATTTTCAACTTTGACATTTCATTGCCCTGCACTGAGTTGTTTCGAAATTTAGATAAACAAATCGTAAACCTCTTTTATTTTTATGTCAAACAATTGTAAAAGAGGATTACAAATTGTTTAGAAATTGAAATAATTCTACTCACCACTCGTACAGCACGATGCAGGTACATCTTCGCCGGTTAACGTATGAAAATAACTTTCTCGATAATCTGAAATCGGACTATCCAATCCACAGCATGAATACTGAATGAAATATGAAAGTGAAAGTAACTCCTTTATACATCATTTACTTTTAATTGCAACTCAGTCCAGAACTTTGTTATTGGATTTTCTGGTATATCGTCATAGTCGCGAATAGATACTCGCATATATCTTTCTAGTTTAGTAATAAATACTGATTTAGAAAAGATGAAGATTATTGGTAAAATAATAGTTAAAGCAGACGCCATCAGAACAATCAATATGCCAGATAAAGTCAATAGAAATGAACAAACAAATGCACCCAATAATATGCATAATGTTGAAACGATTAACAGAATACTGTAGAATATTAAATAGCCAATAATCTATTCAAAATCGATCAAATGCTTCCGTGTTAAAATATTCAACATGTTCTATAAACAAACCCATTGAAAGAAGAATGTTCTATAGAATTTACTGAGCGTACGGATCAATGTTGCCATAGGTTGCTGATGATCAGGAATGAATATTAAATATATTGCAAAAATTAAAATACCAATACCAATGATCTATGAATCGAATGCAAAGATTTATTCTGATTTTATTCTGATCTTACGAAGACCCATCCACTTAAAATCATTGACATATATCTTCCGATTGCAGCTTTTCGTGGTAAAAACTAAAGTTGGACATTAATATTCGAATAAAAAGTATTGTCACGTACGCCTTTAATATCGTATTTAAACGGATGCTATTGAAAACAAGACCAAAAATACCATCGTGTAGACTTTCTAAAAACAAAATACTAACTTTAAATGTACTTTTCCATTTTGTCTTCAAATCTTTTTCGAATGAATCAAATAAATATGATTTCATTGTCATATAACGTTGATAGGCAATATATTCAAGACGCAGACGATAAGCGTCGCTCTGTTTTTGCAATATTGCATATGGAGCCATTAGCGGTCCAAATAGATCGGCAAGACAATCTGGGCAATTGTAATCAAAATCTACGATTTTTACATTAAACAGCTAAACAAATTGAGAGAGATTGAACATACCTGTTTGAATCGCGGAAGCTTTTGATTGGATAGGTTCAGAGAATTGGGGGAAGTTCATAGTTAATGCTACGGCATGATCAGGTTGAATTGGAATGAAATATTCATCATTAGCTTCTTTATTAATCATCGAATTCGTCTTGATTTCCATCAATTGTGTTTTCTTTTATTCGCGCTAATAACAAAATATAATTGTTTAGCGTTGATTAGTCGATTGTTGTCACAGTAAAAATAAATTGTCGTGATTGAGGGTGTGTGTGCCTATTCTCGTAACAGGTGTATGATCAGTCGTAGTTCAATGTGCAGGATGAGATGACTTCAATTATTAATGAAAGCAGCTCATTTATTCACGAGCGGGATCTATTAATAAGCTTTTTTGAAACATTATCTAAAAAGAGTTTTGTTATTTTATTTGTGCTTATTCTTATTTAATGTATACTTCGATGATTTAACATGTGTGAACTATTGTTCTGCTAGAACTCTACATGGTGTGGGTATGGTGGCGAGGATTTTAAGTGAGAGGAAGATCACATTCATACCCTCACCTCATCCTCTTTACAACAGCAGATGTAGACAAATTTTTTTGACTACTATTGATATCTCCCAAACAAATTGTTTTAGACGATAGTGATGTCTCGTCAGTAGATTATTCAAGCTTTTGTGTAACAAAGAACATAACAGAGATTACTCAAATCGAAATTTATAATCGTCGCGATAACTTCACTCCCTTGTGTTATCTACATAAAAAACTTTGATAATAATTTGTCCTATTCTAGCAGAAAAAACATACCCTATAAATAATCTTGTCATGATTTAAACGATTATTATGCATGGTAGTTGGGAATAACGATCGTTTATAGTCTTGAAGTTGAGTTGGGAGGATTTTTTCTTAAGCAGAACAATCTAAACGTGTTAATTTTAACTCTACATAGGATTACGTGCGATCTATATGTAACGCCTTCTTTAAAAAATTCATAATAATACCTCATCAATACAAAAGACTTAACTCCCTATTACATAATAATTAACGGGATTTGGTTCAAGAAAATATAAACTTTGTTTTTCAGAGGCACTAACTTTTACTTCGAGATGTTCTTGATCTAACTTTGTAAAACTTTGCAAATTATTCTTTTTGCTCCTTCTGAATCTTAAGTTTCATTATCAACTGAACAAACTAGATATAACAGATTTTAAATGAAATTTCAACATGAGAAGTAATAGGATGACTATCAATTGAAGCACATCAATTGTTGTCAACACTCAATAGAGCAAGGTCACGATAAAAGCGCACATGCGTATATATTTTTAATCAAAGAAAATAGTGAAATACAGTAGTCATATACTGTCTGTTACATCCATACCCACACCCACAATGAATGTTGTATCAAATTCAGAGACGAAAATTAATATTTAATTTCTTTCTTCGGTTCAACTCGAGCAAAATATCCAATTTCCGTAACTTTATATAAATTTCTTAAATTATAACTTTATTCAACCTTCAATTTGACTTCACCGAATGGTGATATTTTATCATTGTTCCATTCCTTAACATTTCATAACACTACAAATTCTACGGTTTTTTTTTACTAATACGACAATTCTGTTTACTTTATTTTAGTTTCCTCGTGACGATAGTTACGGAAGATTTTACAAAAAGAATAGAAAAAAAAAGTTTTCCTTTTCTTTTTCTTTCACTTGGTTATTCTGAGTATTCCTCGCCATTTTTCTGAGAAAAACCTACAATAAAAAGGAGAAAACTTGTTTTGGTTACTTCTTTTCTTTTCACCACAGTCTTATTCCGATTATTGCTTGTGACTTTTTGAGAAAAACTGACATGGTTAGTTTGGTTCATTTTTTTCAAAGAAAAATCGACTAACTTAGACTCATGTCGTTTTCTTTCTAACGAGTATGTTTCTATTTTGCACTGTTATTGTGAGAGAAACGGAAAAGAGAGATTTGCTTCATTGTCTTTCTCAACATTCTCAATTAGTGCTTCAAGATTTAGGAAGCTTTTAGACATTCTTTCTAGAAGGGTTTTTCTCGATTTTTTAAAAATATATTTAATGCTTGACGTTTCAATTAGTGATCAAACCTCAAAATATCTTCCAGATGATTGGAAAAATATCAAAAGGCAGCGTATCCAAATCAAGAATCGTGACCACTGTTAATACAACAGCCTCATTGACTCCCGCAGAATCAAAATGGAAAATGACTCAAAACTATGTGGTCATTTGGGTCGATAACAATATTGATCTGGAAAAGCAAGATTATAAAAGTACAATGATGCAACTACACAGCGTAGCAGATCGCCTGTACACTTTCACAGAACTTGATGAATGTGTTGATTTCCTCACTGAAATCCATGGTCAAAAGGTCCTCCCTGTTGTACCGGATAGTATAGACCAGAAAACAGTTCCCCTCACCCATGATATTCCACATGTGGATAGCGTTTACATCCTATGTGGTGGTAAAGCTCTTGACAAAGATTGGCGCAACGAATGTGACAAAGTCAAGAGCGTATATACGGAAATCATGTCTATTTGTGAAGCACTAAAAGCGGTCAATAAGCAATCCGATCAAAATAACATCTCCATGAGTTTTGTTAATGTAAATCAAGATCCTTCCAGTCAAACTCTCGATCAACTGGAACCTTCATTTATGTACACACAATTATTCAAGGATATTCTCTTTGAAATCGACCATGGGGAACAAGCATTCCAGGATTTTATTCAAATTTGGCGTAACAAAAATATCGGCAAAATAAATGAACTGAATAAAATTGCTGAATTCGAACGTGATTATCGTCCACAATCTTCAATTTGGTGGTATACTCGTGACTCTTTCATTTATAATACGCTCAATAGGTCTCTTCGCACACTCGAAGTTGAAGGGATCATGAAAATGGGCTTTTTTGTTCGTGATCTTCATTGCCAAATCACAGAACTAAAGAAAAAACAGGCCAATCTTCATCTTAGCAAGTCCTTTCAAGTTTTCCGAGGACAAGGATTATCCACAGTCGACTTCAACAAACTGCAGAATAATATAGGTGGACTTTTTTCCTTCAACAGTTTTCTGTCCACAAACACCGATCGCCCTGTTGCGCTCATTTTTGCCGAGAGTAACTCAGTAACATCAGGAATGGTGGGTATTCTTTTTCAAATGACTATTGATCCCAGGGTTTCATCGACTCCTTTTGCAAATGTTCAAGCAATGAGCAGCTTCTCAGAAGAAGATGAAATCCTCTTCTCTATGCACACCATTTTCAGAATTGATAAAGTGCAAAAAATTAAAGAGAATTCTGAAATTTATCAAGTAGATCTTACGCTTACGTCAGATGATGATAAACAATTACGTGAACTAACAGAATTTATACGAAAAGAAGCTGAAGGTTCGACGGGTTGGCCACGATTAGGTAACTTACTTCTGGCAATAGGTCATTTCCATAAAGCAGAAGAATTGTATACCACACTACTCCAAAAGCTATCCGATGACTGTACTAGAGCTAATATCTATAATAATCTTGGTTTAGTAAAAGATAAACTAGGGGAGAGCAAACAAGCAGTCGCATATTTTGAAAAATCTCTCGAAATTTATCGAAAAACTCTGACAGAAGATCATCTTTTATTGGCTACTTCCTACACCAACCTTGGCGGAGCTTATTATCATATGGGTGACTACCCGAAAGCACTTGAGTTTTACGACAAATCATTCAAAATAAAAGAGAAAACTCTACCACCGAGTCATCTCGATTTGGCTGCTTCCTACAACAACATCGGTCTAGTGTATGACAAGATGAGTGATTACTCGAAAGCGCTTCAATTTTATGAAAAAGCGGATGAAATCAATCAACAAACACTTCCATCGAATCATCCTAATTTAGCGGCTGGTTACAACAACATCGCTGAAGTCTACAGGAGCATAGGTGATTATAGGAAATCACTTGAATTTTGCAACAAAGCGCTTAAAACAAAAGAATTAGCTCTGGCTCCGAATCATCCTGATTTGGCTACCTCCTACAACAATCTTGGCATGGTGTACCACAACATGAATGATAACTCGAAAGCACTTGAGTTTTATGAAAAAGCACTTGAAATAAATGAAAAACGTCTGCCTCAAAATCATCCCGATTTGGCTACTTCCTACAACAATGTTGGTGCTGTGTACAACAGCATGGGTGACTACTCAAAGGCACGTGAATTTAACGAAAAAGCACTTAAAATTAGAGAGGAGGTTCTGGTTCCGAATCATCTTGACTTGGCTGCTTCCTACAGCAGTATTGGTTTGATGTACGATAATATGGGTGACTATTCAAAAGCACTTGAATATTACGACAAAACTCTTCAAATCAAGGAGAAAATATTGCCTTCAAAGCATCCATCATTGGCTACCTCCTACAACAATATCGGTGCGTTGTACGAAAAGATAGGCGATTACTCGAAAGCACTTGACTTTGGTGAAAAAGCACTTAAAATAAGTGAAAAACATCTGCCTTCAAATCACCCTAAATTGGCCACTTCCTACAACAATATTGGCTTAGCCTATGACGGTATGGGTAACTACTTGAAAGCAATTGAATTTTACGAAAGAGCACTCGAAATAGACGAAAAGACTCTGCCTTCCAATCATCCTGATTTGGCTACTTCCTATAACACCATCGGTCAAGTGTATAACAACATGGGTGACTATTCGAAAGCATTTGTATTTGTAGAAAAAGCTCTTTCTATATTCCAGAAATCACTTCCACCAACACACCCATTGATTAAACAAACAATAGATAATATAGAATGTCTGAAAATGATGAACACTTGTACGAAGCAATAGTGTTAGGCTTTCCTTCATATGAGTTCGATTATAGTGTGAACCCTTTTCTGAATATATGTAGTCTACCCATGTCGAATAGAACGGTCCGTAAACGGCCCTAAACGACTGAAAACGGCGAAAAACGGTGGCCTTTTAGGTGACGTTTTCCGAGTTGTCGGAAACGACTACCTTCTAAGACGAACGTTTTTACCGTTTTATTTGGACATAGAAATATTGGTAAAATACATACTTAGACACTGCCGTTCAACCTATTGTATTCATTTTTTTTTATTTATTTATTTTTCTTTTATTCTATTTTATTGTATTTTATTTTATTTTACATTTTATTTTGAATGGATGCTTATTTTTCGATGAAATTTGATGTAGCTTACTATGAAATTCTAAAAGGCGGAATACCAGAAAAGGTTAAAAAACATTTGCCGGTTGGGCAAGCAAAAAAATTATTTTGTTTTCGCAAACTACAATCACAAACTTTTGACCACAAAACCTCATTACATAGCTCCAATATGACCCCCATAAGTTCAATCTAGGTCCCATGCACTGACACTGAGATCTAACATACCCAGAAATTCTGGATAAAACACTGCTTTCCATAATCAAAGATTATCTCATAATAGACATATTCATCTACATTTGTCAATACTATTCTTATCTGGTTCTAGATTTCATCTTTAGTTTAAAAATTCAAATTTTGAAATTAATTTTACTGATTCTGTTCATGTTTAAATCAATGCCACCGTATACGAAGTTTCGTCCGCACTGGTTGAGCAAAACAGACTCTGAATGCCGTAATGTGAATAAATGTACTTTATTTAACACATAGGAAAACAAAAGCCCATTGAAATCATTGGGGTATGGGTGTTGATGTGAATGTGTGAGTATTTTGTTCAGAAATCCGCCCACACCCTAAAGTGCATGTATGTCCAATAGTGAAAATAAATCGAACATAAATTATTTTTTTTATGTTTTAAGAAAATCTTGCTGCTCCATTACTTTTCAAAACTCAATAATATTTTTATTTAACTGATTAGATATACGTGCAAAAACAACACATTATCATCTTCAATGCTGTTGCAGTGTTTTTTCAATGTCTAAATCGTTTTCTAGAATAAATTTTTCGTCCTATATTTCCTATATAGTTGAGGGCGATCCTATATATTTTAGACCTATCCTATATAGGAATTCCTATATTTTTTGAGAGAGCCGCTGCGAAGCCAGCCCGAAGGTAATGCATCATCATGTAGACGGCTCTAGGTGACATTCTTTAAATTCGTCACAGTATCTACAGAATTTCGATGATTTATTATATTTGAATTGCTGTTTCAAATAATTATATGCGAACAAAAGATATCAATAAACTGCGACGGAAAACCCTCTATCTTTGAATAACCAATGAAAAACGAAGTAGAGAATGTAAGTTCTATGTAAGATACTCTCGCTTCATACTTGACAAGAGGAGCAAAACTCGCTCCAAAATGGATGAATAAAAATTGGCAGGTTGCGACATGTCAGCACGCCCACATCAAATCAATTGATTTGATAAGCCCTTTCGCACGAACGAAGTTGTAACACACTTTCATCTTCCTGATTATTTATTGCGTTTCATGCTTTTATATTATGCGAAAAACGAAGAGTTAGAAAGCAGAAACTTAATTCTTAAAACGTATTTTTCGCCTTATAATACTCGGCATTGCTTTAGAGTCTCAATAACTACAATGAACAGCATTTAAAAAAAGCGCCGTTCATTGCTGTATCGTCGTAACCTTCGCCTTGTGGTTTATCGAATTTTGAACTGATACCACAAATAGCTGATCCTTTGTTACAAGCGTCTGATCGCTTCCAAGTGCCAAACATATTGCCATTGCTGGCATGAAGAGCATTATTGCTGACTACAGTACCATTCCAGCACTGTGACCTGAAATCGTTTGCTGAAGTATCGTCTATCGATGGTCCTCGGTAATCTTCAATCTTAAAAGCAGCATAAAACATATAAACACCATTTACATCCCCACAGTATGCACTATTACTCCAAGAACCCCAATATCCTTCAAAAGAACTTATGTTGCCAGTGATAGTGCCATCATGTTTTCTACAATGTAAGCGTATTGCATTTAAAGCCGTATCGTCACGTGTGAATTGAAAGAATTCGACGCGTTGTCGAAAGCCGTAGGCCCGTGACCCTTCAGGACAGTATTCATAGTCTTGGAAATCACCGAATTCGCCAACATCTGGTCGAAGTTCAGAAACGATGTCATTCCTTCCTGAGACTACTACAAGTAGAAGAAAGATTAACCAAAAAAATACATACTTGCCATGAATACGCTACGAAACCTGACAAAATCATATACTTCTATCAGGAATTTTTCAGGTACAGATCTATTTAAGAATAACCAGTAGTGTTCAAGGACTGAGAAATAGGAATTCCCAATGTGCCGAGGAATTGTCAGTATCGCTGTCATAATTCCTAGAGAAAATGCGAATCAGCTATAGGTTCCCTCACAGTTCCACCATTCACGAAAGTCGCGATATTGCTGTTTTAAGAATCTTTTTTGCATGAAATCATTGATTCTCACAATTTTGCAAGTGAAAATGAGTGTAAGAACAAAAATTATCGTGAATACTTCATATTTTTACCTTTAGTATGTAAGGAGCTGTAGGGGAACTGATGAGGAACTCCTAATCCTCAGTCGTTGGACACCCCTAGAAAACTTCGTCTTCGGCAACCACGAACACTGATGACAGTAGCATAACAATAGGAGTTACGTGTTGAAAAGACGATTAACTTTACTTCAGAGATTGGGAGTTGCATTCAAAAATCTGAATAATTCTACTCTAATCATTGAGTTTTCAATCATTTTTTTCCGACGTCATTAATATATCATAATCAGAAGGAATATTTAGCGTATGCCAACAGCTCATCTGCTTGCTCAATTATCTAGATTTATCAAGATCCAGGGTGCTAGATTATGTGAAAATTTTACTAAAGCTGACAATTCGCGACTTAAAAGTTCTACCAAATCGTGATAGAGTAGCACCTAAACTTTCAACACACTATCGTTCCAATATTGAGAGAAACAAACCTGAATACTAAAATCCAACTATCAAGGATCTTACCAGATTGACTAGTCTCCGATGTTGTAGTGGTGGTTGATGCTGTAGTCGTGGCTGACGTAGTGATCTTTGTCATCGATGTCGTCGGTGACATCATTGTACTCATTGCTTCTGTGGTCATTTTTGTGATATTATTTATTATTATTTCCATATTTGGTGCTGTGGACGTCATGTTCGTTGTTAATGTAGTCATATAATTAGTTGTCACGGTTTGGGTTGGTACTAAAGATGGATAGATAGAAAATTTTCGGTATCGCTCTCAAACTGAGACTGCGTACTATCAGTTTAGTAGATTGTATGTAGTCGAGTTAAGTAGAAACTCTCAGTTATAGATCAATAAATTTCTAAATACTATGCGTCTGCAGCATAACGAGAGGATGATATAAAAATTTCAAATCATCAAATTTATGTATATGAATGAATGATCATCAACAATATCAATATGTTTGTTTTTCTTATTTTTTTGACGCTATATGTTTCTCGTGTCTTTGTTCCGGATATGGGATATAATCGATTTTTACTGATTTCAATATCATCTAAAATTTTAATCGCCCTATGAAAACGCCTTGATGTTTACTTGCAAGAACCTTACTGGATTGATTCAGCACCATTCAAGGACTCGGTATATTTGCGAAACACGCTCTAAAATGAGTGTTGAATTATATAGGGTAGACAATCAAGCGCATTCAAACTTGTACACAACATATAGAACGGAATGAAACATGACTTTGGAAACTGAGAAAAATCCATAGTATTCATGTTTAGAAATATAAGACTATATATAAATTAATCTATCTTTCCCTTAGAAAACAGAAGGCCCTACCTCTACTAGCTTACTAATGTTCAAACATAAAACTTAATAAAAGAATTTCTTCAGTGAAAAACTGAATCTCTTCTCAGAAGTTGAAAATAGTTCTTCACTATTTTTCAAACTGATACATAGCATTGAAATCGCTGGTTTCGGATTTTCAGGACAAGCTTTCAACACTAAGTACATTTTAATGCTAAAGTTCTCAGATTTCAAAAAACTAAAAAAGTAAGAGCAACTGGACAAAAAAATAAAATAAAATAAACCGTACTAATCAACCATGTTTTTCGATGAAGTTCACTTTTCTTATTCTACGATACTTTTACTTGTAGATGATATTGAAATCAATAAAGATCAATGATATCTAATATCCGTAACAAAGACACCAAGGACATATTACTTCGAAAAATAAGAAAAACATACGTATCGATCTCGCTGACGATCATCCATTCATATACATCAATTTGATGGCTTGAAATTCGAATATCCTGCTCTAGCTATGCTGCGGACACGTAATATTCAGAAATGTTTTAGTCTGGCGCTTATAGTCAATCTCCTAAATTAATCGTATGCAATTTTGCATTGTTTGTCTTGGCCATACTCGTCAGAGAACGCACGTTTGCTCTACTTTTTAGGTTTTGTTCTTCTGCAGTGTTGACGCTCGGCGAGTGATTCCCTCGTTTAAATGACTTTTTTCCTGATTACTCTCGAGTTAGACTCGTTTTCTATCCTGATCCGATAACGAACGAATATGGATCGGCAGAAATCCGAGAAGTCGACTTTTAGAAAATAGCGGGAAAGCGATCCACATCAATATTTCTTCCGAAATATACTTCGCTACTTTTCTTCTGTTGTTTATGAATTATTTATCTATTTTAACGTTTTGATAGTCAACGACTTGGGGTGAAGATTGTAATGAGAACGTGAGGGTCCATTTGGATATTAGATTGGTGTCTATTTATACTTTTACGCATCCACACTGAATATTAAAAACGAAACCTAAAATATACATTGAAATAATAGGCGTTGCATAATTTGAATAAGACGATACTACAAGAATCAACCAGGGTCTTGGCATGGCGCTCTTACCTTTAGTTGACACAGGTTTTATGGTTGTTGCTGCTGGGTTTGAGCCGATAGTGAACATAATGATGCCTACAATCGAAACGACTAGAGCGACGGCACTAATCATAGCTACTATTCTGAAACGGGCACAATTAGCTCTATTTTTTTGTCGAAGTCATGTAAACTGATTGAGTTGATGGCAGGCGTCAGATTCTCTACTGCGGGAGAAGATTCTTCATGAATTGAACGCGAAGGAGACGCTTCATCAATAATCCCACGATTCAGTGTCTCATTATTAGAGTAAAATTTCAGATACCTGCTAGCCATTCGTCACAAAATTTCAAAATAGTCGAGAAGGAAAAAAAAGTAAATCGGTGCAACATGATTTATCGATAAGAAAAAAACCCAGATAAAACTTGTCTCAAGAGTAACTGTTTCGAAAACTTTCGCTTCCTTAAAGAAGAAACAGAGAGAGAGGAGGGAGAGAGAGAAACAGTGAGTTCAAGGGTTTTATTTCATCAAACTCCACTTTTGTCAATAGCTCTCTCTGTAATTTTTCCAACGAGCTCTCCAAGTGTTAATCGGTACAATTTACGGTGGTAGAGAGTTTGTTTTGAAGATGTAGGTGTGGTTGTCAGGTGTATGATAGTTCACAGCTTAATGTGCAGGATGAGATTACTCCAATTAGTAATGACCAGCTCATTTATTCTTGGCCGGAATCTATTCAGACGCTTTTCTGAAACATTATCTAAAAGAAGCGTTGAAATATAGAGGGTGGAAATTTACACCGATCTCCAGTCGTCTGTCTCTCCTGGCAGATCATCGCAGACTGTGAAAGAAGATATATAGAAATTTGTTTCATCTTTTAGATCTTAAATTAAACTGTCGAATCATTTCAGATGGTGATGTGTGCTTTTTTTTAGAACTAGAAAAGTCTCATAAAAAAATCACTGACGGTGGTGAGAAGAAATAGATTTTTTTCATTTAGGCTTTTTCTCATTGAATGAATACTTTGATTGCCTTCATTAAACATTTATCTTTGACGATTTAACATGTGTGAACTATTATTCTTCCGGAACTCCAGACGGTGTGGGTATGGTGGTGAGGACTTTAAGTGAGATGAAGATCACACTTGGACCATCTTTACAAAAGCAGATGTAGAGAAATTTCGGTGACTACTATTGATATCTTCCAAACATATTGCCTTAGACGATAGTGATGTCTCGTCAGTAAATTATCCAAGCTTTTCGCGGTAAAGAACATAAAAGAGATTACTCAAATCGAAATTTATGATGGTCGCGATAACTTCACTTCCTTGTGTTGTCTACATAATAAATTTCGATAATAATTTGTCCTATGCTGAGAGAAAAAAAATACTATACCGTCGTAAATAATCTTGTCATGATTTAAACGATTATTATGTCTGGCAGTTGGGAATAACGATTGTTTATAATCTTGAAGTTGACTTGGGAGGATTGATTTCGTTTTTCTTAAGCAGAACAATATAAGCGTGTTAATTTTAACTCTACATAGGATTACGTGCGATCTATATGTAACGCCTTCTTTAAAAAATTCATAATAATACCTCATCAATACAAAAGACTTAACTCCCTATTACATAATAATTAACGGGATTTGGTTCAAGAAAATATAAACTTTGTTTTTCAGAGGCACTAACTTTTACTTCGAGATGTTCTTGATCTAGCTTTGTAATACTTTGCAAAGCACTCTTTTTGCTCCTTTTGGATCGTAAGTTTCATTATCAACTGAACAAACTAGATATAACAGATTTTAAATGAAATGCCGACACGAGAAGCGATAGGATGACTATCAAGTAAAGCATGTCAATTGTTGTCAACACTCAATAGAGCAAGGTCACGATAAAAGCGCACATGCGTATATATTTTTAATCAAAGAAAATAATGAAATACAGTAGTCATATACTGTCTGTTACGGCCATGCCCACACCCGCACCCACACCCACACTCTCAGGCGGAGGGTCAAAAACTGATCCCCTCAATTTTTATTTCTTCTATGCAACGCTGCCAGATAAGGTGTTGGAAAGCAATCGATAGTAGAATCAGCCCTATTGTACTTGTGAAGGTGTGGGTGTGATATTGATCTCACCGAACACCCTTATCATCACAGCTACACCCACAGCTATAATCCCTTCTCTGTTATGAGTAACGTCAATTAGGAATTTAGCGCAAGTAGTCAGTCGGCTTCGCAGTAAAAATAAGTATCACTTCTAAATTGAACTTGGTATAAACATAATTATTAGTCATTTACAAAGGTAGAAAGTGCTCAAGGACATGCTTACCCTATAACATCAAACAACTTTTAAATAGATATACATCTACAACGAAAGGATAATCCATTTTCGTTCGTTTTAAATTGAAGATTTTTATGCGAATATGCAGTTCAGAATTTAGGAAACGGATTATTTACTTTCGTTTAGTGAATCATGCTTGGATATTTGATAAGTCTTTACAAGATGCGGAAGTAAAACTTTTTCTAGAATCGATTGAACGTTAATTCTGTTTTTATGATTTACACAGTATGGGTTGTTGTTATATTTTCATTTCAACTTGGCTCTGAGCCCAGTCATTGTTATCTATTTATACCTATCAAAAATTGACAGCGATGCATTATTACATATAGTTTTTTATGTTATGGTATCACTATGGAACCTCTTCACATTCCTTAGCATCGAACTGATTTGAAAATTTGTGACAGAAAAAATGATAAAAATATTCGTAATCATCGACGTAGAATTTCTTTTTCTATTGATAATGATCAAGATGCTGTTAAACAAGTTAAATGTTCACAATAATTCTTAAGGTTTTACCGAAGAAAATTCATCAACAATTGGCATTGTCTATCATTCATGGTGGGCGTAAATTTCTAGGAAATTCTACATATTCATCACAATACGGAAGTGATAGAGCAGTTGGAGTAAATTATATACAAAGAAATTTACACACAGCTCATACCGAAATATGTCAGTTATGTGGATATGTTTCCGGATCAGTAAAAACGTATCGGAATAATTATGTAACCATAAAAAAAACTGAAGTTTTTCAACAGTGACAGGAGCAACAATCAATAGATTTGCCCAGAACTAGAAGAACATCGTGTTTGAGATAACATTATTGCTGAAAATATTCAGCAAACAACAACCATTGAAAAAAATATCGGCATTGAGAATATTTCTAGTGTTGGATTTCTTATTCGTATTCTTATGCGAAAGACAAAATTTACTTTGACAGTATCAAGAAATAACAAAAACTTTATGGTGAAATCGTAAATAAATTCAAGAACATCTTGAGGCTGTGGGCGTAGGTTGTGAGTCTGAGTATTGGCGCGTTGAATGAGATAAGGATATACACACGCCTGTGAATAGTGGTCAGCTGGTGAATAAGTCAAATGATCAGGTACATAAATTAAAACGATATTCGTTAGAGTTTTAATATTCTTCTGCAATGAAGAGATTTTTTTTCTGTGAATAATTATCATTTTACAATGATTTTAACTGTATTTTCTCATTCAAGCGTAGAGCGAATGATTAAAATGGAATAGCGTTATTGAAAATTATACCATAAATATGTGAGTTCTATATTTAAACCTCGATGAGGCGCTATCCTAGCAAGATTTTTTCATTAGTTTTTATTTAGAAGAAATTGTTCGGAAAAATATCAAGAAAAAAATAATGATTAAAAATGTTTATGCAGGAGTTTCTAAAAGTTGCTTCGATGTTGTCAAACATAAACAACAGTAACACCAACAGCAGCAAATGATTAACAGAATAATAGTGAAAAAAGACAAAATGACAAATGTATCTGCTGAGTAATTTTTAATAAGTGTTATTATATAATTATTTGCTTCACCTTTTACTGAAATTTGAACTCGTTTTGACGAACGATCAAGTATATCGTTCAGCTGATTTGTAAAACGGATCGATTCAACAACAAAATTCATATGATCAAATAAAAAAGCAGTTTCGTTCCATAAATAATTAAATGTGATTTCATCAAAACATTTTTCAGACATACAACTATATACCATTGTGTCATATTCTAATTTTTTTAAATCGATACTTTCCATTTTAACATCAAATAATTTTGTTGTTATTGATTGATTTGTTGGGCAATCGCTATAACTTAAAATTGTTTTATTATGCTTAAAGCCCATGAAATTTGAATATTCAATGATTTTTCCAGAAACAATATGACATCTATTTGATTGAACATTTGATGTTGTTACATTAATAAATTTATTTTTCAATGGTTCATAATTAATATCAGCTATCCAATGAATCCATCGATTGACAAATGTTTTATCACATAGATCATCCGATGAACATGTATATTCAATTGTACTAATAATTGAATCATTGAATTCAGACAATAAAAACGATGTCTGATAAGTAAATTTATTAACAGTGTAATTTTTATTTTGACTAAATTTAATTGTAACATTCCCATCGACTTGATCATGATCAATTAATATTTTAACGTAGCATAAATTATTTTGAATTGTCGAATCCGTTGTTTTATTTGTTAATTTGCCCAATGTAAAGAATTCCGCAGGTGATATAATTTCATTTCGTGAAATTTTAAATAAACCAGGACTCATGCAAATTAGATTATCAACATGATAAATATTTAAAAAAGTAATTAGCAGAATAAAGATGATTTTTACCATGATCGTATATGTATCGATTTATACCGAGGATTTCGTATCGTTTGGTTCTTCCTTTGAGTAAGAATGAAAATGTTAAATGATTCTTTTTGCTCGTTATCAACGAAGAAAGTAAACGACTACCTCGCGTTCTTCAATGTGCATAGATTCTGTATGAAAAAAAATGTTTAATAGCATATCTAGAATTGCTATGGCTGATAAAAAGAAGCCATATACAAGATAGAATAAACAAATGAGAACAAAAGTTTCGAGTGTGAGAAATAAAAAAACTCATTGGAATGTCTTTTATCGAAGTGATAAATTGGCCTCGGATTACGACTTAAAAAAAAAAAGGAAATTTGCATAGGATCATACTTTTATGAAATATAGGATTTTTTAATACTATTTATAATGATAAATATCATTTTTTTTTAAAACTTTTCTGTTTGAGACTTTTTCAAGATGTGATGTTAGTACATAGATTTGATTCAAATATGATCATAAAATATGACTATACGTATTGAATTACTTCGCTTGAAAAACGAAGACGACGGCTAAAATTGAAGAATTTTCAGCATTTTGTTACGATTTTTTTCATTGTAGATAGGTAAAATACGAAAAATTATCGAAATATAAAACAAAATAAAGGATTTTTCTGAAATCTAGGTATTTTAAGAATTATTAGCCAAGACCGAGGCTAGATAATTCCTAAAAAGAAAAGATATGTGTGCCCTGGAAATTTCAAAGGTTAGATTCTTTCTATTTTAAAATGTCATGTTTTTCGAAAAACGTCCAGAAATAATGCAAATGTGGACGTGAGTGTATCACTTCGGTTTATGCCGATTTACGCTCACCCCACGCCCTTAAGAATATTGGTTAAGGATTTCTTTATCTCTCTCATATACAATTGATTCATTATTGGTTTTGTTTCGTAATTACGTTTATCTTTACTTCTGATGATATGAAGAAAATATATGAAAATAAGGATCTGATGTTTTATTCACAATATAAAACAAAGGAGCATTAATAGTTGAAGATAATATTTAAGTGGACTCTAATAGATAGGGAAATATTTGGAATCTACAAATGAAATTCGTATTTTCATCAACGCGATATGTAATTTAGAGCTTCTTGTTTAGATTTTATGGAATCAAAATAGAATATAATTAGAAATCGAGTACAATTCTTCTATACGGAATCTTTTATCGTGATGATTGAGGTTTGACTTAGTATTTGTTTTTTTTTAACGTCAAGTAATGTGATTGTAGTGGTTGTCAGTTTCGATTAAAGAAGTGAATTTAACTTCAACAATACATTTTGAGAGGCTTGCGGCTGTAATTAATTTAACTTGTAACGATTTGAGTTTATTTTAAATTAAAATTGAAAGAGATTTACATTTCAAATAAATTTACTGAAATCCTACACATCCAATTTTACCAGTGATCGCTTCTGATTTGATGAGAGAAACCATCTTCTATCCATCGACAAACTATTATTATATGGATCAAAATTGTCAGACCAGGACTCGAACTCGATGAACTCTAGTGCTCTGTGAATCTGGTTGCAATTTTTTCTATCATTGAGCATGCGTTGGTGTAACAAAAAGTATTTAAAATTCTCAACCTAGAGCACTAAGCTGAATGAGTCTTTGGCAAGTGTTTTGCCGAGAAAAATGTTTCACCAGTCAAGCGTAAACCATGAAAAACTGGTCGTTGTGGTACTATGTATATTATGTGTCATATGGTCAAGCGGGAAAGATGCAACTCGTCACGTTTTTTTTTGTCTGGCTTTCGTAATGAATTGGCAGTACGAAAGCCCGTAACAGAGGTTTCGTAACGGCAGAATCAGGGCTTTCGTAACGAATTTTACACAGCTATCGTAACCGGTTAATCAGGACTGTCGTACGATAATTGCTGAAGAAATATAAGTGACAATACAGGGCTATCGTAACGAATTTTACAGAGCTATCGTAACGGCTATTACAAGGCTATCGCACTTAAAAGTGGCATATGAACAGCTATTATTACAGAGCTTTTTTACAGAAAGAATGTTTATATCCATTATTCTTTGTGAGATGACTATAGTATATAATACCATCTTTCAGAACGTCCGCAGCTTTTCAGGTATCCTACCTAACTTACTGTTTAACGTACATTATTCATGTCTTTGCATAGCTATAGATGTCACTGCGTTGCACAAGAGCAGTACGTTCTCGGTCAATCTTCAGCGATGTTTATATAGTTGACCGTCTATCCTAGTTTAGCATGCAATTACTGCTCGATTGAGACTGAAACTATTATCGATGGCATTTGTATCGTTATGACTAGTGCTATGTATTTTAATGCCGAGGTGAAAATCTCACCGCTCGATTTCGCTGTGTGGTCATGACTAAAAAATATTTATAAAGATACTTTTTGCATCATATATAATCGTCATCATTTAGATATTGATGTTTAATGATAAGAAATGGCACGAAACACAATCGAATATACTGAAACATGCATTTTCATTCAAGGTTCTTTCAAAAATAAGTTAACACTGTTATTTCGTAAAGCGTGCGGAGTCAGTAACAAGAGATATTGTGGAAATTTAGATTTTGCAGTTCGCACAACTCTGGAAAGTACGACGACCAGACACGGAACCGGCCTAGATTTTAGATGACCGATACCAGTTCTATCTATGCATTATTCAGTGTTGTTGGATGCATCAATATTTATAAGTTCGGCAACCATTCGTTCTACTTCATCAGTTGAGAATGAAATACAGGTGTTAACGTCGCGGAAGCGTCGCCGAACGTGATATATACAGTCAGGGCTCCTAAGTTTCACGTTAGGTGAGTTAGCCATCATGTCACAGAATTCAGGTGCATACTCTCTAGCCAGTAGACACAGAGATTCGATACCCGACGAGAGGAAATAAATACCTAAGGTTTCGAAAGTAACTCGCATGACGCTCGAACATAATTCGTATTCATGTTTCTTTTTATTCAAATAGTAAGCTACTGCTGCAGTGCCCCAGACGTGAGCCATTTTGTGTAAAGGTGAAAATTGTTTCGATTGATCTCCATAAAGTTCGAAATCTGCTGCGATATCATTCAATAGTTTGAACACGTCTAACTGTCTAGGATCGTCAAAACTGTGACGACCTTTAGCCAGCAAATAAATGTTCAGAGCAACATAGAGCATATTGGCACACTGTAATGAATTATGTGGTAGAGAATAGGCGTACTTGAAGAGCTGTGCAGCACTTTCCAAGGCAGAATCAAGAACTCGTGCCACGTGTAATACAATTTGACGCCAGATATGATGACTTTCTTCTTCGTTGACTGCTTGCACCATGTTCAAAAGGCGTACGAAATTGGGCACATTAGAAACTAAAAGCAAGAAGAATGTTAACTGTTTACAATGCATAATTACACGCATAACCAGTAAAAAAACTGTCAATGAACGATACGACAAATGAAAAGGTTTCGGTCCTCAATTTCTTCTTCTCTATTTTGGGAACTGGGAGTACTTTTCTAATTCTTACCTTCTCGGAGATTTCTTTGTCGACTGATAATCTCAGCTTGAAATTGAGCACTAAATTCTAATTTCTCTCCTAGATCTTTCAGTTTCTTAGCTATTTGATGTCTTTCCAAATCAGTTACAGAAATTGTCGGACCGCCTGATCGATTAAGATCTCTATTCGACAGTGTTTGTGCTTGATCGTATATGCACAAGGCTAGTTGATTAGCTCCAATCGCGTGGGAGGCCTCAGCGGTAATCACTTGAATATTGAAGACTATCTTTTGCTTATGATTGTAATCGTGTGTCAAACACATTCGTTGTAAGACTTCGCATAGTTGCTGAACTGAATGTTGATTTGAATGGAGATACATCCATGATTGAAGTCCAGTATAACTCTGCAGCGTCCATTCGTCCGGAAATTTGCCAGCCTCGATAACACAACGAGAGAACATATTCAGCAATGTTCTGTTGGAGTTCGCTCTAAAACAGAGACTATGAAATCTAAACCACCAGAAAATCATAATTTACATGAAAGTATGCCGTCGTTGACGGGGGTCTGATTCGCTTTGAGTTTCATTCCCTAATAGTGCAGGTAACAAATTAGAAGTTGATTGTTGTAGGCTTCTAATTCGATCATCAGCGTCAATCGATACATTCAAGTCACTATAGGTTATTAAATCCTGAGACTCAACACCTAAACGTAAAAAGATTCAAATTCCTCTGTTTGATTATAATCAATATCACTTTCTTGTCGTTGAATTCGTCATATCCACTATACTAACATGATTTTCACGCCGTGCCATCGTAGGGGAATGTTTCTCGGGTGCAATATCCTCCTGGTTTTGAATAACTAGAATGTAGCAAACATCGAAAAACATTTCGACATTTCTGATGCAATTTGCTTCGTTCTTCGGACCAGTAGAAGCAGTAGGGAGTAATAAGAAAAGAACCAATGAAACTAATTTGTGTAGTATTATATCGCACCGTGCCGTATGTAATTTTCGTTTTTAAAGTGGGTATGTGACAGCTAGCACTCTTCTCATTGAGTCAGATAAAATATTTTCGCTTGTTTGTGCTGAGCTGGAGCCGGTCGTCGACTCACTTGGATCAGCTTGGCCTAATTAATTAGTAGTATATACATTCAAGGTGTTGTAAACAACTGAGGAATGTAAAACCAAGCTCTTAAGTTCTGAATCAGTGAATTAGGTCTATGGAAAGATTTCTAATAATTAATATCAAGTGATGAAAAGCTAAATAATTTCCCAATCTGACTTTCTATTGCAATGAGCTAGTCCATAGACTTGACTCAGGGACACAGAACCTATTCACAGAGAGCCACGCCGTCATCAATTTTAAGCCAGCTTATCCGGTTCATTGAGCGATAAATATGGTCACATACATATTATCAAGTCTTTTAAAAATAGATAAGGATTCATTAAATTCAATCATTCTTTGCAGCTTTTTTGTTTCATTTGTGCACAATCAAAAAGTCAATAAAATCCATACACGAGTCAAAATTTACTCATAGCGTGGTGCATCGGGGATCTGTAATTTTGGGTTTGGATGTAGATCGTTTTACCACATCCACACCAACAATACGTTATAAAGTGTCCAAATGTAGCTTTCAGTGATTTCATCAGATTTGACTGTTCTAAAAGAGGGCGTGCAGTAAAGTGTAAATATAGAAGCACACACCAATACTCTTTTTCTGAGAATAATGCTCAAGGGTGATATCGACGATCGTGATTTTATAAATTTGTTGCCGATCGCTTACAGTCCTTAGTGACGATCGTATTTATAAACTTTAAAAAAAAAATAATATATTTTTCCACGTGCTGCTCGACACTGTTGAGTTTGTGTTTTTCACTCTTCCTTTCTTTCTCTGCATCGAATTATTTTTACGCCCACGACGAAGCGTTTGCATAGGAGAAAAAAGTGTGCGACACAAAGAAAGCAAATGATTCATAGGCACCATAGAATCAGTACGAGCACTGTTTTAGTCAAAACTACTAGTCACTTTTTCGCCATGCTTCTTTTATTGACTTTCAAAATAACGAGTCATGCATCATTTGCGGCAGATTAACACGCACCACAAATACAAGTGATTATTGATTTTTGTTTTCTAGGATATTATTTACACATGGCATAAGCAAGTATATAATGTCGATACTGACGATAGTTTCGATAGTTTATTTTTATTTTTTATAAAACTCACACAGTCATGAAATAACAGAAAAAAACTCGAATTTTATTTCGATACACATGCTATGGGAAATATTTGTAATCATTTTCTCAGCATTATACCGATTTCTACACTCCATACTAGAATTCATAGATAAAATATGATATATAAAAAAGAACTCTCAATGAAATAATCACGAAAGAATAAAATAGGGCTTCTCTATACGAGTCGTTTTCACTCTTTAACGCTTTAATGATGATGAGTTTTTGTTAGGAAAAATCTGCTTGAACCATTTCTCATTTTTGATGCAGTTTTTCGTGGGTCAACGACATCGTACGTTAGTCTGATGCACATGTCGACTCAAGTTTAAGTTTTCTTGTGATTGAAAAATTACTGATATTTTACTGCAGCATATCTGCCGATGCATTCGTTCGAGCTTCATATATATATATTCTTTAATGATCAAGGATCACTGTGGTCAATATTCTTGCCATTCACTTCCTTTCCACAGTTATTTAACAGAAATTTTGATACGCTGTCCTTTTTTGACCATCACTTTTATTATTGAAATGGTAACTTAGTCATTTAAATATTTGTTTAATTATTTATTAATTTAATCTCCACTGTCAAACAATAGAAAATGATTTCGAATCTTCTGTAAGGGTCTGTCATAGTGAAGCAGAATATTGATCTTTGAATCATTGAACACATTTTTTAGATTTATCAAGGTTTCTTCATTTCAGCTAAGGTGATTCTATTGTGTTTGGTGCTCAATCTCGTACGGATTGCTCAGAAAGCTTTTTTCCTTTAACACAGTATTCTGTCTCGTCTCCCCATTATTAGATGAAGTATGCATTATTGATGTTCTATCGGTTAACATTGGCCAAATTTTGCTGTAATTGAAAACTAGACAACGATAGAGTCATCTTTGTGCTCTTGTGAACTGAGATTTCGATACTTTCTTTATATTAGCTATTTTCTTGGAATATTTGCAATTGTTTCGTGTGGCTACACTTGCAACAATACTTTAATTATGCTATCCAGTTTGATTTTAGATATTTCTTTTGCACTTTTAACATGAGTGTTAGTTCTACTTCATCAACATCGTACAGTTCAACGCCTAGCACAACGTTTGACTTGAAAAATGCCAACACATCGGTTATTGAATTAATTTCAGGACAACAAGCCATTGAGGAACTTAAAAAAGCCGATGATTTTGTCAATAATTTTAGCCAGTTTGATTTAGAATCTCGTTTAAATTTATCTTCACCAACATTAGAAGATTATTTGAAATTTATTGCACAACAAATCTTGATTTGGGATGACGAATCAAATCAAGCAATGGCATCATGCATTCAATTCATCAACACAACTTGTCAAGAACGATTGAAATTATTAACATATCCACCACGAATTTTTGTTGTATTAACAAATGGCAAAGATGAAAATAATGCTGCATATTGCCGCAACGAAAATATGATTGTAATACCACGAACAATTATTCGCCATGAACAGCTGAATAAAACATTTGTTCATGAACTATTTCATATATGGAGTAAATGGAATACAAATTTAATGATTCGTGATGAATTATATGCAAGCATTGGATACAATAAAATACCTACCGCGGCGCCAATCGAACTTCCAACCAGTTTACAGCCGATAAAAATAACTAATCCAGATGCACCTTTTGTGTTGAAATATTATATTGAATTAAAAAAACTTGGCGATGAAAATGGGAAAACATACAAATGCACGCCGATTTTGCATGCTTCTCGGACTTTTGATCCGAAATTTTCGACAAATTTTTTTGCTTATTTAGTGGCAACAACTTTAATATTAGACGATACCACATATAGACCATTAGAACCATTACAATATTTACCATATGCAGAGGCTAGTAATTTTTATCATCAAATCGGGAAAAATACAGCCTACATTATACATCCGGAAGAAATTCTAGCAGATAATTTTGTACTATGGATGACGAAAAAAGATCAATCCAGTAGCTTGGAATCGCCAACTGTTGTCTTGAAGATGGATGAAATTATAACAAACTCATCGAGCTCCTGCTGAAGTACTACGCTGAGCGTTACACACAATCATGATACTCTCTATACATCCTAGATTTTATCCATATTCATCGCATACTATTCATTATTATTATATTAACCACCTATGATTATATAAATGTAAACCACCTATCTTCCGATTCGGAGTCGGATGCGTTTCCACTTACGCCACAAGAGCACAATCAAATATTTCACTTCACCAAATTCTCTTTTGCACTACCGTTTCAGAGAATTATAACTTTAAACAAAACTATCAGAATTCTGAGAAAAATCCAGTTCACAGGAAACGACGAATAGTTACAATAGAGCTAAACGTAACATTCAGAGCTTAAATTCAAAAAACAAAAATGGTTAAGTAATTGCCAACAAAAATCTTTTCACTAGTTTCAGAATGCTTATAATCCATGATCTTGAACATATGTTTTTATGTGGATTTGTAGAGTATTGAGCAAGTTTTCGTTTGATAAAAAGAAGAAATTCAGTCTCGATCACACAATAATAATGGTACAGAAAATATGCTGACAGATACGCCCATTCTAGAACATATTTCATATTACCGCGAAGATTTTTGCGATACTGTCTTATAAGTTTTTTTTAAATAAAAAGTGATTGGATGGCGTATGGGGATTCTAAGTACATGACAGAGTATCCAGCCATTCGACAGGTGAGTTGTTACACACTCCTTAGCGGATAGCAACTTCCGTGCCCACCGACCTGGTGTCACTACAGCAAACAGAAACCCATTTTGTCATCACTCCAGTTCTCAGACGAAGTATCCCCACGTGAAACAAGCCAACCACTAAGTATTCTTCGTACTTTTTCTCCGTCTTATTCTGTTTTGTAATTCATATTGTGCAATAACATTTTGTCGTTTCTTTCAATTCTGTTCTTTATCTTTTGTGGCTGTTTTTCTTGTCAAAAGGGAGATGAAGTCTTACCGAATAAAAAAAATTGGTGAGATTTTTACGATAGTTTTTTTTCCATATGAACGCAAATAAATAGAGATTAGTATACATTTTAAAATAAAACTTTAGTTAGAAGTGAAGTGAGAAGAACTACCTTGAGAACAAATGCAAATGTTACATAAATTAATCTCAATGTATCTGAGAGTAGAATCAAATTTTTATAAATGCTGATATTTAGCATTACTTTCATTTTTCGAAAGAAGCAGAGCAAAGAAATAGAGATGGCGTGTTTGTGTAGTTCAATATGCGTTACAAATCATTCAATTAGACAACCACTAGAAACATCAGGATCGATTTTTTCGATGAATCTTGATACTAATCTTCGTCAGAATATTTCCTAGAATCGTTTGACAAATCACGGCAATATAATCGAATCTCTGAACTTTGGTCGACAGTAAAAATGCCAACAATAAAAATGTCAACAGTAAAAATGTCGACAGTAAAATGTTGAAAAAACGAAAAAGTAAAAATATCGAAAACTGAGTAGGTATTCATGAAAAATGTCGTGTTCAGAATTGATTCATTATTAAAAGAGGTTGTACCTTATTCGAAGTAATGAAATTTAAATCACTGTTGATGTTGCGTGTCGACTCCGTGGCGGCTTCCATATGTATATTTATCACTCGAATAATGAATAATGGAAGAATAATTTTCTTATTCTTTTCTATTACATTGTACTAAGTGACCAATGTCTGATAGACCAATGATAGATTTAAATGAACATAAGTCGCTATCGATCCTACAAGTAGTGACGGATTCAGAAAATCTGTTAGGGGGTGACGCTCCTGACCAAAAAACGGTTTTTCAAGTCTAGTTGAGACAGAACGACTATTTTCTGTTTCATTTCTGCTGGAGAAAATCGAAAACGTTTCTTAAGGGGGGTGGCGATGGCCGGGTATCCTAACTGGTAGATCCCCCACTGCCTACAATAATAACATATTCATCGAATATCTTTCAAAACACTCCTTCTTTTAGATTTTTTAATTTTATTTTTATAAATTTCTTTCGATATTTTTAACTGTCGACATTTTTACTGACGACATTTTTTCTGTCGACCAAAGTTGAGTTTACCATATAGTCAAAATACTGTGAATTTCATTGATTTTTCGCTTTCAATTTTAATTCAACATAATTGATCAATCAGAAACGACTGACAAAAGAGAGTCACCATTTACATTTGTGAAAATAAAAGGTTCATTTATTTCGCTTTCGTAATTTCTTTTTCTGTCGTGGTGTGTTAGCAGGAGCTTCTGTATCGACTGCAAGCGATTGTTGACTTATCCGTGGTTGTCTTCTAGGTGCACCAAATAATCGAATACAGATATCGACGAGATCGGGCATATTTATATTCGGTTGAAACATGCCGGTTCCTTGTGGGAACATACGCTGCATCTCGTCTAATTGTCCTGGTGGAACTAGCTTTGGTAGAAAAAATACTAAAACAATTCCTAGAACTATTGGAATAATGGCCGGATTGAAGATAATGTCAGCCCAGTTAGTAGCTTCACGTTTTTGAAAATAATTTGGTTCGGTGTACGTATTGAAATGGAGTGGGTATTTCACTGAAACAACTTCCTGTGGTCGAAGGCGATTAACTTTACGCGCACGAATTTTCCCATTAGTATTTATATCAACACGTACTGGCTTGAAATCATATTGTGGTGAACTAACTGAAACTTCATATGAACCACTTGGTACACCTGAATAACAAGAAGATCAAATATCAGAAGTTCTTAAATTCCGTGGATGAGACAGCCTACCTGATATGACAAAAGTGCCATCGACTCGAGGAATACCGACATATTCACCTTGGTTAACCAGAATACGTGTATCGGCTAGGGCATTGCCACCAGGTGGGGAAACTATTTGCCCTTCAATTTTATATGAACCAAGTTTATTACTTGAACTCATCGCTGACACAGTCATGATTAATATCAGAAGAGGCTGATACCATATGATTACATTTTCTGCCATTTTTACGGTACAGATCAAAAGAATAACGACCGATTATCTAAAAATCACGATTTGCGCAAAGCTTTTTTGTTTTGTTTTTTAGCAAATAATCTTTTGATCAAAATCTATGCTACTATTTCCTTTTCAGCTCGTTGCCGTAGACGGCACGAGTGACTTTTGCAACTTTATGATTTCGATTTTTATATCAATGAATTTCAAATATAGGCAAGTCTTACTTGTGTTAAATAATTGCTTATGCATTGCTTGCACAGTGTGAATCAAGCACTTGTATGTTTATTCAAATCAACAGAATGTTTTCTCCCCTATGAATGCAGTCACTTTCCTATTGTGAACGGTGTATAATTTGAACACACTTGCATGCGTATTTTCTCATCCATGTAGTTATACACGCCTCAAGCATATTCGATTGTATACTTACACATGATTTTCTTCATAAAATCTAGAAGAAAAGTTGAATTAACATTGACAATGAACGATGCAATACTTTCTTCCTAGGTAGAGAAGGTGAGTCATATACTTTTTTCTTCTGTTCTGTACATTAACCAATCGAAAGCATGAATTCATAGTCATTTTGTCAACAAAAATCGGTTCATATTTGATGGAAAGTTGGAAAATACCGAGTTATTTGAGTGTTTGCACAAGCAAATCTACGACAAAGCTGGGAATGAGATAGACAGAACACAGGTGAACTTCGAACTGTTTCCCTGTCAGCTTTCCAAGTAGAATGCCAATGAATATGAATCAGTTGTTCCACTCACACTCTAACATCTCTCGGTCCGTTGGAGTGTAGATGCCTAGAAGTCAACAATCACCCATATCCGCATCCTCGAGTTACAAGTAACAGACAGATAACAAGAATTCATTTTTAAATCGATCTTCTGTTGAAATTACGAAATTTATTCACAATCTAAAAAATGATCATTCTCATCGTTTGTCACTGGTACGACTGGTGGAACAGGGTTTAAACTGCGTCGTAAAGAAAAAGCCAGAAAAAACGTAGTCCAAGCAAGACAAGTTGCAGTTAAATACGGAGGTATACAATAGATATAGAGTCGAATAAGTAACAACAAGAGTTTCATCAGAACAAAAAAACCAATATAATATAGTGATAGAACAGTAGGCGTTTCAGACCTTTCAAGATCGTCAAGTATGAAAAACGGATATGCTGATTGGTAAAAAATGCAAACGAGGCTAACAAAAATAATGATTGTTGTATCATGGAACGTTTGAAATAAGACAGGTAGACCAAAAGTCAGTAGGCCACTGAACAAAAGGGTTTGAGCACAGGCTAAGTAAACGGATGTTTTCATTCTCTCTATAACTCTTGTTGAAGTGACAATAATTAAAAATGGAACAATCGAAAAAAAGCCAAGCCAACACAGCATAAATAAGATCTGCGGCACTTTTTTGGGATTTCGTAGTAGTAAAAGGAACATCGAAAATAGACGGTAGAGCAAACTATGTTGACGAGATTCGAAAAGACGTTGGATTCCAGGAAGACAAATTGTTGGCGGTTTTGCAATGTCATCCACGGCTTGGTCGAACACTGAAAGAAATCGATTTCCAGCGGCCGATGTCTGTTCAGTGGCAGAAATATTGTTGGCTTCATTTTCTGTCGTTGGAGGTGGTGATAATATTTGCTTAAGCTTCTCCTGCCAGCATACTTGATAGTGACTTTGTAGCAATGTCTGTTCTACAACACATTGACACCAAATACATTTTACAAATCTAGGTTTGCACGATGATTGATGCTCATCGATCTGATCTACGAGCACGAGTTCTTCACATATAGGACATCGTTTAGTTCGAAATATGCACGCGACCTGTTCATGCTGTTCCAATAAATCGTACGGTAAAATTTCTGTGCAACCGAATGATGCATTACAACAGCGAACACGTAAACGACTGAAGATGGATTGAATATGTGGAGGAGCTCGCTTGATTTCGAATGAAGTGCATCGAAATGGGCACGTAGTTGGATTTACTTCAAGCCACTTCTGAATACACTTGTGGCAAAACAGATTTTGACAAAAAGAGCAGCTAGATGGCTTCCATAGAAGATACTGGCAAATTGGACAGAAATATTCATTCGGTATAAGAAAGTCATCGTTGACGATACGTTCTCGGTCGATATAGCTTCCGGCTGAATCCATGATTAATGAACAGTCTACAATGAATCATAGAATTTATATTAGGAAATTAGTCATGCAACCGGTTGGATATCGGTATGTACCAATATCATTCCGATTAGTTTCTGTTGAACTGGGCACTAGTGGGCAGATTTCCAAGAACTGAAATTTCCTAGCTAAATATGCATCTTTCAGAAACTGCAGGGATGAAACATTCAAGTTTTAGAAAGTATCAGAAACTTTAGTAATTACCGCAATCTTATTCACCTGTTGCCGAAACAAAAATAAAGTCATTTTCTAGAAGTTTCGGAAATTACTCATTCTGTATTATGACATAACCAGAGTTTCCGGAAGTACATTACCTGTAGCTTCAAACTTTCTGAGAAATTACTGAGATTACAATTGCATTTTAAGGGAACTTCGACAAAACCGTAACATAGGAAAAAATCTTTCTCAACAAATTTCCTGTAAATATTACTAGAAATTCTTCTCACTTTTAAGGGTAAGATCGTTTAATCTAGATATATCGATCATTAAATCTACTTCCTTTGTGTCCTTATTTGGTTTTATACTATGATTTTTATCCAAAATGAACGGGAAATTTCTTTCGCATGTAATGGCATTGATGGAAGCTTCAAGAGAAATTTGATATTTACTTTTTCGAAAATCTGTGCGTACCTCTTATTTTTTTATATACTCATCAGGCCTCTACATTATTGAAGCACTCATGTTTAGAAAAAAAGCAGAGTCACAATGAAAATAAAGGTAAAATAAAATAATATGAAGTACGAACGGAAACAAGGAGCAAAAAGAAGAATGTTAGCGGGTGACTGATCTAACGTATCAATAATTAATCTCTTCTTCATTTTGTAAAGCACATCTTTATATATGAGTTAACTAGGAAAAAACCCTAAAGATATTTCGAAGAAAAACATGTGTTGATACGAAAAATACCTATATTATTGCAACACGAAAGGAAAGAGAAAATGACAAAAGCAATATATATGACTCTCACTAAAAAATGAGAAGAAGAGAGCGAGCAGAGAAAGGGGGTGATAGCCAAAAGAAAAAAGAAAAAAACAACTTTAAAGAAAGATGAATTAATAGTTGAATCAACTTTTGATAATGTAACCGACGAATTTTTCTAGATAATCCGGAAAAACCCGACTTTTTTTGCAGAGTGACCTCTAATTCATATCAAATGTTTGATATTCTGAAAGGATATATGAGTAAACGAATTAATAAGGAACGAATATCATCAATGCTATCGACAAAAGCAGTATCTTCTGAAGAATCAACCTGTACAACTCCTAAACAATTATGTATCGATGCCGACGATACTTTCAATGATTATAATAAAGAGAATATTCTTGATTAGTCTATTTTATTTTTTCTTTATACTAATGGTTAATATCAATATTTTTCTTGTGCCCTTTTTGTTTTGCTTAAGATATATTTATTAAGTTAAAATTAGCATATCTTTCTACTCATGAATAAACTTCTATCTAAGTGAAAGTCAGATTACGTGATTCTTGTTGTAATATAGCTCAAGGATTAACACACAAAAAACTTATTTCATCTTCTACTACTTTAGCTTCGTCACAGTAGAAATCGAATTTCGGAGTCCAGTGCCATTTTTTACTCCAACTCCAACTCCGACCCCATCGGAGTCGGAATCGGGTTTCGGACTCCTGTGCAGTACACTACTTGGGATGTGTCAATTATAACAGAAGAAGCATAACGGAGTTGATTAGCTACTTCAGTAATCATTACTTTCTCTTTGTAGTTGGTAGATCCTACCATTTTCACTCGGATTGTCTAATATGGGTTTCTTCAATAATTTCTGAAATCGAGTTGGATCTATTAATTAACTAATTTCTCTTTTATAGGATTATTGGTACACCTTGTTCATTAATAACTTCAACATCAGTAACAGAGGGTAAAATTGAAATAATCAATAAATATATTTATTCTTTTTGATACACAATCAAAAAAGTATTGCCAAAATGATTTTAAATATCCACTATCATGGTTGCTAGATGAACATTTACGTCCATCAGCATTGACATTTTTTCTTCTCGATTAAAAGAATTTTTAAATTAATTTCGATTAAAAACTACGACGACAAATATACCAAAAAGCCATGCCATTGGAATTACCAAGACTGAAAAGTGTTTTTCGAATCTATCGATAACACTAACACCACAGGATGTTTCAAATAAAAGAATCGAAAACAGCTGTAAAGAAATCTCTATCAAAGCATATGGCGAAAAATAATCAAATGTAAAAGCAGTGAATACATTCCATGTTATTTATTTAGTTTGGCAGTTATTATTACTTCCGTGTGTCAGATTGAATTCATTTTTATTCGCGTGAAAATCGAAGAAAATACATATTTCGTTTTCTTGTACTATCGTGTCGTCGGTGTGCATTTTGTTCTTGTATTGATCAAATTTTGACTCGATTCTTTGCGCTCATGATGTTATGAATGGTTTCTCTGATTGTGCTTGTCCGTTTCTTATTAATTTTGTTGTTTTTATTTCGGAATTATTATTATTATATTTGTGCACATTATCATCTTAATAAGCTCTGCTCTTTGTTCCAGAAATTAGTGAACCAAAAGAGAATTTATTTAATTTTTATATTAAAAAAAAAATAAAATAGAATAAACAGTGAATTCTATAATTTAAATGACCTCACGTGAACATACTGAGAAAGTTGGCAACAGAGTTATATATTTTTTCGAGTGGCATCGGTTTCAAATGGCTATGTAAAAAAATGAATAGACAGATAGATGTCGTCCAATATTTCACATTGTACTATTGAACGAGAAGAACAGCTAATCATTTTCCAAGTAATTGTCACGGTATAATTAATGAATGTATAAAACAATGAACGATTATGTTGATATAGGCAGATGATAAATACATCAATGCATATCATTATGCATTCAGAATGCGCCAAGAGGTGTTTTTTTTTATTGTAGATTGATAAATTTTTTTTAACATGGAGCAGCAGCTACTGGAAATCTTACCAAAAGATTGGAACATTTTTATTGTCAATGAACATGCGGCACCTGTAACAACGGTCCTCCGAAAATAGATTAAAAGGCTGAGTCCTGGGTTAGATCAAGCAACGGGTGGAAAACCAATTCTGGTCTTGTTATATTTTTCTCGAGGATGTAAGTAGATAACTGTAAACTAATAAAAATAAGCAGCAGTGTTGGTAACCAGGAAACGGGTTCCGCTTGCTATAATTCTTCTTAGTCCATAATGAAACTGAATATTACGGATATTCTCATGTAAAAATAGGAAAACTAGAGCTATTCTTATTCTTGTAAATTTAGATATTATGAAACCAAATCCTCATCGTCGAAACAAGAGAAATAATATTCGTTCTGGTTCACCGAATACAAATAATACAACACCACTTCAACAAGTTCAAGACGTACATACACCGATTTCTCAACCAGTAAAAATAGCATCACGTGATGCCATTACTACGGATGATTCAAATAATACAATGTTACTTCAGTCGGTCGTAAAATCAATGACACCCGTTGCTCTACCATTACAAAACCGAACAACTCAACCTGATATTACAGAACATGTCAATGATACTGTAATACTTCAGTCAATCGAAAATGTAGTAAGCCCAATTGCTTTACAAACACAAGAAACATCGAATGAACATAATTGTACACATATTTATTCATCTGTATCGCCTGTTGAACTTGAACCAAAAACTGTTCACGGTAAAATTTTTAAGGAAGCTGCTTACAGATACTGATCTATAATGGAGAGCTAGCTGTTCTATGGTGCATTTTTTACTGAGAAGTTTAGTAAAAATAGTCGTCATTCGAGAGGATGCATACATTTGTTACAATGCCATCGTTCTGTTTTGAATTTCTGTTACCTTATTTGTATCGCTTGAGAAATAAAGCAAGGTATAGGTTTAACACATAAAAATTCTACTTTATTTTATTTGGAATTGCATACAAGACTCGTCTGTCATCATTTATTTATTTATTTCAGTGATTTCAACATGTGGCCTAAGACCTAATGTAGATCCTCAAACAATTAATCAAGATTTCGAAAAGTGAGTATCTATTACCTTTCGATTAGTTGCTAGATATTTTGATATATTTACACTTGTACTTTATGTAATAAGAAAAATTTTAATTGTTTTTTTCTTCAATTTATATATGAGTCCGAATACGATTAAGAATAAGCTATTCATCAAAAATATAAACTATCAGAGTTCAAATCTACTTGAAATTCATGTACTTTTGATTCATTGTTTGATTGATGAAACTGTAAACCTATTGCTCTTGATTTGTAGTTGATATTTAATATCTAAAAGACGATTAAAGAGAACCTGCATAAAGGTTTGCAATCATAGCGAAAAAGAATAAATGAAAAATACACTTGTAACAGTATTCAAGACCCAATACATTTATAAACTTTGATTGTCGAGATTTCAACCCATTGATAAAGCGTGTACATGTACATACATCATTTTAAATATATTTTCATTAAAGTTTCTACTTGTTCCGATGCGTTTATTTCTACTTTTCCTGTTACTTGAACCTAGTGTCCGTAAGAAATAAGATAATATAGTTTTGATTGTTTTGGTAATTGAAATTTAAACTGAAGATAAATAACTAATATTTTATACTACATCGGATATTGTATCATTTGGATTTAAAGAATAATACAAGATGACAAATGATTTATTTTCGAAATATAAATTAGCAAAGAAATTGACAACGACCAGGAACCAATTATTCTGTTGAAAGTATTCTGTAAAAACGAGTATTTTTCCACTATTTAGATTACAAATCGAACCATTGGTAATGTCTATTTCTTCATCACCACCACCGCTGCCATCTTTAAAGCAAGCAATTACAACAACTCAGGCGTACGGTTACAATATGTTTTATGTAGTATGCTCTTTGAGCAAATTCATGATATTTCTTACTATTGACGCTTTAGGTCGACGATAATTACGGTGATGTAATTGCTGCTGAAGATTTTGTTTATGGTGAAAAAGACCAAATGGATATCGCTGACGTCCGTCTTGAGAGTTTAGATGAAGAGGATGCCGATTTCATAAGAAAAATGCAAGACGACAACAATAAAATGATAGCCGGTTGGAATGAAGAGGTGAATAAACTCGAAAATCACCTCAAACAATTAAGAAAAGAAACGAACACGGTAAACAAACAATTAAAGGAAGCCACTACGAAAAGACAAAATGAAACACTGAAGCTGCACAAAAAATTAAATGAGACAATAGCAATGTTGAAGTCGAAAAAATCGTAAGTCATAATTGTACGTCAGACGTATAAATCATTTTGACTTTTAGACGTGTTCATTCGAAAAAGCCTCTCAAACGACCAGGAATGAAAATCATAGTAAGTGTCTCTATATCAACCTAAAGAAAATGTTGACTAATGGAAGTCGTTTGCTTTTTCTTTCTTTTAGAATGTACTTCACCGTAAATGAAACATTGTTTTACAGTCATCGTTTTTCATGATTGTTTGTGAAACAAAATAACATGTATCGCTATTTTTTTTTTACAAGTATGCTTGTATTTTTTTATGGAAAGTTCCATTAGCCTTTGTGTATAAATTAACCGATATCAGCATTCCATATCGTACTTATTAAAATTCTCATGATACGTGTGTTCTCACCATAGTAATAATTTGTATAGTCATCGTTTTTTTACATGATCTTTTATAAAATAAAATAACTATATATATATGCAGTATGTAAAAAAATGATTTGGACACTTGTGATACTATTCTTGTAAAGCAAATTCCAGAATGAAGGAAGAATATTTTCTTGACTTGCATCATACCATTCGATAGCTCGGAATCTGTAGTTCATTATTAAAGAAAAAAGTTTTTTTTTTAAAAGATATTTTATGAATTTTGAAAGATTTTCAACAAACCAATTGATTTCTGCGCAAA